TGTCCTGTCGTCGAATTCAAGAAATAGATATATTTAGGTTTATATCTGTGATAGATGTCAATGTCGTAATCAATACGAGCGGGTTAAAACCACCAATCAAAGAGATATTTCTATGTGTAAATTTTATGCTAAAATTTAATGCTATTTTACCTGTGGAATCATCTGATAGGTATCCTGGATATCACACCCAACGTGTTCCCGAACGGCGGTAGCGACTTCCTCAGTAAATTGGATACTCTTAACGTCACCGTGAGTATACAGCTTACGATTCTCCTTATAAGCAGGAAATCTGATACAAATAGTATTTATAATTTGGTGAAGTCAATAACTCCACTGTTTATACGCCGACGATATGGTAACGCGTAATCTAGAAGCCTATATTGATATACATATACATATTTCACTGTTCTGTGAAGAAGTTTATCATTACAAAGCATTGTTCCAGAAGGATCAACTGTGTAAGTGTTTATATTATTTCAACCTTTATTTTCTTCCGTGTTCTAAACGTGTTAGCGGTCAATTTTGTTTCTAGAGACCGACCAATGATCAATCTAAATAGGAAAGTGGTATTCCTAGGCAGGTTTAATTGTTAGTATTTATAATGAAGCTATTTGATAGATTTTAAGCTTGGCAGTATGTGCCGTTACCTCAAACACGAGTGTACACGAGAATGTACGAGTGAAATGATACAATTAATTTTACTGTAATTTCCAGCGGACGATCCACGCCGGGTTGGTGTACGACGCGTTCAGCCTCTACGCGCATGCCCTGAACCTTGCATACTTGGATGGATATAACGTGAACAACATCGCAAATATTTCAGAGAACATGCACGACGTGACCTTCCAGGGTACGCATCCTACATACATTTGTACTTTAATAATGTCTATAGATCCTTAATAACTGGCTCCAAAACACAATACATATCACGTCAAAAAATTGTTTTTCAAAATGAATAACCATACAATACCCACAAACTGGATAAGTATGATGTATATTGATTATAAAAAGTATTACAGGAAATATTGTTATCAGCCTTTCAAACTACTGAGCTCGCTAGATATTCTACATTATTGTTGCTGATAGAGATATACTACTCACGGTGATGGCCCTAGAATTAGGGAAGTTCCTATCATGTCCGTTTCACAATGTCGTTCCTGCTCGTCACTGAAATCAATCAAATTATACATACCATTTTATAGATATATTTTAACACGTTGTGAATATCGCTTGCATTTAAATAACTTTGCTGATTGTTTTATAAGGTGAAACTGGTTCTTTCATTTGTTAAGATATCTTATTTTCTATATTAAATGAAACACCGTCTTAAATTCGATGTCCAAGTCCGTGGAAATAGCTTTTAACCAATATTCAATTATTTGTGTACCATAAAACCAGGGTTAAAGTCGTTTTGCGTATGTTCCAGAAAGGTAATTTAAAAAAATCCAACAATCCTTTGATCTATGTCGGGAAACTTCTCTTGAAATATGTGTCTTATTTCAGAACCTTTAATTATTCAACTCTTTTTACTTCCCTACATCGTACCAAACTAACAAACACATTCTTTCCCTTATTTTAAGAGCTTTCAGTTCCACGAAATGGAAACGGAGATATAAATGTATGGTTGCAAACTAATCTGGGGAACTTTTTGTGAAAAAAAGACAAAAGTCAAAATAAAACATACTTATAATGAAATGGGGAGAACAGATGTTGAGTTCCTGATAAACAAATTTTATTGCGTTATTAGCGATATTTTCAGTAGACCATATGAGCGTTACTTGGGAGCAAACTGTGCCCCTTTTCTTACCGACCTGTTTTTGTTTACATTTGAAGTTGAATGAAATGAAAAGTTTAACAGTACTAATAAAACCCCATTGCCAATACCTTCTATTTCACTATAGGATTTATAATCTATATAATACTTTATACCACCTACCGGTAGCATGAATAATTAGTTTCTATTGGTTGTCAGTATGAGAAGAAGTTGAGAACGATTTGAGAACAACCTGAGGACAACTTGAGAACGGATTTTCCCAATTTTCCAGCACTTGGGAACGTATTTTCTCAAAACAAACAAAACAAATGCTCGCGCTAGGTGACGTCCGAAACCGGAAATAGTGTTAAAGTTCGATAATCTATAAATATCGATGAAGTGCTGTGTTTAAATAACAAGAAATTTACTCAGCTTCATATCAAGACTCCTCTACATCTTTGACTTTCACTCACAACCTGACCAACAGGTACGCCTTACTATTAAGCTGTGCGAACATGGATCATGTACTTTCCCTTTCAAGAAAATTATATCCTTCTTCCCCAAATCGCGGTAGTCCAGAAGTTACTCCGATAATTATGAAATCTACATACTGACGGACAAAGTCAGAACAGAGATTTAGGAGACGCATGTGATGAAAACTCTAGGTTATTTTTTTGGTCGGTATCATTTTCATATTTGGCAATATGTTATTTTTGTGTGATGCGAAGGTCAGGGTTTTCGATTATTTTGTCAAAATCCTGGTTTTTCGCATTAAGGTTTATTTTCTTTTTCAAGGGATTCCACATTTACACTTCGATATACTCTTGTCGATTCTTTTAACGAAAGAGTTAAAAAAAAACCATGAACAACTAATATCATAATATATATATTTATATTTTTAAAGAATGATATTTTATTCTTATTTTGGAATTGATAGTAATCAAAATAAAACTACGCTCTGAATGGAAGCTATTAAATTTTAATGGCAAATGTTTGTCAACAAATTTCCAGTATAAAGTGTGTGTAACTCTCTCACCTATATACCATACAGGCGCTGGTGGCAATATCCATATCAATGAAAATAGCACCAGGGACTCCGGCTTTGTTATCAATAATATCCAAAATGGTGTATATGTACCGGTTGGTTACAACTCAGGCAAGTAAGTTCAAGTCATGTTTTGATTCCCAGTTTAATATTCTATTGATAACCCAGATGTTCGCTTGTCTGCACGTGGCGATCAATGGGGTATTAACACTAACCTTAAATGTAAAGGTATAAAAGTATATGTGTAAGCACATCGTCGTTATATGAATCTAAGTCATAAAGTTCAAGATTTCAGTTTGGTTCGAAGTTTTAGTAAAGAACATTGGACGAGATATAGTTATTGAGTTAGGAAAATTTTAACAATTTCTGTGGAACTTTAACTCTCTTTCAATATCTAGCAGGTTATCTAACATATTTTCAACTCTGCAATCATCATGCCAAGCTTAAAGTTATGCCTTCACGATTATAAATCAATCTAATTGTATTTAAAATTGTCGATGCATATACAATTTCACTGTGCATTTCTTTAAGCCGATCTGTTTTTATATGTTCATAACGTCTCAATCTGATTGATAACGTCTGATTGATAAGAATTTCAAAAACTAACAATTCATCATCAACTCATGTAGTTTCATCTTTATACATAGATTAATAAAATAGTATACCTGTAACTGAGCGTGATCGAGTTATCTTATTCGAGGGCTTAGCTTATGTAACATTATCCCAACCAAGGCGTAAGCCGAGATTGGGATTGTTACAAAATCTTTGCCAGAGATTTGGTTAGAACGTTTAAATTATGTCGACAATTTTTTTTACATTTTCAGAGATAATTTTGCCGTGATAATTATCACGTTAGTAGGTAACTCGGCTTTTTATCATGTTTATGCTGAGATATGACATCAACTTATTCATGCAAAGCAAAACGAGCAGTTAACAAATCAATCTCAAAGAAATCAGCACGTGATTTATATTGCTGATATACCAAATCTAAATCTAAATCGTTCTTAAACCTAATTATAAGCTATTAGTTCAACATGTGCTATTTTTTTGGAAAATGATTGGTTAACTCCTCGTTTTGTGTTGCATTAATAAGTGGCAAGTCGATGTCACATCTGAGCATTTACACAATAAAAAACCAAGTTACCTACTTCCGTGATAATTATTTCGGCAAAATTATCTCTGAAAATGTAAAAATATGTCAACATAATTTAAACGTTAATGCGACATATTCATAGATTATGTCGAAGTAACTCGCAAGTCGAAAGTCAATGGCAGAAATATGCCACCATATAAAATATACCTAAACACGATCAATTTTGTTTCCAGTAAGATGTTAGGGACGACCACGTTTAACAACGTAACTGTAGTCTGGTCCAACGGAGTAACCGACGTTCCATTGGGACGCCCCGCATGTGGCTGGGACGAGGAGTATTGCCCACCTGCCGAAAACAAAACAGGCATGTATAAAGGACAAAGCAGCCAAAGCACAGAATTTTTCCTCAATCATTTTGACTAGTATGCCTTTCCAATAAATAATCACCGACGGTTAAGACTGTCTGACTGACTTTGATTTTTCCGTTAAATACATGAAATTCACCACACATTCTTACAGCATTTTCCCCAACACAAAGAGTTGTGCGAGAAAAAAACAACGAAAAAACACATGATGTATTTGAGCTCTACACGGCTTCAGCAATTAATATATTGTTGTGTTGTACGGAAAAACAGTAAGAAAAGAAATAAAATCGTTAGTTTATCGAAATGATTGTTTACTTCCGAACGTAAACTTTTTAAAAAGCGCATTTATTAAAAGAACGGTTGACTTTTCCTTTGGTCGTTTCATGTGTGTGAAGTTTTTTAGTTTTTGTCGAGACTTAATTAATAAACTTCAAATCAGTACTTGTTAAAATTGTCTCAATTTGATGCGCAAATAACATAATTTAAAAGTTTCATTGAGTCAGACTCGAACAAAAGTGGAAATGTTAGTTAAAGACATAGCTATTTACATTTATATGGTCAAAGAACTGTAAAGCCGCACTTCAGTAAAATTCAGAAAATTCCTTGACCTAAGTTAACTCAATGTTTAGTTGGAATATCTCGAGGTAAATTTGCCGATGTTAAGAAAAACACCTGTTATTGCTCACATTGTATTTCAGTGGTGACTGCCATTGGAGCATCTTGCGCGGTCCTTTTCTGTCTAATCGTCGCCGTCGTCGTACTCGTGCTGTACTTTAAAAGGTATGATATTCAACTTTAGTGATAAGCAGCATTTTGCAATAACCAAAGACATTTTTTTCAAAATCTCAAAGATATGTCTCCAGAAATGATATACTTCGCATATTTGAATACCAACATTACTATATGGTTTCCAGCTCATCGTGATGTTTACGCTAATTAACTCTTTTGACAAATAATGCATGTACCAATATTTAGAATTGCGTGTTTCTCGAAGGAAAATGATGTTACAACATCAGCTACACAGTATGTCATGGAAGATAAACTTACTAGATCTCCAGCTCCAAGTCCATCGCAGTAAACTCGGAAGCCGCATGACATCAAAGGTAGGGTATTCTTTTTACAATTCATCCCCTCCTTTCATTAGAAGAGTTTAACACATGTTTGAATTGATAGTAACTATATGATAGATCTAGTAACATGCATTGTACAACAATACAAGCCACAATCAGTTGATTTTCTAACCCTCAGAGCCTCGGATTTTAGGCAACCTAAAAATAAAAACTTCTGGTTTGATATTTTTTCATATCCTAAAGATAGAACAAGAAATTGAAACGTCACCGTATAAATAATGAATGACTTAAAAGTTATTATGATGACACATGAGAGCTGTCAATTTAGCGAACAAACAATTATTTGGAGTAGTTTGTGAAAAATAATAATTCCCCTCCTTGGAGATAAGACAGAAAATCTCAAACCTCGCTGTAAGATTTATAACATTGAGCTGGGCATTTATAATCTTGCCACGTGGGTCGGTCCAGGATATAGCATATACAAAGCTTACAGTGTTTCACATGCAAAACAACCCATATAACAGACAGGTATAATAATGAAATTGTCCATAAAACAATAATTAAATATGATGTGGGTTCCGGGTTTCATTTAGAACTATTTCTATATGCGGAGGTACTTATTATCTTTGCCTTACTTTTCCTTTGTGACATGTGTAATACGATTGGTTCACCTTTGTCGATGTATGTATACACGTCACGTGACCAAAAGTAGTGTCACTGCAGAAAATTGTCTAAATAACTAAGGGAAGAAGTCACGATTCAAACTTTGTTCACATACACCGTTTTTGTAATAAACGGCCTATATCAATTCATGTTGTGGTATTACTGGTTGGTATTTGACTATTGGACTACTAAGTGTAGTAGGGGCAATAACTCTGTTATCGTTCCTCGGAACAAAATGATAACACGGCTAAATGTAGATCATTTGCCGCATATATCAGCGATTTGAGTACGGCTCCATAACTTTCGCTGAAACTTTCCATGTTTGTAGAACTTAGTGCGATCTACCTCCTTGTATTTTGACCATTAGTTTCTGTATAATTCACCCTGGAGAATTAACGCTTAAAGCTCCAAACATAAGTAGTCTAAGTTATGCTGAAGAAAACGGTATATTTTGTTTTTCGATATCTTTCATAAAACGGCCCCAAGAGGGAAAATGGGGTGTATTTCTGGGGTTTCGTGCAATTTTCCAGAAGATCCGATTTCCCCGTAGTCAAGCGCAAATTTGGGTAACCCCTCTAGGCTAGAATTGAGATAAGAACTTCTTGCGCATGCGTTAAATACGAAGAAATGTTCTAGCCGCTTATCCGGTTTAACTTGTAGCGGTGAGTTGGATTGAATTTTTACTAGTGCCAGTAATTTTTACCATTTTACGATATCAAAGGCGATGTTCTAGGTGATACAAATCGTTCCGGCCCCCGAATTGTTCCGTCCATAGTCGTTCCGACCTTAGTAGTTTCGGCCCTATTCTTAGTCGTTCCGGCCCCATAATGTAATATTATATATATGTTTAATATGATTCAGTTGATTTTATTCTTATAATGTATAATTCATTTTACTTATTCAAAGAAGTAAAATTAAAAATTAACACATATATCACATTGTACATTTGTTTTCTTTTCATTTTACATGTGCGTTGTCTAAAATAAATGGCAAAACACACCTGTGAAAACATATAAGCGCATGGAGTAAGATTGTTATTCAAGACACATTTCAATCACTGTCTTTTGTTCATCTTATTACCTCGTTAAGAACTGTATGGCTTCTACCAAACGCCGTGTAAACACCATGGGGTCTACCGACGTTGTTTTTACTTTTAGTTGATGTATTTTTTGTCATCAAATCTTGTTAAAATCGATCTTTGTCGATCTTTTATGTGTGAAGATGCACATTTTTATGATTTCAACTAAACAGACAGTCGGCAACTTTAATAGAATAATTTTGTTATATAAGGAGCATATTTCGATAGAAAATTCATTGCGTTTATCATGTCTGACGTCTGCCGTAAGTGTATGAAGATTGTTCGGCCTCGCCAAATGTCGAGATGTTTCACTCCCAATTCATCGTGGCTCACCACATTTAACTCATCCTTTATTTTTGTTCAACGGACCCATGTTGACTCTGTTAGTCGCAGATAATGTTGCGATTTTGTCCATTTCTTTTCCTTTGCCTTCACGGCAGCATCATGCCAGACAAAGTTTGCAAAAGGAAAAGCCCTTGACCCTTATTCAAGGTCACAGGGGTCAAATTTGTTAAAACACTCGAACAATTTCTTCAATGTCATGTTGAATAGCCGTTTTAGCCGTGTTTAAACAGAATTATTGCCCTCTACACTTCATTTCATCTGTGACATCCCTTCGGGTGTCACCCCATTAGTATAACTTTGCTGTATGCCTGGTTATTGAACCGCACATCATCAAAAGAATTTTAAGCGTCTAGGCATACACTAAAAAGTATGTTGCTTTCTTTAAAGTATCGAAGTTTAGTTTATTATGAACATCTGAATTAGGAGATATTTTGATGTACTTATTATAAACGCATTTAACATACATTTATTTTTCTGAAGAAATTCTTTAAAATAAATAAAATCAAATGAATAAAAAATCCAATTCAACCTGCGTTGATTGTTTTAGGCTTATCAGCAGTGTTAACATTTCTCTTCTCTTTCTTAATTTCCAGTCTTTGGATTTCTCCCGGCGAAGTAGCGTTTCATCTCTGACGTCGGGCACGCAGCAGCATCAGATATTCATGACAACAGCAAAATACCATGGTTTGGTAGTCGCGATTAAAAATATCAACAAGTCCTATATCACCGCCACTGAAAAAGTTACCATGGAAATAAACCAGGTAGGCGGATGTGAAAACGTTAAATAGTTATGATAGTAGTACCTGATAATGTGATAAAACTAAAAAGAAATCCTATTTATGTTAAGGTAGAGTTATAAAAGTTAATTATAACATAGAGAACTCGTAATGAAATTAAACTAGCTTTGTTTAGCTAGGGTATCGATTGATATTAAAATAAATGTTAAGTTATTGTTTACAATAAGGTAATCATGTACAGACTAATGAGGTGGTTAATCAAGTTTAGCTACTGATACTTGTGTAGGCCTAGTTTAGCTATCGTTACGTAAGTGAAGTTAATTAACACTAACACAGACGAAGACCTGGGGAAAAGCGAGAGTGGGTACGGTTATTGAGGAAAAGATAAGAGTGGCTACTGATGAAAATTAGAGGAGCGGTTACGGTTACTGAGAAAAGGCGAAGAGCGGCTACTGAGGAATAATAAGAGCGGCTACGGTTACTGAGAAAAGAGTAAGAGTGGCTACTGAGGAAAAATTAGTGCGGCTACGGTTACTGAGAAAAGGCTAAAAGTGGCTACTGAGGAAAAATGAGAGCGGTTACGGTTACTGAGAAAAGGCTAAGAGTGGCTACTGAGGAATAATAAGAGCGGCTACGGTTACTGAGAAAAGAGTAAGAGTGGCTACTGAGGAAAAATTAGACCGGCTACGGTTACTGAGAAAAGGCTAAGAGTGGCTACTGAGGAATAATAAGAGCGGCTACGGTTACTGAGAAAAGGCTAAGAGTGGCTACTGAGGAACAATTAGAGCGGATACGGTTACTGAGAAAAGGCTAAGAGTGGCTACGGAGGAATAATAAGAGCGGCTACGGTTACTGAGAAAAGGCTAAGAGTGGCTACTGAGGAACAAAAAGAGCGGCTAAAGTTACTGAGGAAATGAATAACTAGTGTTTCCGATACAAAGATAGAGGAACTACTGTTATAGAGGAAAAGCTAGACTAATCACTAATCCCTACTTTTGTAGATGCGCAGTTTAAAAAACACCAATGTCAATCCACTTATTGGTGCAAGTATTGAAGTTGAGAAGATATTCCTCGTGTCCGAGTATTGTAGCAAGGGAAGTCTCCAGGACGTTCTACAAAACGACCATATCAACCTTGACCGCATCTTCAAAATATCATTTGCGTCGGACATTGCCAAGGTAAGACGCCATGAAGTAACGAAAGGGATTCTTCTACATAAAAATTCGTCAACATTGTATTGCTATCTTATATATAATAAGCCGTGGTTGCTGTTTTGTTTCCTAAGGACACCCTTGTTGAGAAATTAGTGTTCATTAGTTGTCCGGAGAATCTACTTGTCTATGAATTTGTTGTTGTAAGTCATGCTGACGAAATTTATAAAAACAAAATAGGCTTTGGATATCCTGATTAGGGCGTTGACTATCCTTGTAAACGCATTTGTCCGGTTAGCTTTCTGAGGGTTGTCCATTGATAAAACTCTCCTTTGTATGTAATACTGCTTCAAACATATGAAGTTAAACGAACAAAAATGTTCAGTAATTTTCTGGATTTTATTATGAATGTAACTCTCATCCATAGAATTACCACAGAAATAGTAAAACAAAATCCAGAATGTATTTTACTATATCAATTTGAACACTTCTTATACCCTATTTAATTAAGCAGTCATCGGTTAAGTTCATAATATGCTCAAAACCACGAGTCACTGACCAGAAAACGTTAATATGCTACGATTAAATTGAATAAAAAGACATCTTTTTTACCACTTTTACTATTGCGCGGAGAAAACTTTTGTCGAATCATTAAACAAATCTTAAAATAACTGTATAAAAGATGTTTGACCTATATTGATAAGCAATAGGAAAAACAACTTTTATTCTATTAATTTTCTTCGCGCTCATTATAAAAATGTAGAAACTTTTCACTTTTTTTGTTAGTTTTCCGTGAAAACACCTACTTTTAGCGATGGAGATACTTAATTTGATTTGCACAGTTTTATTAATTATTGTCTGATGTAAAATAAACTAACCATGGCATTTGTTATTTCAGTTATTTTGAAGAAATAACATAAGTTAATTAAGGCATTGGTTGTTTTTAGTTTTCCGTGGATACACCTAATTGGGTTTTTGATTAATTTTAGTTGTTCGTGGAAACACTTCATAATGGCACTGTTTGTTGTTTCTATTGTTTATCCTTATTTATATTGTCCAGGAAATGATAATGTTTTTTATCGTTTTTATGTTGTTTATCCTTTTTTATATTGTTTATCCATGTTTATATTGTTTATCCTTGTTTTTGTTGTTTATCCTTGTTTTTTTTGTTTATCCTTGTTTATATTGTTTATCCTTGTTATATAATTTATCCTTGTTTATGTTGCTTATCCTTGTTTATGTTGTTTATCCTTGTTTATATTGTTTATCCTTGTTTATATTGTTTATCCTTGTTTATATTGTTTATCCTTGTTTATGATGTTTTTGTTTATACTTATATATGTTGTTTATCCTTGTTTTTGTTGTTTATCCTTGTTTATGTTGTTTATCCTTGTTATATAGTTTATCCTTGTTTATGTTGTTTATCCTTGTTTATGTTGTTTATCCTTGTTTATATTGTTTATCCTTGTTTATATTGTTTATCCTTGTTTATATTGTTTATCCTTGTTTATGATGTTTTTGTTTATACTTATATATGTTGTTTATCCTTGTTTATGTTGTTTATCCTTGTTTATGTTGTTTATCCTTGTTTATGTTGTTTATCCTTGTTTATGTTGTTTATCCTTGTTTATGTTGTTTATCCTTGTTTATGTTGTTTATCCTTGTTTATGTTGTTTATCCTTGTTTATGTTGTTTATCCTTGTTTATATTGTTTATCCTTGTTTATATTGTTTATCCTTGTTTATATTGTTTATCCTTGTTTATGATGTTTTTGTTTATACTTATATATGTTGTTTATCCTTGTTTATGTTGTTTATCCTTGTTTATGTTGTTTATCCTTGTTTATGTTGTTTATCCTTGTTTATGTTGTTTATCCTTGTTTATGTTGTTTATCCTTGTTTATGTTGTTTATCCTTGTTTATGTTGTTTATCCTTGTTTATGTTGTTTATCCTTGTTTATATTGTTTATCCTTGTTTATATTGTTTATCCTTGTTTATATTGTTTATCCTTGTTTATGATGTTTTTGTTTATACTTATATATGTTGTTTATCCTTGTTTTTGTTGTTTATCCTTGTTTATGTTGTTTATCCTTGTTTATATTGTTTATCCTTGTTTATCCTTGTTTATATTGTTTATCCTTGTTTATATTGTTTATCCTTGTTTATGATGTTTTTGTTTATACTTATATATGTTGTTTTTCCTTGTTTTTGTTGTTTATCCTTGTTTATGTTGTTTATCCTTGTTTATGTTGTTTATCCTTGTTTATATTGTTTATCCTTGTTTATATTGTTTATCCTTGTTTATGTTGTCCAGGGAATGATCTTCATCCACCACTCGATTATCCAGTGTCATGGCCGCCTCAAATCCACCAATGTGTTGGTTGACAGTCACTGGGTGTGTAAGGTTGCCGATATGGCTATGCCAGTCTTCCGAGAGGGAGAGCGAGACGATGATCAGGGAAAGCATGCTCTCTACAGAAGTAAGAAAGTTCGCAGTAAATTAGTACTTAACCACAGCAAATAAGACGTATACCAAATACAACATTGTTATTTCACTGGTTTCTTTTGAAATGTTTAAAATCCTTTCAAAATGGTATCCCGATACATATACCAATGATCTTTTCAGAAATGCTGTGGACGGCGCCGGAGTTACTACGTAATCCGGATGAGTTTCCAAGGGGTACCCAAAAGGCAGACGTGTATGCATACGGAATAATTCTACAGGAAATCCTGACGAAATCTGAGCCGTATAGCTGTTCTCTGGATGAACCGAGTGGTGAGTATCATATTTATAACCGGTAAAGTCACCATTGGTATCTTTGTACTAAAAACGTATATTTTAAACACCTAGCTCTTTACACTAGAAATATGTATATCTCTTAAATATATTGTTTAAATTACATGAAATTTATTTATGAAAAGCATTCTTAAGTACATACATCTGTTGTTGTACACTAATTATTCTTGTCTATAATGTAAGTATAACTTGACAAATGTGTTCATCCACTACTGGCTAATTGACTGCTCACTTGGTATCCTTTTTTTTCGAGGGCAATTTTTTTTTGCCTTTTTCCAAAACTACTTTCCTACATATATTAACCAACGTTACATTTTGAACTGCACTTTTCGAGGGAATGTTATTTCTACCAAAATAATAACTGTTTAACTTATGCAGGCCATATCCGTTCATTTAAATACATTGTATGATATATATTATCATATTAATTATAGCATAATTATAATCAAACTGTTACCAAAGTGGAAGTTTAAGGATACGGCCCAACGTTTTTGTTTAGTTAATATGCTTAATACTAATCCAAGTTTAATAGAAAAATATACATAAAAAAAACTGCATTTTCTGTAATTTAAGGTGATTGGCAGTAAAACACAGTTTAAAATTAATCATTGTCAATTGCTATTTTAATGTAGAAGATGAATATGATAATGTGATAATATGACATAATATGCGATCTGATCATTGATGTGTGAAGTAGTTGAATAAATACGAGTACGATAGTGAGGTTATATAAAGATTTGTATGATTTTAGACATAGTGGCGAGAGTTAAGGAGTTGGAACATCCCCCTTACCGCCCTAAGGTACCTCAGGATAGTGCCGAGGATTCAGTATTAGATCTGATGAGAATCTGCTGGGAGGAGACCCCCATGTTACGACCAAACTTTGACACCATTGCCTCCACACTCAAGAAGTGCACCAAGGGAAAGTACGTCGTTACACAGCGCATCAGCTTACAAAGCTGATTATAATTATCAAATTCCTAGTCAGTATCCAACATTTCTCCACTCATCACTGGTCAAAATCATGTTAACTTTTCCAATTTTGCTCAACGAGAATCTCTAGACTAGTTTCCTTACCTATTTTACTGCCAGGGATGCAAATAAAACCATTTTACTTATCTAGCCTGCTCCCCTGGAACCACGAGACTAGTTTACTAACATATTTTCATGGCATGGAACGAACGCCAGACTAGTTTCCGTATCAACAGTTCTCCTCAGCACTTGACCAGTTTTCCAAGTCTAATATATTCGTCCGTACTTTTTTCAAGATTCTCCGTGTTAACGTTTCCTTAAGTTGTTCATATTTTGCCCCACTTCCGTCGAATTTGAGTTCAAATTACTGTTTTGTTAACATTTCTGTAATTTCTTTCTAAATTTTTTTCTTGCTTTAACGAATTATTAGGCAATACCACCATTCTGATTTCCATGGCCCCAGGCTCATTTACCAACCTGTTTTAATGTGTGTGTTTACTACTCTTAGACTGATAGTCTGAGTATCTCGTGTTTATCTGTCAACCAATGTAGCATTGTTTAACTGAAACACTGTTCGCTTACCTGTTATACTAACATGATTTCCTCCTCTATAGAAATAGAAACCAGGTGTTTGCTAACCTGTTATACTTACATGATTTCCTCTACAGAAATACAAACCTGGTTGACCAGATGATACATATGATGGAGAAATACTCAGAACATCTCGAGGAGGTGGTAGAGGAGCGTACAGTACAGCTGGAGGAGGAACAGAGAAAGACAGAAGAACTACTGAGTCGGATGTTGCCCAGGTACACACACGTAACATAAATACATATTGACATGAGGGTACTAACGCGGGATTGCGATATGTTCGTATAGTGTGTTTTCCTATGTTGTCGCATGAACTGTTGTTCATTATGGAAATCTTGATCACAATGGTGTTAAATGTAAACATGTATGTAACACGGTCGAATGTTATTAGTCTTCGATCAATAAAAATAGTTTAGTATTGTGTTTTCTGAAATAAATGCCCATAAATGGTAATTAGTTCTAACATGTTTATTTTTCAGGTTTTACTCGATCTTTTATTTGTATCGTGTTATGTTTCTACTGATACAATTTAAATTTGATGTATTTTCACGAAATTCGAATGTTATTAATCATGAGAAATGTATTAGTCTTGTGTCTGAGAACATGTGTGAGTCCTGTGCTTGAAGACAGCCATGTTTGTTTCGATTGCCTGCAGACATGTTTGATTATAGTGATAAAGTCAAGTGTTTAATGGCATGCTTGGGTATTTGGTCAGAGAACGGGTGTAAGTCAATTGTTTGATGGCATGCTTGGGTATTTGGTCAGAGAACGGGGGTGAGTCAATTGTTTGATGGCATGCTTGGGTATTGGGTGAGACAACGGGTCTAAGTCAAGTGATTGATGGCATGCTTGGGTATTGGGTCATAGAACGGGTGTAAGTCAAGTGTTTGATGGCATGCTTGCGTATTGGGTCAGAAAACAGGTGTAAATCAAGTCATGCTTGGGTATTTGGTCAGAGAACGGGTGTAAGTCAATTATTTGATGGCATGCTTGGGTATTGGGTCAGATAACGGGGGTGAGTCAATTGTTTGATGGCATGCTTGCGTATTGGGTCAGAGAACGGGGGTGAGTCAATTGTTTGATGGCATGCTTGGGTATTGGGTCAGATAACGGGGGTGAGTCAATTGTTTGATGGCATGCTTGCGTATTGGGTCAGAGAACGGGGTGAGTCAATTGTTTGATGGCATGCTTGGGTATTTGGTCATAGAACGAGTGTAAGTAAAATGTTTGATGGCATGCTTGGGTATTGGGTCAGAGAACGGGTGTAAGTAAAATGTTTGATGGCATGCTTGGGTATTGGGTCAGAGAACGGGTGTAAGTCAAGTGTTTGATGGCATGCTTTAATATTGTGCCTGATGACATTTCTGAGTTAAGTGACTGGTGTGCCTTTGTAGGTCAATAACCAACGACCTAAAGATTGGTAGGATGGTGGAGCCGGAGACGTACGAAGAGGTGACGGTATTTTTCAGCGATATCGTCGGCTTCACGGCCCTCTCGTCAGACAGCACTCCGGTAGAGGTGAGAATGAATAAACATTACAGTATAATTATTCAAATGTGGCCATCATAAAAAATAAAGGGAATGACGAAGTTAATGCACTTGATAACAGATACTGTTTTTTTTCTTCAAATATACGATTTCCACAACTAAACTAAAAGCAACATTTATTGTATTGTTTTATGTTTTAATATCGTGTTATTGTGATAAAAATAAAAACACGTTGTTTTATTTCAGGTTGTGAACTTCCTGAACGACTTATACATATGTTTTGATAAAATCATCGAACATTATGACGTCTACAAGGTAGGTACGACGTAAAATTACCAAAATTGATAATTTTGGGCCAAAATAAACTGCATCAGTGTTTCAAGAATTGAAATCAAGTTCTTATAAGAGTTCGTTTGCATTAGTTTATATAGTTAGATTTCACAAGACTATCTTTGATAGTTCGATTGCATTAGATAGCCCTCCACTAGTAATGAATTCATATTTCTCTCAATTTACTTTATTTCTATGTACGTTTCTTCCCTTTTTTAAAACAAACAGCGGGATCTGAACGCATAACAGATTCACACTTTCTCTAGGCATGATATGGAAAAAAGTTACCGATTAAATAAAATCTACAAGGAGAAGTAAGTTCAGTAAGATGTTGGGTTTAAGACTGATTAAGGTATAGCTGTCTCTCTTGACCTTTCAGAACGCTATCTTAAATGGTGTAGGATTTGACCTTTCTTAAAATTTCTTATTCCATTCTCAGTTGCTTTGTTATTACCATTCTTTGAATGAGGGATATTTGGATAACAGTCGACCGATTTCCAGTTCTAGATGATGAAATTGGTCTGTTTTGGTTTATTTTGATTGACTGTACTTTCCTTTGACTACAGGTAGAGACAATAGGCGATGCATACATGGTCGTTTCGGGACTGCCAGCACGAAACGGAAACCAACATGCCGGGCAGATTGCAAGTTTAGCACTGGAGCTGCTAAACGCCGTCCTCACCTTCAGAATACGTCACCGTCCAGATAAACAGCTACAGCTTCGCATCGGAATACACTCAGGTGAACTGATGACCTTGTCACATTATCTTTAGATGATATACGGCTGATATCATTCACTGATGGAGGATTATTAAACATGAGTCAATCATATGTTCAGCTATTTGATACATTCTACCGCCTTCTATGGCAATATATATGGCTCTTCAATTTGCTTATTTATAAAATCTAAAGAACAGACTTGAATAATTGTAACATAAAAGCAAAATTTTATGACATGAAAAAAAAAAAAAAAAAAACCCAGACTTTTTGTTATTTAATTAGAAGTCGAACTACACTTATCAGCAATACGAACATTAGTTCCAGCTCCGCTAGAAAATTAATAATTAATTTATATATTCTCTTTATTTTGATTTTTTTTCTTATAAATAATTCCATGTATTTGAATTTCTAAGTAAAAATGGAAAAGTAAAATAGAAGAAACAAATACAATCGGGTGGAATCCAACATACTAACTGATAGTGATATTGGTGTCTCCTGTTTAATTGCATTGTCTGGTTGACCATCGATCTAGTGACATGTGTTGCATTTAATCAAATTATATATATATATTTTTCATTTAGGTCCTGTGGCGGCTGGAGTGGTGGGACTAAAAATGCCACGCTACTGTTTATTTGGGGATACCGTCAACTACGCCTCGAGGATGGAATCCACAGGACTTGGTATGACTGAGGCCTGAAAGCATATATATCTTTCTTTCAAATTCCAATTTTAAACAGGCATTGTTTTGTGTAAAGTAATGATACTATATCCAAAATAATTCTTTAGCTCAGATATACTTTAAAACAAAAAAGATTTAAACAATAGACGTTGACTGTTATCCCTTACTGCTCTTTTCGCAAATTCAAACACCTGTTACGCATTTTCTCAAGAGCATTTGAGTGAGTGAAACATCTTCATACATACCTTTGAGCGAGGCAATTTCTCATTTGCTGAAGTATATCAGGAAGTTGTTTACTCAAATACCTTTGATTAAGGTTTCCTCAGATACCTTTTTCTCAAATTTATTAAGATGTCGTTTTCTCAAATAGCTGTACATTAATTGTTTTCTCGATTCCATGTGAGAAAGGCATTTCTTCAAATATATGAGGCAGTCGTTTTCTCGAATCCCTGTGAGAACATATATAGTGGTAAGCAGTATATACGAATACACGCCCTACATTTATTAAGTCACAGGATATTCGGATAAAGTGTGGTCGTTCGGAAAACAACTACAAAAAGCGGTATCTGAGAATGCGAGTACCAGCTACACCAGTTTATCAATTTTACAAATGCATACTCACCAAACAGATAAGTACCTGATTAAGGTCAAACTTGAGTTGGATAGAAAATTAAATCTTCGTGCTTTTTAAAATCTAAGAAAACAATTAAAAAAATGTGTACCCTTTTGAGATATATGGTCCACCTGTAACAATTTGTATCTTGTGGTGGTTATTTAACAACACTTATCTGGTAGTGGTTATTACACAACACTTATCTTGTAGTGGTTATTACACAACACTTATCTTGTGGTGGTAATCAAACAACACTTATCTGGTGGTGATCATTAAACAACACTTATCTGGTGGTGGTCATTAAACAACGCTTATCTTGTAGTGATCATTAAACAACACTTATCATGTAGTGATCATTAAACAACACTTATCTTGTAGTGATCATTAAACAACACTTATCATGTAGTGATCATTAAACAACACTTATCTTGTAGTGATCATTAAACAACACTTATCTTGTGGTGGTCATTAAAGAACACTTACCTTGTGGTGGTCATTACACAACACTTATCTTGTGGCGGTCATTAAACAAAACGTATCCTGTGGTGGTCATTACACAACACTTATCTTGTGGCGGTCATTAAACAAAACGTATCCTGTGGTGGTCATTACACAACACTTATCTTGTGGTGGTCATTAAACAACGCTTATCCTGCGATTGTCATTAAATATCACTTATCATGTAGTGGTCATTAAACAACACTTACCTTGTGGTGGTGATTAAACAACACTTATCTTGTGGTGGGGATTAAACAACACTTATCTTGTGGTGGTCATTAAACAACACTTATCATGTAGTGGTTATTTTACAACACTTATCATGTAGTGGTTATTTGACAACACTTATCTTGTGGTGGTCATTACACAACACTTATCTTGTGGTGGTCATTACACAACACTTATCTTGTGGTGGTCATTAAACAACACGTATCCTGTGGTGGTCATTACACAACACTTATCTTGTGGTGGTCATTAAAGAACACTTACCTTGTGGTGGTCATTACACAACACTTACCTTGTGGTGGTCATTACACAACACTTATCTTGTGGTGGTCATTACACAACACTTATCTTGTGGTGGTCATTAAACAACACTTATCCTGCGATTGTCATTAAATATCACTTATCATGTAGTGGTCATTAAACAACACTTACCTTGTGGTGGTGATTAAACAACACTTATCTTGTGGTGGTGATTAAACAACACTTATCTTGTGGTGGTCATTCAACAACACTTATCTTCTGGTGGTCATTAAACAACACTTACCTTGTGGTGGTGATTAAACAACACTTATCCTGCGATTGGCATTAAATATCACTTATGGGGGAGTGGTCATTAAACAACACTTAACTTGTGGTGGTGATTAAGCAACACTTATCTTGTGGTGGTCATTAAAGAACACTTACCTTGTGTTGGTGATTAAACAACACTTATCTTCTGGTGGTAATCAAACAACAATTATCTTGTGGTGGTAATCAAACAACACTTATCTGGTGGTGATCATTAAACAACACTTAACTTGTGGTGGTGATTAAGCAACACTTATCTTGTGGTTGTTATTAAACAGCACTTATCTTGTGGTGGTAATTCAACAACACATATCTTCTGGTGGTCATTACACAACACTTATCTTGTAGTGGTTATTACACAACACTTATCTTGTGGTGGTCATGGTCATTAAACAACACTTATCATGTAGTGGTTATTTTACAACACTTATCTTGTGGTGGTCATTAAACAACACTTATCTTGTGGTGGTAATCAAACAACACTTATCTGGTGGTGGTAATCAAACAACACTTATCTTGTGGTGGTCATTAAACAACAACACCTATCTTCTGATGGTCATTAAACAATATTAATTTCAAATTTGTGTGGGCCGCACATACATGTTCGCATTTTTCGAGTCTCATCAGCGTTGCTAGATGCCAAAAGACAGGAATAAGGAAAACAGTGATAAGTGTGAAATTCATTTTTGGGTATGTTTTGAAAAACATCCTATGTCTAATGACATTTAAAGACAAGGAAACTAATCTGGTGTTTATGTTTTACAGCTCTGAAGATACACGTTAGTCCAGAAACGACTAAAATCCTGAAGGAGGTTGGAGGATTCCATCTAAAGTTGAGGGGTCCTGTTCCAATGAAGGTACGTATCACTCTGGTAAACTTCCCTAGTAGAATTCGATAAAAAGCTGGGGATCCTAATTATGACAAAGTTACAAATCTCCATAGAAAATTCATAATTTATGATAGGTAGACCAGGAACCTGGAAAAGTGATATTGACCGAGGTTAGTATTTCTCTTTCATGTTACTATCGGATCAAGTTAATCATACAGTCTATAACTGTATGATTATATATGCAGAAATATAAATAAAGGTTCCTTTTAAGATGGCTAAGATTTTTCTATCAAGTTAAATTAAAGTTTCAAATTGATTAAGCCGAAGTACAGTTGCGCTTGTAATTACAAGGTATATGTGATTTTAAAAGATTGCTTAACATAAAATAAACTTTTCAAATATTTATCAAGCAATTATTATGAAACAGGTCCCGAAGTTATCTTCAAATTAGATTTTCTAATGTCAATTCATAAATATTTTATGGAATGTAAATTCATTTAAGATGTTTATGTGCGAGCACTTTCAATTTCAGGGCAAAGGAACAGTGGAAACATTTTTCTTGGAAGGTAAGGACGGGTTCAACAAACCCCTTCCTGTTGTTTCAGAAGACGGGCTCAACAAACCCGCTCCTGTTGTTGCAGGGGACGGGCTTAACAAACCCACTCCTGTTGTTGCAGAGGATGGGCTCAACAAACCCATTCCTGTTGTTGCAGAGGACATGCTCAACAAACCCGTTCCTGTTGTTGCAGAGGACGGACCAAATAAGATCCTTCCTGTTGTTGCAGAGGAAGAATCGAGTGTGAATTGACTGACATTTATATATTTACTACTGTAGTCAGAGTTGTATGTGGTATGTGTGTAGATATGTAATGGCAGAGGTGAAAAAGTCGAAAAAAATGGTGACAGCGGTGGGATGTGTATCTTATGAAATACGTTGTTAATTGTTGAGATATTACTGGATCAAAGTTTTGAAAATGGTGATAATGTCAACGAAGTGATAATTAAGATGCTCATGGATCTCACTACAAACCCTTACAACGAGGTAATTTTACCGAACTGTAGACAAAATATGGACATGGTCAAAAGATACTTATATATATTATATGCACCACATAAGACGATTTTGTCTAGCAACAATGAAAAAAGATTTTCTTGGGTTAAGATAGTCTATACATGAACCCGATATCAATAATAATTAAAGAAGACAGCAATGATATACATGAAAACAAAGCAAACTATCAGGGGCCAAAAAAGATTCGAATTGCAGACGTTTACAAAATATATACAGCTGTCGGACGTTATGTTCATTAGACCAGAAATCGCATACAGGGAGCGGTAACCAAAAGAAACTTTACGCTTATAAAACGGCAACTGTTCGAATATTCTATTATTGAGCACTTTCCAATCGGAAGATCACTAATATATTTTATATTCTATTTCTTGGACGAAGTCAGTCCTCGGATAGGAAAGTAAAAAAATATTATTAAGGTCGGGGAAAGTTAAAACCCTCTGTTTTCAGAAATAACTATATATAAATAGCGATCGATCTCAGTCTTTCCAATTTTGATTATTGTTAAATAATATATTTCCCGTTTTCTCAACTGGCCACTTTAGACAAAACACTGTTGCGTGACCGCCAGTAGATATTTAATAAGTGTAAAGAGTTACTCCGTCCACTTCACCGCGATGCCGAGAGGTTAACGCGTCTGACCGTCTACGATCACTAGCCACCCACCACTAGGTTACTGGTTCGTGACCTACGTGGGGCAATCGCGATCGCCAGGTGCTGGTAGCAGGTCGGTGTTTTTTCTCCGGGTACTCCGGCTTTCCTTCATTACCAAAACCTGGCACGTCCTTAAATGACCATAGCTGTTCATAGGACGTAAAGCACTAACAAACAAACTTAACTCCGTCCAATGAACAGGTTATTCAAGTTTGATATTGCTTACGTCATTTTTATTATCTTTCATGAGATTGTACTAAATAGATTATTCCTTTGTATGTCAAGGTCAAAGCTATGCATGTGTCTATAAGTTTGCTTCCTAAGTCTAACCTCATCTTCACATACTTGTTAGAAGTAGACACCGAAGCATTTTTTCTATTCGTCCTATAAAGGCCATGTTCATTCAAGATAACTCATTTCTTGACAGAACATTTCAGCTTTTGAATTGTGTGTATGGCTTCGACTTTTCCAAACGTTACCAAGCTATAATACATAGGTTTTGTGAGTGGTAGATACCTTTGTATTTTTTAGGTTATTCCGTCAAAGGTCAAAAACTCTTACACATACAGTTTATTTTGCACGTGCATAACTATATCAAATGTGTATAAAAATACAAAGTGGATCCCGGGCTTTTGACTGGGCATCCTATATTTTGCCCATAAAACGATTAGCGGGAGTCGACTATGAGGACCAGCCGGTGGTATTGTCATAGTTACTGATGTTTACATGTTATTAAGTAGCGGACAATATGAGATTACTATTTTCCTAATTCCTTGTTTATTAACTTTTTTGTAATAAATTATCTATCATTTCTATGAATCTTCTCGTTCCTTCATTGATGTTGATGACTGTATGTCTAGATTGGAATCGTCTGATAATCTCGTACATGCGTCTGTTATTTCCTTATACACTATGTTTGAAAGCAAACCCCCTGAATGGAAAATGATTTTGCTTCTATTTCTGTACTAAACATTTCGGGACGCTCGAGAATTTTATTTTTCAAATAATTGTTATAAAAATACTGTTTTTCTTATGGTAGCTATATGATTTTTTCTTACTAATAGGTGACATGCCCAGTACTGTAAAAATAGAAAACTATACAACATCATCAACACTGGAACTCGATCAGAGTCGATAATGGAATACAACAACAAAACCTAGCGGACAACAGCACAATAGGAAAGAAACAAAGAACCATTACGATCAACTTATCTTAACATATTGGCGATTCAATTAGCAACCCATTAACAACTTAATTTAAAATTAGCCCATGGATGCAATCCTTCTAAAACTGATCTTAAGACCCCAGTTGATGCTTTACAAAGATGAACATAACATATACACACAGGTAGTTGCATCTACGAAATTTAGTAATAAATACAGTAATACAGTAATAGATACAGTGTTACAGTAATAGATACAGTAATAGATCTACCTTGTTTGAATTGGTGTATAATTCATTTAAAAAATGTATTCAGAAAGTTCTGGTCTTCAAAGTTTATACATTGAATCCATATCGACTAAATACATCGAGATGTAGTCCAGCTAAAGTCACGGATTTAAAAAAAACATCACAGGACCTGGGACTCACTTCAGCCATAGGTGTTGAGCAAATATTATATGATATATATAATATACAATACGAACAATTCATATCTTATACTTATAGCATATAAAGGTCGTCCTGCACCTTTTATTCACTTACAATTTAGATATATTTGAAATAGCCAAGTTTGATATGTGTCCAGAAGCCATCACTCCGTATAAAACAGAAGGAAAGCATGTAGGTAATATGCAATTTATGTAAGTCTACTTAAATGAGTAAAGTTGTAAATTTCAAGTCAAAATATTAATTAGAAAGGAAATTATTGAGAAATCAATACACTTTTTATTTGAAAATGACCTAAAACAACCCCCTGTCTTAATCCTTCGTTTTATATAAACAATCTTTAAGTGATGATTGAATTTCTGTCATTTTTCATTCTGTTACATATGCTTGTCCAATTTATACATGTTTTCAAAAACAGAAATGGTATTGTTTTGGTTTTTAAGCTCGTTTTGAAAACAGTAAACTATATTTGTGATTTACCCAACCCCTGTGATAAACCGGGGCCCAAAAATAGGGCCTTATAGACACTCATCCTTTGGATTGCTTGCATATTGGTGTTAGTTGAAAATTTCTGGTCCTTGTCTTATTGCGCACAGATCTGGAGTCTGAATTTGGGAATAGCTAGCTCTGTGTATGGACACTGTCTGCCTCAAAAACGCTAGCTCCATGGCCTTTTTGGGTACCCTCTATATGATTCATCTCGAAAAGAAATTGCCCCATATCAAAACTGTGTTGCTGTACATAATGAAGTTATAACAAAATGTTAAAACACAGCAAATATGAATCTACGCTTTCGTGTCAATAAGGATGAAGGTAACTTTTATCATTATGTCCAGTCCTTCTGCCTTGAGCCGTAACTTGGTTGTATTCATAGATACATTCTCATCCTCTAGCATGAATTCTGAGCTCAAACGAACTTTCTTGTGACTCGCTGAAATCATCCAATTATTTTTTCCAAATCATTGGAAGAAATATCAAATTTTAAATATAACATATCACCGGAGAAGGGAACTCGTCTTGATCACAGAACTTAAGTTTAAGCATGAAAATGGTTCCCATTATTATGAGAAGATGAAAAAACACTGAACACAACACCTTAACTTTTGTATTTATTTTGATTTCAACAGGTGAATACTGTTTGTAATTCAAAGCTTAACATGAAATTCAACCATGTGAGAGATATAAAATATTCCTTTATATTTTCTACAAGACCTCTTATGACACAGATCTAGTGACTGCATAAACATCTTTTGAAACTGTTTGTGTCAAAATATTTTCAGGACACCAAAGAAAGGGTACGAATTTAAAACAAACCAAGTTCTTACATTTAGCTTTATATAAATCATCTTAATTGCTTTTGCAGTTTTAATCTAAATAGAATACTTACATTCTGTAAGTGTAATTGTATTTATTCTCTACATGTTGAAAATGGTGAAAAACACAAACCTTCCGTCTGTTTAATCGACCTGAGCACTTTATTTCAGAAATCATTCATTAAAAAAATAATTTCACAACATTTACAAATTTTAGGATCCACTCTAAAATATCTAATCATTTATTGGAATTAATCTAAAATATTGCATCAAAATGAATTATGCTCTCATATGTAAGACTTGGTGGAAATCTACCCAATATAAAAGAATTACAAACAATCTGAGAATAATTTTGTGTAAAAATATATGTGGTACATGTATAGTGACTAAAATGTAGAAATAGAATTATCAATGTATAATATAATTCTCTTTGTATATGAAAAATGAATAGATCATGAAATGGTATGTGGAGAAAAATGGCTTAAAATGGAAATAGAAACAGTTATCTTGTATCATTACTTAATATGTTAAGATATATATATATATATGAAGAAATAGAATATTTAATATAAAAACAATCTACTTTGAGCATAAACAAACAAAAATAAAGACTAGCCAATTGTTAGCATATCTTTATATATATATAAAAATACATTGAAACAAAAAATACTGAATCTATTTAAACTCTGAATTGTGACCGGTTCTGGTTTAAGTATTAAAACATTTCACGAAGTGTAAATAGGTTAAAAAAGAAAATAATTTCTGTTTACTCTGCTGAGCAAGCTCATGGATATACTTTGTACCTACAGCTTAAACACATTCAAAGCATTTACCGGATCTACTTCAGATAAAAACAAAATACAAAAAAGGCAAAACTTGTTCCAGGCCAGAATTATACTGTGTTAGTAATAAATACTTATATAATGAACCTTCCCTTTTAAACTTTTCCCATCATGTTATAATAAAAATGCATTATAATACAGCATATTATCTACATATATATTGACACCACCATCAACCAATATGTAATACTCGTAAGTCTGTCTGACACAGAGCAAATAGCAACCATAAATTTCCTGTTCTCCACCGTAATGGTTCATAAATGATAAAATCTGTTGTTCTTTGTACCAAGTAAAAACATAATTTTTATATCAAAACATAGTTCTAAAAGTATTTCATTTTCTGTAATATGCTTCAAGATACTCTGATCACCAAGTAAAATATTTCATAATTTGAATAAGACAAATATTGATAAAGACAGTGCAATGAGAGATTTTTTTCTACTGGAAAAAGTAGGATTTTCCTCCACAAAACTCACAGAATAAGAACAACCTGCTCAAAGCTTAACAATTTAAGTTCAGGAGAATTACTGTGTTGTCACATCTTATATTGGTGTACATGTAAAGAAAATAAATACTTTGATGGTTTTCATATTTTCTATTTCTGTCACCCTTACCCACTATTTATATAACATCAATATTTCTCGACTTTCTCACTCGCTCATTAACACAAATGGTGAATACTGCGATGGTCCCAGAAATCTTTAAAACAACGTGCCAGGACAGATCACGAGGGAGTAGGTACTTCTTCTAGAACAGTGTGAATTCTCGATTTGTAAGGCTCATCTCATTTACAAATCTGCAAAAGAAATACACAGCCATTTTACAAGGTATGAATGACAATAGCAACAGTAAAGTAGAGTATCAGCATTACTCTGGTGGAAGTCAATAATAAAGACAGCGGGAAGGACAGACAGTATTACAAGAGTAAAGGAAGTATGACACTGGTGACAGCAGGAATGATAATCAGTTTATAGGGGAGAAACGACGATATTGGAGACAGCTTGAATGACAGACAATGCTACGGAGAGAAATTGCGATACCAATGACAGCTGTTGAACAAGGGGGGGAAGCAGAGGTTTCATTTGACGCTTGGCAGTTAGCAATTTCAGAAGCCATATAACTTTTCCCTAAAACATAGAGAGTCAAAACGAATGTCAAATAGACATCCTTTCAAACCCAATACTCAAAGCTTATTTTTGGAAGTCAAAATATTAAAATGGCACCTATCTTGGAAATTTTACCTCCAAACAAATAAAACGAAATACAAATGACACAATAACAGGATGAAACAGTCATATAAAGGTGGTGTTGAAATCGGTCTGATAGTTTGCAAGAAAAGCTATATATTCCGACCAACCGATGAACATCTATAGTCTGACAAACAGATGTACAAGCACAGGTACTAGCCTCGTTTGTCAATACATCTATGATTATATTATAGGTGCATTGACAGACGAGGCTAGTATCAGAAAATGTGGTACAAGCTGAATCAAGTATACTGACTGTTTGACTTTATTCTGGGTTATATGTCATGAACAATAATAAAGTTACACAAATAGTGTTTGAAGTAGACTAAATAGTTGTTGATAGATAAACATATCCACATTTAATTTATATAAAAAATTCTCAAGTTTCCTGGAATAGGTCAACCATGCAGTTTAGCAGTATGAGACGAATTGTCGAAATAGTTTTATTTGTTATCAATCTGAAAAGTCGAGAAGGCAAAAAAGTATGATAAATTACTGATTGATACTCTTGCTGCTACTTTGAAACTGACCTTGTCATCTCACTGTTGACCGAGACATTCCTCTTGACATAGGTCCAAGGCTGACGCTCCCTCAGGGGCTCATCTGTTCGCCACCAGCCCAGCTGTGAGGAGGTGGTCAGTGGGATACGGTACAGCTCTATAGGCTCTGAAACATCAAATAAATACGAAAATATAAGGAAAACACAGTTTACACATATACGTGACAAGGAAAGAGAGTAGTGTGCATCCACTTGGGATCAAACCCGCGACCCCAGTCCTAAACTTTTCTGATTGAGCTAAAGAAAAATTCCTTCTTACACGAAGCTTCTTGTAGAAGGTGAATGTAATCATATGAACAATTAAAATCTGCCACACTTCTCCCTCTTTTTAAATGTGTTAGCCCGTAAACACCACAGCAACCCAGGGTCTAACTTCCTGTCACCATAGTATTTAAGGGCCATGGACATATAAATTCATGACAGGAAAGAGAGTAGTGCATGAGCTTCCACCGGGATTGAACCTGCAGCCAGGTCCCCAGTACGCCACTCTACTAATTGAGCTAAAGGGAAATTCCCTCTAGTCAGACCGTAATCCTGTGTACAATTAAACTCTGTCACACATCTTTAGTTGTTTTTCTCCATGTTTCATTATCGGTGACAATCAGTGGAAAAAGTGTGCAGCCTTTCACATGTTTATTGCTAGGCAACTGTTCATATACAAAACTGTAGGTTTCTTACAAGTTCTGTCTAGAGTTTGTAGGGTTCCAGGTTTGATTGCCTGTCTGGCGGTACATTTCTCCTGTTAAAAAAATGGCAAGATTGCCAACCATTATTTCAAGCGATGGGGATACCCGAACCTAGGTTGTAAATAGATGTCTCTTTGGGGGCAAAACACTTTGAAAAATGAGGGAAGAATGTTGCGGAACTGGACTAGGTTGATCGTCAGCGACCAGGTTGCTCAATTAGTAGATCGTTTGTCTAAAGTTTGGAGGGTCCTCGGGTTTGAATCCCAGTCTGTCTGTTGCGTTTCTTTTCCTCTTTTTATTATATCTTTCAAAGTTACATTAAATGACACGATTAATGATTATCAGTATGGCATAAATTGACATCATGACCACAAGTAAAACGACTTGACATATCCTTAAATGCAAAAACGTCCCACGATTTTTTAGGATGCTTCATCTCAGTAATTCAGAAGACAGTCGATCGATTCCATGACATGTACACCCACATATATATACATATATATATGATAAAAAGGGATTAAATGTCCATGTGAAGGAAGTAAATATAGAAAAAAAAAGATTAACGACCGACTAAAAAACTAGCTGCTTTCACCCTTCACAGGGCTCTTCATGTTTATTCAAAAGAACAAACCTGAATAGCCCTGTGAAGGGTGAAAGCAGCAGCTAGTTTTTTAGTCGGTCGTTAATCTTATTTTTTCTACATATAACGTTATATATGTATATATACTGTGCAATGAATATGACCGACAGTGTCAGTTACAAATTTAATGCATTTTCTATAGCTATACCTCTCGGGTTCCTGATGTGTTTTGTCCTCATTCTTGTATGCTCAACGTGCGATCCCTCGGGTCCCGGACCGTATCCCGACACTTGATTTATCGGAACAATCGACCGTCGCGGTGGATTTTTGTCTTGCAACGGAGGAAGAGCTACAAACCCAAGTTGAGTTTTAGCCCTTAGACTTTGTGGATCGGCTTTAGCTCGTGCCGACCCCTCCCTTATGGTATTTTGATATCCCAACTGGCTGAGTCCGAAGAACGCCATTATCTTTGTTTCACTTTAACGATTAATAAGTGAAACAAAACTATAATGCCATCGGAACACTTCGCCAAACGTTCACGCTGTCTGCTAAGCTTGAGTTGCTAGGCCGCTTTTGTTTACATCCTGTTCAGATTAACATATTTTGCCAATTGACCATCAAAATGGTACGGAACGCACAAGTTTTCCCTATAATTAAGTATAATTTTTATAGAATGGAAAAGTAGCAAAATATGCTTACAAACAAAAACCAAACAGGTATTAAACAAATATACACTTTGATGAATAAACGGCTTTTCTTTTAAAAATTTGAAGAAAGTAAATTTCACCTGTTTGATATTCTTATTTTTGTTTAAGTTCCGACGTTGAAATATCGCATCTTCTCATGTGGCACGAGACTACGGACGACATATTTGTTTTCCATCTCGTCCTTGCTAGAAAGCTTGCAGTTAAAATCTGTTGTAATCGGTGTCGTTGTGTGATCCACATCCCTCAAAATATAGCAGCGGAATGGCCGGGTCCTTAGCATTCGATGAGTATGGCAGGCCGTTTATTATTGTCCGCGATCAAGATAGAAAGTCAAGGCTAACGGGCATTGAAGCCCACAAGGTAAACATAGAAGCATGACAATCACGTTTCGGTAGATAATTTACTTTGTACGTTTTATGTATGCATTTCTATGATCACATAGAAATTCTTGTGTATTATTTTTATTATACAAATAGGTGGTATATAGTGTTATATTGTGATTTATGTGGAATGTGCAGTCCATGTTCAGGTTGCAATTTTTGGTATAGATTGTTCTGGAAGATCTGTAACTATAATAAGCAATGTGAGGTTCATTCCAGAAAGTTCCATGATTGAAGGAAAAGCTAAGCACTAAAGCATATTTTCATTATAAGGGCATGGAATATGCACTTAATTATTATGGACTATGTCAATTTCAACAATGTAAATGCTTTAAAAATATGTTGCTTCTTCACTTTGTGTTCATGTTTTGACAAGTCCGAACTGTAAACAAACGAGGTTGAATATGCTCAGATGAACATTGGAAAAAGGGGTCAAACACAAGTTATTGAAATGAAATATATATAAAAAATGTATGCTATTCTTGGATAAATTGTACTCCTGATAAGTTTATTGGCATTAATGTTGTATTCATAATATTATATTGTGATATGTATGATAAAATTGAACTGGTTAGTTTCTATGTATCACCCATATTTTATTATCCTACTTTAAAACTTTTGCATTCTTAACAGTGCATCAAACTTGTTCAAGGCTCCACAATAAAGGTAGCCGAATGTTATAATCGAGACTATTACCTGTTAAGATGTAATATAGTGTACATGTGTGTTTAACTATATTCAAACATTCAATATCCTTCTTTTAAGTCTCATATCCTTGCTGCCAAGACTGTCGCTGGTGTTCTGAAATCTTCCCTGGGGCCAAAGGGTCTAGATAAAATGATGGTTGGACCAGATGGGGATGTGACGATCACAAACGATGGTGCTACAATCTTGAAGCAGATGGATGTTGAACACCAGATAGCCAAGCTCATGGTGCAGCTGTCGCAGTCCCAGGATGATGAGATTGGCGATGGTACCACAGGAGTCGTTGGTGGGTACTTGTTCTTTTTGTTGTAAGAAAATATTCTTTGTCCAATACGACAAAAACTTTGATAAACAGTGTAAAATTATAACACAAGCGAGTTCACATTAAAAAATATGTTGTATTGTGAATTTCAGTGCTTGCTGGGGCTTTACTTGAACATGCTGAGAAACTTCTAGACAGAGGGATCCATCCAATCCGTATTGCAGATGGCTATGAAATGGCTGCCAAAGTTGCCTTTGAGCATCTTGACACTATCAGCGAACAGTTCAAGACAGACCCCAAAAATAAAGAGCCTCTCATACAGTTGGCAATGACCACTCTAGGTTCCAAAATGTAAGTTGACATAGGATGAATGTAAAGCCCCGAGACTTCAATGATATTTCCTGGTCAGGAGTTTGTTTGTTCAAACCTTTTGCTTTACATCATGTCTTATTTTGGTATTGAAGGATTGTAATAGGAAAATTCTAGAATTATTTCCCTTTGAAAGTATTTCTCAAATGATTGTGCATATTTTGAAAATGAAATTAATGTTAATGATTAACACCAATACTAATAAAAAAAATGTACCAACTAGACTACGTTGGGATGAAGTCTTACTCAAGACTTAAAAGATATTTCCTAGTCAGAACTTGCTTTGTTAGAACCTTTTGGTGTATGTAATGTAAGGCATTCTTATTTTGGTATTGAAGGATTGTAACATATCGAAGCCTCCCAAAATAAACACACATACACTACACGCATGCATCTAGCTCACAGGGGAGGCCATCCTTAAATGACCTTAACTGTTAATGGGACGTTAAACAAAACAAACAAACAAATTTTGGTATTGAAGGATTGTAATCAGAAACGTGAAACTTCCAGAATTATTTCCCTTTGGAAATATCTTTCTAGTGATTGTGCATGCTTTGATAATGAAATTGAATGTTATTGATAAATGAATTTAGGGAAGTCACAGTTCATGGTTTCGTATACATGAACTAAAAATGAACAATTGAACACTTACATCTCTTTTAATCTGTAAACAAAATAAAACAATAAAAAACTCAAACAAAACAAACCTTGTTACAAGGTTTTGAGTATGAAGTTTAAAAGTCCAAACAAAGTCTCAACAGTAATTATTCTTAATCGACCACTTTCTGAAGGGGGCCGACGACTTTAACTTTATTCCAAAGGCCTAGCGATAGACTCCTTAGATTTCAAAGATATCCTGTGTTTCCTTGATAGGTGTGTTGATCCCGTAGAATATTTAAACTGTGTCTTGCACATTTTGTAGACAGTGTTTAAAAAATTGAAATAATCCCACACTGGATTTTAGTTTCGCTGCCAATCCTGCCATATCTAAACAATGCAGTCGTGATTGTGCATATCGTGACTACGAAGTAAGGAGGCAAATGCTGTATCGTTCGAGATAAAACACAAACAACACACACCTTTGCTGATGACTACGACCTACTTATTCAGAATCGAAATACAGAAATAACGAACTGAACCATGGTGAACCGTACTTTCGGTTAACGGTGACACTCCTATAAATGATACATATGTGTAAAATATGTTGTTGTTTTTTGAAATGTTATAAAAGTGTTTGTTTTCTGCATATAATGCGTGAATATATATTTTAACATAAAAAAATTGTTGTGTTATTCAGAGTCAACAGATGTCACAGACAGATGGCAGAAATTGCTGTGGATGCTATCTTAGCTGTGGCTGACTTTGATACGAAGGATGTCAACTTTGAGCTGATCAAGGTTGAAGGGAAAGTCGGCGGGAAAATGGAGGACACAATGTTAGTTAAGGGTGTAATTGTGGACAAGGACTTCAGCCATCCACAGATGCCCAAGGTATTGCAGGATTAACCTACTGTACACGTTACAGTACTGTGTCACTAAGGTATTACAGGATTAGCCTACTAGGTACACATTACAGTACTGTGTCGCTAAGGTATTACAGGATTAGCCTACTGTACAAGTTACAGTACTGTGTCACTAAGGTATTACAGGATTAGCCTACTGTACACATTACAGTACTGTGTCACTAGGGTATAACAGGATTAACCTACTGTACAAGTTACAGTACTGTGTCACTAAGGTATTACAGGATTAGCCTACTAGGTACACATTACAGTACTGTGTCACTAAGGTATTACAGGATTAACCTACTGTACAAGTTACAGTACTGTGTCACTAAGGTATTACAGGATTAACCTACTGTACAAGTTACAGTACTGTGTCCCTAAGGTATTACAGGATTAGCCTACTGTACACGTTACAGTACCTTGTCACTAGCGTAGTTCACTCTGATGGATTTAGGGTTGTTAGTCTACCTTGGAACAGGAAAGTTTTGGTCTGTTATCAGACAAGAGCACTGTCAAAGAAGAAAAAAGATCATTAACAGTGTCATTCATGTTTGAGAAGCAAACTTTGTAAATGATTTAAGCCATGTATCATGATTAATCTCCAGTGACTTTGATCGCCTGAAAGATTGAACATGTACATCTTTTTTTACAATAAAACCATTTTCTATCTAGTGATAGTTCGAACCCTGCTTACCTATATTTCAGATTGTTCAAATACAAAATTTGAGTATTGAAATTGGAAAATGATTAAAAAAATATTTCCATGGCACATTGAATATAAAACAGGATTTAAAAGCAATCCCTGTATTCAGTCTAAAAACTAAATCATAAGCATGTTGAATTTCTGTTCAGAGTGACGTCTCCTATACAGATCAGACACCATGCTAGATAAATCAGCCACCCTGAACCATGGTCACTCGGTGTATGTCTGTGTGTCTCTTTGATATGGATGGTACACAAACTAGTGCATAAAACAGAATCTCTGCTGTCGTTCAAAATTATAATTATTAACACCATCTCGGAAACTCTTACACTGGTTTCTTTCTCTTTTACTAATACATAGCCATGTAATTGGTTACTCGGAGCAGAGCATTCAAAAGACTGACAATTGTGATACTTTTGTTCATCAGGAAGTGAAAGATGCTAAAATGGCGATCCTCACCTGTCCGTTTGAGCCCCCTAAGCCAAAGACGAAGCATGGATTGGAAGTGAAATCTGTGGAGGATTACCACAAACTACGCGAGTATGAAGTCCAGAAGTTCAACACCATGGTTCAGCAGGTCAGTATCTAAGTTCTAAATAAAAAATGTATGTAAATAAAAAAAGGTTCTGAAAATATTTATTTTCTTAAAATCAGTATGTAAAGCATTTCTTTCTGAATACAATATTTGTTAAAAGATAAGATGTTATATTTATTGTATTTGTAAACGGTATAAAAAGTATTACAAGTAGTGTTGAAGTTTTGTTAGCTTCTAGAAAAGTAGATTTGAATTGCTGTTGAATGAGAGGATTAGGTTTTCATTTGATCTTGGCATGGATGAGTTGTTCACATGTGTTGACTTTGATTCAATGTTTTAGGTAAAGGATGCAGGTGCTAACCTTGTAATCTGCCAGTGGGGATTTGATGATGAAGCCAACCACCTCCTGCTACAAAGAAAACTGCCTGCTGTTCGCTGGGTTGGGGGTCCAGAGATTGAGGTAAAAAGTGTAGCTTGAAAATAAAGCAATATGTTAAAGTGCATATTGTAGAAATGTTGAGTTGCCTTACCAGAAATGTATCTTAATCTTGTAAGTGGCCTTGTTGAAAGCCATGCCAGAAATGGAGAGTGGCCTTGTCTGCAATGAATATTGTTAAAAAGTTTGTGACCCTGCCAGATGTAGAGGCCTTGTCAATGGTCTTGCCAGAAATGTATCGTGACTTTCTACCTACTTTACAATCTGCCTCTGAAGCTCGTGTTTCTAGTTCTATATTGGTTTTGACAAGACCATGGACAGCCTAATAGAAACTGAATAAGTGCTGCTGTATGATAATGCCGAAGGATTATGCATGACAACATTGTCCAATTTTACTCTGAAACAAAAAACAACATTGTTTTTATACATTTTGTAGATATCTAATTTACTCATCTTTTGTTTTTAAAACACAGTTGATCGCTATAGCAACAGGTGGCAGAATAGTGCCAAGATTTGAGGAGCTCACAAAAGAAAAACTTGGTCATGCTGGAATTGTAAGAGAGTTAGACTTCGGTACAACCAAGGACAAGATGTTGGTCATAGAACAATGTGCCAACTCCAAAGCTGTCACAATCTTCCTCCGAGGTGGTAACAAAATGGTAGGCTGTTTGTATTGGACTACTTTCATTCAACATATCACTGTCTGATTAATGTTGATTTTGGTTACAATTGATGTGTAAAAATGTGAACATTTGTGGAATGTAGAATTTTACTATATGAATAATATTTTAAGAATATATTAACTTGCTGCGGTGAAAAAGACACAAGAGTTTTACAATTGAATTGATTTCTTTACCATTGATGGGTAATTTTCCCCAGTAGAACTTTTTTCCCATGGCCTTAAAAATTCTCCAAATGACTGAATAATTTTTTTCCCATCGAAAACTTGTCCTCTTTTATTAATGATGTTGTCAATAATCTTAAATATTTAGGCCTGACAATTTCATTTGCATCATTATTGTTTTTAACTAGATTGAATTAAAACAAAATCATGAAGTTTATTACCTTGAACACATTTGTTGACAATACAGCTGGTGGGGAATAGCCCCCTCCCCCCATGATGTTGCGCCAGACTTCTTACAACCCCAGCTTTTCCCCCTAGATAGTAAAAAGTGTGTATTACCCTTAATCCTGCCTTGATCCCTGTTTAGATATGTGGCATTGATTTACTTAATGTCTAGTATAAATTAATTTTGTTATGTTGACAGATTATCGAGGAAGGTAAGCGGAGTATCCATGACGCTCTGTGTGTCATCCGTAACCTGGTCACTGATGACAGGATCGTCTACGGGGGAGGAGCATCTGAAATCTCGTGTTCACTTGCCGTGTCGGAAGCTGCAAACAAGGTGTGTTATTTCTATAGTGAAACATTGATGAAAATAATATTGGTGTGTTAGAAGTGATTTCTTCTATTTGAGTGCCTGTAGCAGATTGGTAACATAGTTCTTCCCTAAAAAGTAGATCACAACATCTGCAGTATATAGATTGAAGTAGCATGGCGAATTTCTGTTGGGGGTGACGTCTCCTACATGGATCAGACACCATGCTAGATAAACCAGCCACCCTGAACCATGGTCACCCAGTGTATGTCTGTGTGTCTCTTTGATATGGATGGTACAATAGATGTGATGAGTTCTTTGAAAAGGGGAAAATGAGTGTGAAATTATATTTTATCAATTGCAGTTTTATTTCATTATCTCGAATTTCTGAAAGTCTGTTTACTTGTTGAATCCTGATTAGGCTTTATTGGTATTGGAAGTCCTTCTTTCACATCAGCCGTAGCTGATGATGAAGACCAGCTTTATGATGTCGAGTCTAAATTTTACTGTAAGCACCCTCTTTTTGTAGTCATTTACCCCAGGGTAGTTTTATTCTCCTAGTAGGGTCATAAATTGGTTTGGATACTTTTCGATTTTTGTCGATCTTTGCATTTCTAAAGAAAGAACCAAGTAAAATCTTTGGGTGNGGGGGAGTTACCTTACTGTTAAAAACATTAAATGAATACAGAAATTGTCAAGCCGATGATGAAAAAACTTTTGTCGACATCATAATCATGAAACCCAATGATTATTAATGATAGGACTGAGGCTTGTTCCTGGTAATAATTAGACTGACCTGCATATATACACTGAATATTATCTATTCATTAATTAGTTCAGAGCTTGTCATATTCATTTTATGTGGTTTATATTTTCTGTTCCTTTCTTTTGAAGTATTTAAGAATAATGACAAAGTTTATAAATGGGCAACAGATCAAAGTATATCTCTGTTAAATGAGGTGGAAATGTATCTCTGTTAAATGAGGTGGAAATGGAAAATAAGTATTCCTAATCCTACACGGATCAGACACCATGCTAGATAAACCAGCCACCCTGAATCATGGTCACTCAGTGTATGTCTGTGTGTCTCTTTGATATGGATGGTACAATAGCTGTGTCAAGAGAAGGTCTATTAATGACTGGTATAATACAGTATAATATGCAAGAATCTCAAATTTGGAATTTAATTTCTGTTTTGATTGGTGTTGGCAGTTTCTCTTTCAGATAGCTTTCGTTGGTGTTGCAAGCCATTCTTATTGATTCACTGATAAATGTGGATTTGACATGAGATTTTATTATCTGGATTGTGTAATTTATCCTCCTGGTATTTGTAGGGTTGGATACTGTTCTAGGTTTGTCAAAGTTGTGTTTCTATGGAGAAATTTTGGAAAATCTTTGTTTTTCTTTGATAATTCTTCAACTGTTACAACCTATAAAAGGAATACAGAAATGTCCAGCCAGTGATGAAATACTTTTGTCGACATCATAATCATGAAACCCAATGATTATTAATGATAGGACTGAGGCTTGTTACTGGTAATTTGGCAGTTTTTTCTGAACTGAACTTTACTATTTCTCGGTACAGACTTCATTTCCCAACAAATGCTCATCATACATTATACAAAGGTCAAGTACAAGAATATCTCCAAAGAGTTTGTATTTCAGGGTTCAAAGGTAATTTAACTGTTATTGATCAAAGGAATTTTGCAACTTCGGGTCTTTAACAAATTTAAATGTTATAGAATAATTAAAGTTTGAGGATAATTAGAAATTTGTCAAACAATCAGTCGGAATGTGCTTTGGAACTGTCATTGTTGTCTTTAGATGTTTTTTAGTTTACTTATAATGGAAATAACACTTCCTATTCTTATTTTTATGCTCCCACCATTTTATGGGGGGTATATATTGTTACTCATGTCAAATCAAGTTTCATTATCATAGCTGGGTTGACTTCATTTCTTAACAGATTATATAAAGGTCTTAATGTACATCAGCCACAGTGTCACTTTCAGCACGGCGAATTTCTGTTGGGAGTGACGTCTCCTACACGGATCAGACACCATGCTAGATAAACCAGCCACCCTGAACCATGGTCACTCAGTGTATGTCTGGTGTGTCTCTTTGATATGGATGGTACAAAAGATGTGTCAAGAGAAGTTCTATTAATGACTGGTATAATGCAGTAAAATATGCAAGAATCTCAAATTTGGAATTTAATTACAGCTTGATTGGTGTTGGCAGTTTTTCCTTCAGATCAGCTTTGGTTGGTGTTGGTAGTTTTTCTTTCAGATCAGCTTTGGTTGTGTTGGTAGTTTCTCTTTCAGATCAGCTTTGGTTGGTGTTGGTAGTTTCTCTTTCAGATCAGCTTTGGTTGGTGTTGGTAGTTCCTCTTTCAGATCAGCTTTGGTTGGTGTTGGTAGTTTTTCTTTCAGATCAGCTTTGGTTGGTGTTGGTAGTTTTTCTTTCAGATCAGCTTTGGTTGGTGTTGGTAGTTTCTCTTTCAGATCAGCTTTGATTGGTGTTGGAAGCCTTTCTATTAGATGCACCGATAAATTATGCAGATTTGACATCAACTGTCATTATCAGGATTGAGTCATTTATCCTCCTGATATTTGTAGGGTCCGATACTTTTCTAGGTTTGTCAAAGTTTCTTTGAAAATTCTTCAACTGTTAGTACACAGAAATGTCAAGCCAGTGATGAAATACTTTTGTCGACATCATAATCATGAAACCTTATGATTATTAATGATAGGACTGAGGCTTGTTACTGGTAATTTGGCAGTTTTTTCTGTACTGAACTTTTCTATTTCTCAGTACAGACTTCATTTCCTAACAAATGTTCATCATACATTATACAAAGGTCAAGTACAAGAATATCTCCAAAGAGTCTGTATTTCAGGGTTCAAAGGTAATTTAACTGTTATTTATTGTTTAAAGGAATTTTGCAACTTCGGGTCTTAACAAATTTAAATGTTATAGAGTAATTAAAGTTTGAGGATATTTAGAAATTGGTCAAACAATCAGTCGGATTGTGCTTTGGAACTGTCATTGTTGTCTTTTGATGTTTTTTAGTTTACTTATAATGGAAATAACACTTCCTATTCTTATTTTTATGCTCCCACCATTTTATGGGGGGTATATATTGTTACTCATGTCGAATCAAGTTTCATTATCATAGCTGGATGGACTTCATTTCTTAACAGATTATATAAAGGTCTTTATAGGTCAGCCACAGTGTCACTTTCAGCACGGCGAATTCCTGTTGGGAGTGACGTCTCCTACATGGATCAGACACCATGCTAGATAAACCAGCCACCCTGAACCATGGTCACTCAGTGTATGTCTGTGTGTCTCTTTGATATGGATGGTACAATAGATTTGTCGAGAGAAGTTCTATTAATGACTGGTATAATACAGTAAAATATGAAATAATCTAAAATTTGGAATTTAATTTCTGCTTTGATTGGTGTTGGCAGTTTTTCTTTCAGATCAGCTTTAGTTGGTGTTGGAAGCCATTCTATTAGATAGACTGATAAATGCAGATTTGACATCAACTGTTATTATCCAGATTGAGTAATTTATCCTCCTGATATTTGTAGGGTCCGATACTTTTCTAGGTTTGTCAAAGTTTCTTTGAAACTTCTTCAACTGTTAGAACACAGAAATGTCAAGCCAGTAATGAAATACTTTTGTCGACATCATAATCATGAAACTCAATGATTATTAATGATAGGACTGAGGCTTGTTACTGGTAATTTGGCATTTTTTTTCTTTACTGAACTTTTCTTTTTCTCAGTACAGACTTCATATTTCTCAACAAAATTTTGATCATACTTTTTACAAAGGTCAAGTACAAGAATATCTCCAAAGAGTTTGTATTTCAGGGTTCAAAGGTAATTTATAATTAACTGTTATTGTTTAAAGGAATTTTTCAACCAATTCAGTAGTGACACTAGCAACTTCAGGTCTTAGCAAATTTAAATGTTATAAGGTCATTGAAGTTTGAGGATATTTAGAAATTTGTCAAACAATCAGTCGGAATGTGCTTTGGAACTGTCATTCTTGTCTCTTACTGTTTTGTAGTTTACTTATAATGGAAATAACACTTCCTATTCTTATTTTTATGCTCCCACCATTTTATGGGGGGTATATATTGTTACTCATGTCAAATCAATTTCATTATCATAGCTGGATTGACCTCATTTCTTAACAGATTATATAAAGGTCTTTATAGGTCAGCCACAGTGTCACTTTCAGCACGGCGAATTTCTGTTGGGAGTGATGTCTCCTTCACGGATCAGACACCATGCTAGATAAACCAGCCACCCTGAACCATGGTCACCCAGTGTATGTCTGTGTGTCTCTTTGATATGGATGGTACAATAGCTGTGTCAAGAGAAGGTCTATTAATGACTGGTATATATAATACAGTAAAATATTCAAGAATCTCAAATGCAGAATTTAATTTCAGCTTTGATTGGTGTTGGTAGTTTTTCTTTCAGATCAGCTTTGGATTGTGTTGGTAGTTTTTCTTTCAGATAAGCTTTAGTTGGTGTTGCAAGCCATTCTTTTCGATTCACTGATAAATGTGGAATTGACATCAGATTTTATTATCTGGATTGTGTAATTTATCCTCCAAATATTTGTAGGGTCTGATACTGTTCTAGTTTTGTCAAAGTTGTGTTTCTGTGGAGAAATCTTTGTTTTTCTTTGATAATTTTTCAACTGTTACATCCTATAAAAGGAATACAGAAATGTCAAGCCAGTGATGAAATACTTTTGTCGACATCATAATCATGAAACCCAATGATTATTAATGATAGGACTGAGGCTTGTTCCTGGTAATTTGGCAGTTTTTTCTGAACTGAATTTTTTTTATTTCTCGGTACAGACTTCATTTCCCAACAAATGTTCATACTTTATACTAAGGTCAAGTACAAGAATATTTCCAAAGAGTTTGTATTTCAGGGTTCAAAGGTAATTTAACTAGGTCTTTATAGGTCAGCCTAAGTGTCACTTTCAGCACGGCGAATTTCTGTTGGGAGTGACGTCTCCTTCACGGATCAGACACCATGCTAGATAAACAGCCACCCTGAACCATGGTCACCCAGTGTATGTCTGTGTGTCTCTTTGATATGGATGGTACAGCGTTAAAGTTGTTCTTATGCACAGTTAAAAATAGATAGTGAAATTATTTCTTGTAATATACAATTACGTCAAATAAGAAATTAGAAATTATTGGTTGATGTTGGACAGCTTGCTTTCTGATGTCTGGTAAGTGTAGATTTGATGTGGGACATTGACACAAGTTGTTTGCTTTCTGTATGTTCATAGGGTTGAATTCATTGCTAGATTTGACCAACTTATGCTTTTATACAGAAAGAATTTTGTAGAATTTATTTTACAAAGAAAGAATTTTGTGGATTTTTTGCCAATCTGTGAAAGTTTCTTTATAGTTACAACCTATAAAAGGAATACAGAAATGGTCAAGCCAGTGATGAAATACTTTTGTCGACATCATAATCATGAAACCCAATGATTATTAATGATAGGACTGAGGCTTGTTCCTGGTAATGTGACAGACTTTGTTTTTTTGCACTGAACATTTTCCACGTCCTTATCACAAAAGGAGGTCTTGTCAGAAAATTCAAACAGATACAACAATAGATGAGGTTATCAAAGAACTTTCAATCTTTTCAATCTTGTCACTCTAGTACTGGACCATTTTCAAAATTGTAGATATATTTTCTTTTCCTGCTTTCGATAGTATGTAATTGTTTAGTAGTAATTATCCTAAATCTGATTAAAATTGGAGATATGGGCAACTGATCCATCACACTATTGTAATTACTGTCTGTTTATAGAGACTCAAATTAGCATACTTGCCAACTCTCCCTATTTAGGAGGATGACTCCCGATTTTAGACCCTTACATTTAGCATTTTCAACAAGTTAATTTGATCAACCGTTGCTGTTCGCTAAGATCTGATGATTTCATCTGAAAGATCAGCTCAAAAGATGCTTTTTAAAAGTGTTATTTTTGCTTAGTGTACATACACACATTTTATTTATACTTTTAATTCCTGAGCAGGAGTAATCTCTCCAATAGAAATTTTAAAAAGTTGGCAAGTATGATGTAGTCTTAATTAGAGACGGTCTGAAGAGGGAATATGCTATTGTATAACATCAATAACACTTTCGTTTGCTGTGTTTCAGGTGTCCACTCTTGAGCAGTATGCGATGAGGTCCTTCGCAGAGGCATTAGAAAGTATTCCATTAGCCCTGGCCGAGAACAGTGGTTCATCACCCATCCACACACTAGCAGACATCAAATCCCGCCAGCTCAAAGAGAAAAATCCACGACTAGGAATTGATTGCTTATTTAAAGACACAAATGGCAAGTGTGGTTGAAAAATCTTGCATTACCAACAACTCAATTGATTCTTCTGAGACTTTGGAAACACTTGGCTTTTGGTATATTGCAAGCTTATGATGATAAAACTCTGTCGACATCATAATCATGAACTCGATGATTATTAATGATAGGACTGAGGCTTGCTTTTCTCGAAGATGATATTAAAAACAAAAATGTCTATCCTATTTTAGTTAATATCCATTGAGATGTATCCATTGAGATGACTTATTTTTTGTTTACAGATATGAAGGAACAACATGTAATAGAGACGTTATCATCCAAGAGGGCCCAGATAATGTTGGCTGTGCAGCTTACTAAAATGATCCTCAAGATTGATGATGTCCGTGGAGGAGAACAACAGATGGGAGGTTACCCTGGCATGGTAAGACAGCTGCTGCTGCCTCAAAATGGTCGCACGACATATCATTGCAATAAAAGCTCACAATGGTCACACGACATATCATTGCAATAAAAGCTCACAATGGTCACACACATTCAATTTCTGTAACATGTACTACAGTATAGAATACCTGTAGGAAACAAACTGTGTATGTATGGTTTCAACGCATGCTCAAACTTTAATGCTGCTCTGCGTCTTTCTGTTCTAGTTTTCTCCCTTGGATAGCCTTTTTGGAAATTGGCATGATTTTTGGGGTGAAATTCAAAATAACATTTGTTGAAGTTACATATACTCATATAATCAGAAAATTATAGAGATATCCCTTAAAAGGGGGGAGTTTTTCTTGGTAGTTATGATAAAAAAATATGGTTTAATCAAAATATTTTCACAAAGGTTTTTACAGATCAGAAACATTTCAGACTTAAACAGCCATTGTTAAAAAATTGTCAAAAACTGTTAATCACTTAAATTATGGGTACGAATGAAAAGCAAAAAACATTTTTTTTAACCTAATTGCCTAGGCCATATTGCCATGTCTTGTTTATGATCAAGCTCTGTACATAATGAAGATACGATCAATATCTGAAATATAAAGCCTATGATGAAAAAATCTTGTCGACATCATAATCATGAATTCCAATGATTATCAATGATAGGACTGAGGCTTATAGAATATACACAAGAGCGAGGCCAGAACTGTTTGTCAAAAATTGTTTGTTCTTTCAGTAAGAACTCGCAGAGCGAGACCTGCTGATAAATTCACTTACACTACAATTAATTCTTCTGTATGTCATCTTTTATACTTCATTCTGTTCTAATTTCTCATAATTTCATGTTTTTTCAGATGTGAGGATTTTGAAATTAGGATAATATTTATAAAGACTTTCCCAGAATGAAAGATGATCGGAGGAGGTGCGAACCTGGCAAATGTCTCTTGTGCTTATTTGTTTTGTATGGAGCTTGAAAGCGGACTATTTTCTCACCTCGTGATCTGTGATTGCTGTGTCAGGACAAAGCACCGCAATATCAAGTGTCCTGTTCATCCTCATATAGGCAACATTTTCCAGGATGTGTGGATGGATGGCTTGGAATTTCTGAAAACTGTGACGTTGCTTTCGAACAAATATCTGTACACGTGTCATTGTCCATCTGAGAAACGATCTGAAGAGATTGATGGAATTTGGCAGTTACATAAATATGGCTAAATACAGACATAGTGCTGTGTTACAGTAAACTGATTGCTTTATTATATGTACCGTTTATATTTAATGTTTGAATGAGTTCTGTGAGCAAGAAAGTGAAAAGTGATTTATAAAGAAATCAAATATGAAAAATAATGTTGTTTGTTGTCTGTATGAAATATGATGTAATCTTTCCAGTCCACCAGGCACAAATTGTCTGTGGGCTTGAATGATGGGCACCAGCGGCAGCCATCCAGTGTCTTCTTCTTAGCTCCCCTTGCGGTCTATTTTTAATTTGGTTTATTTCTCCCAATTTCAGCATGTCCATGTACAAGACTTGCCAATATGTAGTAAGCATATCCGTTCTAAATTTGGTTGATATTGATCGGCATATTGCATTATTAGTAGCTATTGCATGGTGATTAATAAGTGTAGCACGTGTATGTGCATAACAAATATGCTTTAACTAAAACCATTCTGGACAGTTATTGGAAGGAAAACATCTCGAGAATTTGTGGCACAATTGATAATGTGTCAAGGTACATGCATAATATTGAGAAACTTGAGAATTTATCATTATGTATGCATATATAGGGATAAAATTTCAATATATTTGATTTCAAACAGCCAAGGTTATTTAAGGACATATTTGGTTCAAACTTTGTTGGTATTGTTAGCTCACTTGGTCCAAAGGACCATATAGTGAGCTTATGCCGTGGCGCAGCATTTGTCATCAACTTTTTCTTTAAAACGCATCTCCTCCTAAACCCCAAGAGACGATTTCAACCAAATTTAGTTTGAAGCATCGGTAGGGGGGGGGGGCAGTCATTTCTTAAATAAATGAGGATGGTTCGACCCCAGAGGCCAGGGGGGTGGGGAACTTAAATTTGCTTTAAAACGCGTTTCCTGTTTAATGCCAGAGAGGATTTCAACCAAATTTAGTCTGAAGCATCAGTAAGGGGATGTAATCATTTTTTAAATTAATGAGGTTAGTTCGACCCCTGAAGGGCAACTTAGCTCAAATTTTGTATTAAAACGCATCTCCTCACCCAAGAGACGATTTTAACCAAATCTGCTCTGAAACTTCATTGGGAATGGCAATCATTTCCTAAATAAATGAGGTTGGTTCAACCCCTGAGGCCAGGTGGGCGGGGCCCTGAAGGGGAACTTAGCTAAATTTGCTTTAAAACACATCTCCTTAACGCCAGAGACGATTTTAACCAAATTTTCCCTGAAACTTCATTGGGGGAAGGCGATCATTTCCTAAATAAATGGGGCTAGGAAGTCCGGGCCCAAAATGGGAAAATTAAGTCTGAAGCATCAGTAGGGGAGAGCAATCGGTAAATAAATGAGGTTGGTTCGACCCCTGAGGCCAGGGAGGTGGGGCCCTGAAGGGGAACTTAGCTAAAATTTTGCTTTAAAATGCATCTCCTATAAACCAGAGACGATTTTAACCGAATTTGCTCTGAAACTTCATTGGGGGAGGGCAATAATTTCCTGAATAAATGAGGCTGGTTCGACCCCTGGGTCTAGGAAGGCCTGGCCCCAAATAGGAAAATTATTGAATACTTTGCTTTAAGACGCTAATACCCTCTAATTGCAGAGTGGATTTCCAAAATTTGGTCAAAAACATTATTGAGGAAGAACAAACATTTCTTAATTGAATGAGGTTGATTTAACCCCTGCGGTCCTAAGAAATGGTACAGCTAGATTATCATATTCTATGGTGTAGTTTTCATAAATTGTTAAAAATTGGTTTCTAGGTTTATAAAAGCTTATATTTGAATGAAAATTGAAGTATTGTTATAGCTCACCGGGTCCAAAGGACCAAGGTGAGCTTATGCCGTACCGTGGCGTCCGTCGTACGTCCATCAACAATTTATTTAAACGACTTCTTCTTAACCACTGATTGGAATTTAACTAAATTTGACTGGAAGCATTTCTAGGTGGTAGGGATTCAAAATTGTACAAAGGGCGGGGCCAAAAGCAGGCAATTAGGCTATATTGCTTTAAGCAACTTCTTCTTTGGAACTAAGAAATGGATATCAACCATATTTGATTGGAAGCATTCTAGGTGGGGATTCAACATTGTACAAATCTTGGGGCTGAGGGGCGGGGCCAAAAGGGGGCAATTTGGCTATATTGCTTTAAGCGACTTCTTCTCTGGAATTAAGAGATGGATATCAACCATATTTGATTGGAAGCATTCCTAGGTGGTGGGGATTCAAAATTGTACAAATCTTGTACAAAACCCCAAAACTATCTATACAATTGTTGGGCATAAAGAGACGAATGCAGTCGTGATATTAGAATTGATCCCAGGGTCTGCCCCACCTTTGCAGACTTAACCCCTGGGTCACAACTTAGAAACAGTTGAGATCCCCACCCCAAAACTATATATATACAAATGCTGGGCAAAAAGAGACGAATGCAGTCATGATATTAGAATTGATCCTGGATTGGCCTTGGGGTCTGGCATATTCCCTGATACCTATACCTCTTGTTGATGAGTGGAACCAATGGAGGGAAATTGCTAAAAATTAAAAAATCAGTCGTGTCCATAAACGCCCATATTATATGTTTGACAAGATATAAAAGAGCAAAATATAGCCAAACAAGAGTAAGGCAAACAAATAAAATGGAGAAAGATGTACATTGAGAACCCCTAAAATAAGTACGAGGAGAATATATAAAGAATAAGGCCACGTATTCCTCGGCATCTTGGGTATCTACATCAAATCCAAGTAAGTTCACGTCCTGAATGCGGTCAGCTGGGGAAAGTGACAATCGGAAAGAATATTTTCTAATGAGATTATGATGGCGACCACAACACTTGCCTATAGCCTTGATATACATGCATCTCTCGAAACTATTTGCATTTTTGTCTTCAACGGTCGATACGTGGAACAATTCTGTCGATTATGGAAGCTTGGGGAAGTAGGGATGCTACTTTCAAGAAAGCCAAAGAGAATATTCAGGTTTGGAACAGCTTAATAGTAAGCTGTTCGTGTTGGCCATGTTTCCAGCATCTCCAGGGTAAATGAGAGATTGAGATACGACTTAAGCTGATGCTGATTATTTACTCAAGTAAATCGCCTGAGAGTTGAACAAGGGGCATTATAAAGAGTTTTGATAACACCTTTGTACCATCTTCATTAGTTCTTTGTCAGTTCGATCTTTTCTCTTCTTTCCTCTAATCTGTTTGATCGAGTCATGTTAACAGTAAATGCACCTTGAGGTAACTTTTGATCTAAACTTAATACTGATGTGTATGAAAGCCAACCTTCAAAGTGAGTTTGTCATTTCACATATTTACTAGTACAGTACTTAATGTGAAAGAAATAGAATCGATCATTGCAATATGAGAAAGATCTGTTTAGTTCTTCTTTTAATCCATTTTGTTTTTATGATCAGTCTCAAAATATAACATACACAACGAGGGATCAAGGGGAACCTACATTTAAAATTTGAGAAAGATCCCTCCCGTACTTCCCGAGAAATAGCGATAACAAACTTTCACTATCAAAATCCAAGATGGCTGCCTGTCGGCCATGTTGTTTATCCGATCAGTCTCTAAAATTGCCCTGCACAGCTAGGACCAAGGGGAACCTACATATAAAATTTAAGATCCCTCTAGTTCTACCGGAGAAATAGCGGTAACAAACCCACACTATCAAATCCAAGATGGCTACCTGTCGGCCATGTTGTTTATCTGATCAGTCTCAAAAAAATGCCCTGCACAGCTTAGGATCAAGGGGAACCTACATATAAAATTTAAGATCCCTCTAGTTCTACCGGAGAAATAGCGGTAACAAACCCCCACTATCAAATCCAAGATGGCTACCTGACGGCCATGTTGTTTATCTGATCAGTCTCAAAAAAATGCCCTGCACAGCTTAGGATCAAGGGAACCCTACATATAAAATTTGAGAAAGATCCCTCTAGTACTTCTTGAGAAATAGCGATAACAAGAATTGTTTACGGACGGACGATGGACGGACGATGGACGCAGGGTGATTTGAATAGCCCACCATCAGATGATGGTGGGCTAAAAAAGGTCCTGATAAGCTCCATATCAAACCTCTTGAAAAAAAGTTGGCTGGTAGAGCGGCGCGAATTGTTCCCATGCCAACAGCTTCCTGGAAAATCTTGCCACCGAAATAAGCAAAGATAATGCATATGTCAACCAGGAACTTGGTCCTGGTCATTGTCAAGTGTCACAAAGTATTCTGTAACATAATTTACAAACATATATTGTAGTCGATATTTAAGAGCTCTTTGATTTATATAAGGGAACAAATGCATTCCTTCTGTGTGGAATGGTGTATGGTAAAGAGTGGGCAAGTCAAAATTTCTAATAGAAGAAACAGGTTTCAGCGGTTTGATCAAAAGATCTCCAAGTTCTTCTAAATCCACATTCCATTAACTTCACTCCTGGAGGCTGAAGTGAAACAATGCAATTGATACCCCAAATTCAATGGTACCGAGAATTATGGATAATGGCTTGGTGAAGCAATAGAAGAACCAGTGATAAGACGTTGTTTATCAGAATCCAATAAAAAATCTTTTCATTACAACCGGTATTCTGAAAGATGGTAATACATATGTATTATGAAAATATATAGGTAGGGGTTCCATGGTTATGAAGAAAGCCTAAATCTTTATGCAAGAAGGAAATGTTTACTAAGTTCAAGTTATTGGATGCTTTTTCTGCCGACACAACTACCTACTTATGCAGAATAAGAATATGCTGAAGGAGGAAATATCTAAGGTCACTAAGATTTAAGTTGTTTTATCGTTTGCTTTCAGTTGGAAACGTTTGAAACAATGGGATAAGAACGGATTAAAATTCTGTAATTCTGATTTGCTTGAGCATTGTAACTATCCGTGTGAACAGACTTTAAAGGGTCGAATTCGGTTAGCATTGTGAAAAAAAATCATCAAGTTTCCAAGCTAGTTTTCAAAAGTTAATCGGGAACACTTTTAAAAGAATCCCCGTGTGAAGTTTGTAATACGGAGAGAGGGAGTGAATACAGTGTGGTTCAAACATAGAGTACACACAATGTCAACATAACATTGTACATCTATGAATTTGGTTTGACTTTTGTAATATGGACACCCATTACTACGATTACGTTTTACTGGAGAAAAGAACAAAGACGCTACATTTGTATGACTGCATTCTGGACAAAACAAGTTTCCTACAAGATTTATACGGCCAAGACATCTTTACAGTGGAGATGTGCTGAGAAATCTTGTGTTATGTGTCTCCCATGGTCATAGACAGATTAGAATGGTCGGATGGGTTGGAATGTTGCTGTTACATTAATTTTTCCCACGTTTCACTGACGAACGATGACTCTATCTCCTAAAATCAAGATGTTTCCTTAACTCCAAAAATGTTTCCTATGGAAAATCTCAAGTTAAGTTTATGAAACTGATGCCACAGAATGTCCACCTGTGTTCAGTGCCATTGTTTTATCACCAGGCCCTTGACATTTATTACCGTAAATAGAACACAGCAGTTATTGAATAGCTAGGACTTCAACACATATTTTAATTTTGTCATTGCAACTGCAAGCTAAGCTAATAAACACTACAAAATGCATAGGTGTCAACCTCTGAAACCTCCAATGAGCAAGATCTCCCTCATTCCACATTTCTAGGGAGAAATAAGTGCATAAAACGTGACTGAAACTGCTTTGCTCAATTTATCTTTCCCTTTTTTAGTTTGTATGCATCAAAATTACTCCAAAAAGAATTCATTTGATTCAAACAAACCTGTTATGATCATTACACACACCCTACAGTAACTAGGAGATCATTTGACAACAGGATGAAAATTTTGAGTTTGTGGGAGTTTGGACTTGAATGAGGGAGTTTTCAGGTAGATTGGTAATTTCAGGTAGATTGGTAAATTTTGGTCAAAATGAGGGAGTCTCCCTCCTAATGAGGGAGGGTTGACAGCTATGCTACATATATAAACAAGAGGCCCAGAGGGCCTGTATCGCTCACCTGTTTCTTTTGTTACATTCAACTGACATATAGGTAACTTAAGACCAAATTTTGTAACTAGAACACAAGGCATTTTAACATCTCTTAAACGGTTCTGAAGATATTGTTGTTTGACACTTGAAATTTTAATGTTAAAGCTTTTAACTCATATTGACCTTTGACTCCCGACTTGCATTTAAAGTTGACCTTTGACCTCATTACTGTAATAAAGAAAACAATTCACACAGCTGGTCTACATAACATACCGAAGTATCATGACTCTAGTCCAAATGGTTCTTAGGATATTGTTGTTTGAAGTTTTTAACATAATTGACACCAGAAACCTTGGAAGTAGGTCAAGGTCATTTTAATGAGGAAAATTTATAACACTTCATCCCAGGTACCTACTGGCCAAATATCATAACCCTGAGCCTTATGGAAATTGAAAAGGTTGTTAAAGCCTTTGACTCATGTTGACCTTTGACCCCAACTTGAACTTAAAGTTGACCTTTGACATCATTACTGTAATTGAGAAAAATATTTGCACTGATGTTCTACATAACATACCCGAGTATCATGACACTAGTCCAAATGGTTCTTGGGATATTGTTTGAAGTTTTTAACATATTTAACCCCAGTGACCTTGAAAGTAGGTCAAGGTCATTTTAATGAGGAAGTTTTATAGCACTCCATCCCAGCTACCTACTGGCCAAATATCATGACCCTGGGCCTTATGGAACTTGAGAAGAAGATTGTTAAAGCTTTTAATCAAAGTTGACATTTGACCCCCGACTAGTATTTAAAGTTGACCTTTGACCTCATAACTGTAACTGTGAAAAATATTTGCACTGCTGGTCTACATAACATACCAAAGTATCATGACTCTAGTTCAAATGGTTCTAAGGAAATTGTTGTTTGAAATGTTCACATATTTGACTGCTGTGACCTTGAAAGTAGGTCAAGACCATTTTAATGAGGAAACTATATAGCACTCCATCCCAGGTACCTACTGGCCAAATATCATGACCCTAGGTCCTACAGTTCTTCTTCAGAAGTCGTTCAAAAGAAAAAGTTGACGGCCGGACGCCGCAGTACGGCTTAAGCTCACATGGCCCTTTGGGCCAGGTGAGCTAATAAATGGACACAAGTGAGGCTAAAATCATCTTTTATTGAGCTCAAACTCCTATGTGAAATAATTCTATTTTTTCAGTACAAATCAGTGACATGGCCATAGCCAGTATTAACATGTATACATATTTTCATTTTATACAGCAACATAACTATTACACGTAATATTCTACTTTTATGAACATGTTTCTCATTGCATATCTATATCAAAAGCAAATTATGCAATAACTAATAAGAAATATTCATAGGGCAAACAGAGTAAGCTACAGGTATTCAGTTAAAAAGTTAACATGGAATTAGGGGTTGGACAAATTCTAGTCCATGCTTTGTACAAGAATTTTGAGTTCCATGGAAAAAATCAGAGTTCTGAATCTATTTACTCCTGAAAGTGTTGTAATTACAAGCTAACAAACTAGTAAAGACGACTGACAATGCAAAACAGTTTATAGCTTTACATGTAATCTATTGTTGACTAGTTTGGACATATTGGACATGTGTCTTCTTTAGAACAAATTTAAATATCAATAAGACACAAATTTAAATATCAACAGTAAACTGTAAGATTAAAAATATATAGTGCCTTATGTGTAGGGGAGCCAACAATGACCCCAATAGGACACCAAGATCTGTAGAGATGCACCACCCTGCCTCATTACAGGCTGACAAGCTTTCAACTGAGGCCAAATAAGCCTAAGATCAGCCACAGATTTTGTGACAGTAGCAAGAACCATATATACCAGAAGGGACCAGGTGTTAAAGTTATACATAATTTATTATATACGACAGAGGCCATATATATAAATACGTGAAAGGGGCCCAGATGTTAGGGCTACCACGTATACATGAGAGGGGCCCAGCTGTAAGGGCTACCACATATACATGAGAGGGGCCTAGGTGTAAAGTGCTAACACATTTACATGATAGGGGCACATGGCCAGATGTAAGGGCTAATGCATATACATGAGAGGGGCCCAGGTGTTCAGTGTTGCCTCTACTAACACTCTCTGCACCCCTGGAATATGTCGTGGCAAAATTGAAGGCTCAGTGTGTACCACCTTGTAAAAGAGAAGAGAAGACTTGTTCGATCCTTTGATGAACATCAAAAGAATTTTGCGGTCGCGTAACGGTACAGTAGACTGGCTTTTAAGCGGGTTGTCACTCCTTTGTAATCTTCAAAGGTTTATGTATCTGCCTAACAATTGGTCAGGTTTCTTTACCCGAGTCCAATCAAATAGCTAGCTGTGTGCCTTCAATTTTGCTATGACATATCCAGGGGTGCAGAGATCGAAAGTGAGCGTAGTACTGTAGTACTGGAGTATAGAGAATGCTATAATTGACATTATTCAGAAACTTCAGATTTTTACTACTATAATTGTAACCTATGGCATAAAACTGGAGGCATCCCAAAACACATTATACTGTATGGGATTATTTCTTTACAAAATTAGAATCTTGACTTTGTGATCATCAGTTGTCTCTATTTAAAAACAAAATCACAAATTTCAATATAAAGAAAAATATACAAAAATACTGTTGATGTAATAGGTTTAAAAGACTTTGGTTAATGGTATAATAGTTAAAAAATAGCAACCACTTTGCAAAAAATGAAAAGTACTGGTGATCTTAAAAAATAGAAACCACTTTGCAAAACATCAAAATTACTGACGATCTTAAAAAATAGCAACCACTTTGCAAAAGCGGAAAACTAACAATGATCAGATGATATCCAACAAATGTCTGTTACCATGATAAAAACTATAATATCATGCCTTCTAACTTCCATTGCACAAATGCTCATGTCAAACAACAAGGTGTAATTTCTTGTAAAGTAAGAAGTGAGAATAATTTATAATTCCTCGACTTATCTGGAGCCAACCTGTATCTTATGAACAAGTCTTATATGTAAAGTAACATATTATCAAAATAATAATTTATACAAAAAAACAGAAAGCTCATACACAGGTGATAATTTTCTTTTTTTTATTTTCTTTTTTGAAGTTTGACTGGCCTATACGCTAAAATTACTTCTAAATGATCTTTGATATAAAACTTACGGGTTTTCCACGTTATTTATAACACTGTTTGTCATCTCCAGTATATTAATGCCATTCCTTGTCACTTCCAAATATATTAGTGACTGTTATTGGTTAAACAGTTAGCATACTGTCACTCAATAAAACAGTAAGTTTTCTTTAGTCAATTAACAGACAGAGAAATCTTGGCTGAAATCCTGTATCCCGAGGCTTCCTTCAGAATGCCACCTCTTATCATTTTTTTTATAATTTTTGCGCATCATCCCAAACAATTACCTTTATAAGGTTATATCTAAATGCAAAATACAAGTGAAAAAATTGGTATAGTCTGTCATACAAGTGAAATGTATTTATGGTATTCAATGGGAAAACGATTAAATTTCTATCCCCCATTAAGTTTCTATGTAATACATTTTTTAAGTAGAAACATGCAAATGTTACTAGATCAAGAAAGAGGTGGGATTAATAGTGCGATCTTTGGCACCATTATTCTGATGACATTATTTATGCTTGACAACAAGGCATGCTATTTTGAATGTTCTGCTATTACCCTGAAGTATTTTGCAATGTTTGATGACAATACCCTCAAGTATTTTGCAATGTTTGATGACAAATATCCTCAAGTATTTTGCTATGCTTGCAGACAAAAAGAATATCGATTGTGTAGTAAATTATGTACATTGGTTTATGTAGCAAAGGTGTAGCAAAACAACCACTATTCAACTGTCACTCCACCTGCATCTGAGCAGAATTATTAATGCAGTAAATAGAAAGAACCATTCTGATTGGTCAATACTCGATTTGATAACTTCACACTGGCAATTGCTAATATATCACTGGTAAAAATATAATGAATTGAAATATTTTGTTAAAAATGTTTATTATGAAGTACCAGTACATCAAAATAAATGGTACAAAGTTGTAAAAAGTATTCTACATATTTCCTCCAACCAGCAGATCCATGTATAATTTGTAGTCAAACCATTCACTTTTTCTGTGACATAGATTTGAGGAACTCCGCAATGTTTATGTCACTGATGTCGTTGATATCATCAGGACTATAGTCAGTCATTGTTGCCGACAGCAACAGCGACGGATCAAATGCACCGGAATCATCCATGTCCTCATCGATTGGTTGTAGGTGATTCTGAGCCATGCCGACACTGGAAATAGAATGTGTACAGGCTTTTCTTAGTCTTCAGTTATAAATCTTGGTAAACGTCAATAAGTTACATCATCTGTACAACACAATTATAACAAGAGGCCCAATGGGCCTGCATCGCTCACCTGGTATAAATCTCACACTTGTAACCTTAAAAGTGATCTCAAATAAAGCTACAGGCAAAATATCAGTATTTATGATTAAAATTCATTCAAAAGACCCATTTTTTTTTTAAACATTCCACCTCTGTGATTGAAAGTCAAACAAAGTCATTATGTTGAACAAATTGTATAGCCTTTCATCTCAGGATGCAATTTGCAAAGTATTAATATCCTGGAACCCATGGTTATTCAGAAGAGGTCGTTTAAAGATTTTAAACAAATTTGACTCCTGTGACCTTGAATATAAGTCAAACATAGTAGTCCTTGATCCCAGCATGCTACTGACTAAATATCAACATCCTGAGCCTTTTGGTTATTCAGAACAAGTTGTTTAAATATTTTGAACATATTTGCTCCTTGCGACCTTGAATATGATTCAAGGTCATACATTTAAACAAACTTGGTAGCCCTTGATCACAGCATGCTACTGGCCTAATATCATCACCCTGGGCCTTTTGGTTATCGAGAAGAAGATGTTTAAAAAAATTAACATATTTGACCCATGTGACCTTGAAAATGGGTGAAGGTCATTCATTTGAACAAACTTTGTAGCCCTTCATGTCAGCATGATACTGGCCAAATATCATCACCCTGGGCATTTGGGTTATTGGGAAGAAGTTGTTTAAATCTTTTAACATATATGACCCCTGTGACCTTGAATATGGGTGAAGGACATTCATTTGAACAAACTTTGTAGCCCTTCATGTCAGCATGCTACAGGCCAAATATCATCACCCTGGGCATTTTGGTTATTCAGAAGAAGTTGTTAAAAGGTTTTTAAGACAATTGACCCCTGTGACCTTGAATATAATTGAAGGTCATTTATTTGAACAAACTTGGTAGCTCTTCACCCAAGCATGCTACTGGCCAAATATCATCTCCCTGGGCAGTTTGGTTATCGAGAAGATGTTTAAAGTTTTTCACATATTTGACCCCTGTGACCTTGAAAATGGCTTACGGTCATTAATTTTAACAAACTTCGTAGCCCTTCATCCCAGTTTGCTTCTGGCCAAATATCATCACCCTAAACCTTTTGGTTATTAAGAAGAAGTCGTTTAAAGTAAAATATTGACGCCGGACGCCGGACGGACAGACGACAGACGCCGCACCACGGCATAAGCTCACTTCGTGCCAGGTGAGCTAATAAACCCATAGGGATCTATGATATTAAACTATAGAAGATATGGTTTATTACAGAGTTTGATGTTTATCAGAAATTTCCTTGTCAGACAACACAAATTACTTAATTGCATCAAGGGAAGAATGCACAATAAGCATGTTCATGATAAACTATAAGACTCTTTCATGCCAAGGGGTGAAGGATAGGGAAATTGCACCTGAGGGGTTTTCAAATTTGGTAAAACCTGAGGCTGTGCTGAGGGTTATGCTGAATTTGAAAATCCAGAGGGTGGGATGTCCCTATCCTACACCCTTAGGCATGAAAGAGTATTAAGCACAGAAACCATGAAAATGATACTGGCTACCATTTTGAAAATATCAATTTTTCCCCTGAACTTTTTTGACGAAAACGAGTTCGTCTGCGAGATTTAGCATACCCCAGAGTTTGCCCAGAAAAAATAATCTCATCTTTTGACCGTGTACGGTAAATATATCGTAAAAGATTTTTATTTCATCACGTTGCCTTTTCCACACTGCAGCATCGGCCTTTTCCAAATTCGTGACGTCACGTCATTGTTGAGCTATTGTGACGTCCGCCCATGTAAGATAGGTTATCTTACATGGCCGGGTATGAGATAAACATATGTTCTGGTTTCACAAACACATTATAGTAGTACAGAATTTTACTGGTGTGAATACATTCAACTGAAGACTGACATAATCAAACTGATTTTATCCTCAGGCTGTGGTCATGCAAATTGTTTCTTTAATGAGCAGTAAATATGTCCCTCAATTCAATTTGCTTAAATAATGAAAAACACATGTAATTTACTTTTCATTAAAATTCAGATTCAGGTAAACTTAATATTTTTTCCAAAACATCTGAAAACGCCTTGTGCAAATTTAAAGAAGTCACAGTCTAAACATATATATAGTGAATTTTTTCTTTATTTTTTATAAAATTTAAAATCTGCAGTTTTACAAATACCCGGTACTATGGCAATAATGGGGACAAGATATTGCAGATTTTTTTTGTTAATTTAATGGGAATAAAAATTCATTCTGGGAGGGCGTATAACAGACAAGTCTTGACTGAATGTTTAATCAGTAGAATAGTACAGGTACTGTAGATTACTACTAATTTGCATAAATATTTATTTCATATAAACTGATTTAAGCATTGATTGCAAATTTGTGAATTAGAGAATGCTATATTTCATGCTATTTGAACATTAATATTAATTATCTATAGAATTATCATTCACAGAAAAACACATGCCTAATTCTCCTAAAGAATTAACAAAAAAACTATTCTTTCACACAAAAATAAAGTAATAATAAGACTTTTAGTATTAAATGTTTAAAAAAACAAGAGGCCCATGGGCCTTAACGGTCACCTGAGTCCTACAGGGTTTATTTTTGTTGTTGAAATATGTACCAATTTGAGTAAAAAATAGTTAAGTATAACGTTAACTTAAGTTTGTCAGGACCATGAGCTGATCATTCCTAGACCGAGTTTCAGTTAGTTTGTTTGAAATAGTTATTTTCAAAATAGCGGCCGTGGCGGCCAAATTGGATTTCTGATCGACCCGAAAAATAACAACACTTTGTCAGGACCATGAGTCAATCATTCCTGCAAAGTTTCAGTTTAATCGGCCCATTAGAACTTGACTTTAAGTTTGAAATAGCTTTTTCAAAATGGCGGCAGTGGCAGCCATATTGGATTTCTGATTGACCCAAAAAAGAACAAAACTTTGTCAGGACCATAAGTCGATCATTCCTACCAAGTTTCAGTTCAATCTGCCCAGCAGAACTTGACTTAAAGTTTGAAATAGTTTTTCAAAATGGCGGCCGTGGCGGCCATATTGGATTTTTGATTGACCCGAAAAATAACGACACTTTGTCAGGACCATAAGTCGGTCATTCCTACCAAGTTTCAGTTCAATCAGCCCAGCAGAACTTGACTTCAAGTTTGAAATAGTTATTTTTAAAATGGCAGCCGTGGCAGCCATATTGGATTTCTGGTCGACCCAAAAAAAGGAACGACACTTTGACAGGAGAATCGATCATTCCTATTAAGTTTCAGTTCAATCGGCCCAGTAGAACATGACTTTAAGTTTGAAATAGTTTTTCAAAATGACGGCTGTGGTGGCCATATTGGATTTCTGATTGACCCGAAAAATAACAACACTTTGTCAGTGAGATGTCAGTAACCTTCTCATGAAATATTAATGAAATCCCTTTTCCAGTATTTCAGCTTAAGTTGAAAATGAAAAATGTTAATGGACGACGCACGATGGATGAAGATGGATAGCAATAGGTCACTTGAGCTAAAAACCTATTCAAAGTCTGAGTTGTTAATGTTACAAAATGATAAGGAATTCCTATGGATAAAAGTCATGAACATATCATATAAGGCACAGTGTTTACACTAGGGTTGATCTGCAGAATTACATCCTACCTGTTGGGATCGTACACGGGGGAGTCCGGGCCGAGATGTGAGCCTTGAGGAGTCTGGGGATTGTTGTAATCCATCGGTGCTGCATTTGCTCTGAGAAAGGTACATTGATACAATATATTGTAGACTCTACTGAGGCAACTTACTTATGAATACATACAGTCAAACTTCGAAGATTTGAACTTTTCAGGACATTTTTACTAAGAAAAATTTGAAAACTTTGATTCGCAAATGTTCCAACATCGAAATCTTGAACATACCCGGTAAGACAGAATTTGACTCTTATGTATGTGACGAAACACAGGCTTTGGAATTTAAATTAAAATGCACAAATATTGGATTTAAAGCAATAAGATTAGCATATTTATTTATACACTCTAAAATGTGCATGGTGATCAAATTCAACATTTCTTGTCAATTAAATTTACGAAGTATGTGTGTTAGAATGACTGCAAGACACTTCATGCAGAAATGAAAGCCTCAGAAATGTGACAAACAAAAATACCTTTCAAGGAATAAACGCTGGTATGACAATGTTTAAGCATGTCAAATATTTTTTTGTCTGTTGCATGCGGAGGCTTTCAAAACTTGAAGAGCATTTAGTTAATATCCTTCAAAATGGAAAAATTGCAGGTTTATGTCTCTCTTTGTAATGCCATATCACCTAAACCACTGAAATTTCATATTTGCCTACTTCATTTATTCCAGATTACGAATATAACATTTAATTCAAAATCCCTGATGAGGCCAGAAATTACCCTTAGCGCCCCTAGTCCTTTTTCACTCAATTTATTAGTTTTATTCAATGTTTTCGCCTATAGATTACTTTTAATGTATTTGCGCAGAGGTTTTACTTTTGATGTACTCGCCTACAGGTTTTACTTTTAATGTACTCGCCCACAGGTTTTACTTTTGATGTACTTGCCCACAGGTTTTACTTTGATGTACTCGCCCACAGGTTTTACTTTTGATGTACTCTCGCCCACAGGTTTTACTTTGATGTACTTGCCCACAGGTTTTACTTTTAATGTACTCGCCCACAGGTTTTACTTTTGATGTACTCGCCCACAAATTTTACTTTTGATGTACTCGCCCAGAGGTTTTACTTTTGATGTACTTGCCCACAGGTTTTACCTTTGATGTACTTGCCAAGAGGTTTTACTTTGATGTACTCGCCCACAGGTTTTACTTTTAATGTACTCACCCACAGGTTTTACTTTTAATGTACTTGCCCACAGGTTTTACTTTTAATGTACTCACCCACAAATTTTACTTTTGATGTACTCGCCCACAGGTTTTACTTTTAATGTACTTGCCCACAGGTTTTACCTTTGATGTACTTGCCAAGAGGTTTTACCTTTGATGTACTCGCCCACAGGTTTTACTTTTAATGTACTCGCCAAAAAGTTTTACTTTTGATGTATTCGCCCACAGGTTTTACTTTTGATGTACTTGCCCACAGGTTTTACAGGGTTGTATAACTCAAGTTTTATAAATCAAATATGTAGCATTACCAAAGATTTATAGATGAAAAATGTAGCGTTACTAAAGTTTTATTGATGAAATCTGTAGCGTTACTTAAGTTTTATTGATGAAATCTGTAGCATTTCCAAAGTTTCATAGATGAAAATCTGTAGCATGACCTAAGTTTTAGAAATGAAAACTGTAGCTTTACCCATGTTAGATGAAACTGGACTACAACACCTCTGTTTTACCGCCAAGCAATTTTTTCATAAAGCATATTTACAATAAAACTATTCACTGACAGATAGACTTAACTTTTGTTTTTATCATATAGAGTTTTTGCGTTTGTAAATACTCACAGACTGTCGGGCAATCTGGCCACCAGTGTGCTCGGTACATATCCATCCTTCACTTCGTTATGTTTTTCTGGAAAAGTCCAAACACAATTATCAAATACTGTGCTGATTGGATTTCTTATAAATAGTCTAATGCAGTTTAACACTGAACACAAGCTTGTCAGATTCAGGAAAGATGTTAAAAAGAAATATCATATTTCATAACATAAACATAAATAACAACGACTTGGTTGGGCAGAATAATGGGACAAAGTTATGTGTCCACTAAAAAATGTTTGTCATTGACTTTAGAAAGGACTTCTTAAAACATTTTCACCTCTATTGTCCCCATTATGGGAGGCCTAGGGGTGTTGGGGTTGGCAAACCCTCCAATTATACAACATTGACCCTAAAAATGTTCCAGACTGAATTTGGTTTAAATCTGTTCTGCCATTCTGGACAAGTAGTGTTGGAAAATAAATGTTAATGACAAACCCTTCAATAACACAAGATTGATTTCCCTTTGCCTATAATGATCAATGTCAAATTTAGTTTAAATCCCTTCAGCTTTTCTGTGGTAGCAGTCTTTTAAATGAAAAATTGATGGCAGATGATGAATACTGCACCAGGGCATAAACTCAATGGTGGATTTAGATGTGAATGGTGATAGATGGTTCACAGTAACAGTTTGTACAGTCCTGGCATTGAAAAGTTGAAGCTGCAGTGACATTTTTCAATTAACAAAGAGCAAGCATCTATCATTTTAAGTACATCTGTGTCTCTTCTAAAATTTAGAAACTCCAGTTTAATATTTTTCATGGGCCTATGACATAGACCTGTTCAGCACCGTACCTACCTGATACAGCTGTGTAGTATTTCCCAAAGGCTTGTGATTTAGATATGTTTGGATAGAGGGTAACAAGAGCATCCAGGTCCTTGATTCGATCAGACAGGCTGCGAATTATGAAATCTTTACGGCCGTAAGGAGCCAGGTTCCAAACAGACCTCTCTCCTGTAATGAAAAAGTCAGGCGCTCTTGATATTATATTCTCATTCCATTTGGTTAAAAAAAAAAAATCTTTTACGAAAGGAATTAAAGATAAAGGCAAAGCTCAGGTGACCTAAAAAGCTGGACTGTATACAGACAGCGTTCACATGTGCTTTCTCGAATCAGAGTCACGAAAACAAACACTCCTCAAACCGAGTTGCTAAAACGCTCAAACCCAGTGCACAAATTTCACCACCAGAACACTCGTAGAATGCACCAGAGATAAACATTTTGTTTGGAGAAGAGTATCAGAAGACCCAAAGGTGAGTGTCAGAGATTCTACTTTCTATTTACGATAACGAAACTATATAGCGGAAGCATGCAAGACTGAATTATGCGCACGTATCCCGAACGGAAGTGGGTCCGTCATTTCGCTCTCTGGACAGAATCAATAAGCTGCTCGGCTCTCGCCAGGAGGGGCTTAAAAATTGGAAAGAAGAAATAACAGAAAAGAGGAAGAAGATGAGAAAGAAGAAATGAGAGAAGAGGAAGAATTTGATATAAGAAGATGACAAAATAGAATAAAGGGAGATAGTGATATAGAAGAAAAGATGTACCTGTTTTAGAAGGATCATCAGCTACCCATGCTATTGTGATCCCACCCGTCTCAGAGTCGCTGAACCTCAGCAGGAACGTTCCATTGGGTTTGGTCATCAACCATTCTTGAGCAGAGTTCTTGCTGATAAACCCAATCACTGACCTGTTCCCAAACATTCAAATCCACAAACTAATTACATTTTCTGGATAGGATCATAAGTTTGCAAAAGATTTGTGCCCAAACAGTATACTGTAAATTTAGTGTATTTTCAATTTTTTTAAAGAATAACACTTCAATAAACTGGTACTCTCATACTATATGCAGTAGTAAACTGTGTACAGAAACATCTAAAGCATGAACGCTTACTTTAGAATTAACTGCTAAAATATAACATGCAATGTTCGCCGATACTTTTCTTTGTGGTTTGAAGCAATTCAGGTTGTTTTGGGGTACAAACTTTCAAGTATAACAAATACATTTTTCATATTTATTTTTTGTGGTACTATAGCAACCACAAACACCAGGAATGTTTGTACACAGCAAACATATCATGTCAGACAGTTTGTACAGGAACAGTATGTAGTTTAACAAATTAACAGCATAATTTGCAACAAATAAAAATCTTTCTAAAATAACACTTACCCGTCCATCCACGTAGGTTTGAGGTGTTCCTCCGTCAGTTTCATTACGTTGTAGAACCACTCCCAGAATGTGAAGTTACGAGCGGATAAAGCGTCCTGTCAATACCAACACAAATTCATCTAAGGGTCTGTCAGAGTCACACAACAGATATCTAGTTAAGTCCCCCAAACAAAGTAGAGGACTTATTGGTTTTATTCCGTTTCTTGTTATTATTATTATTCTTCTGCCTTAAAAGTTTTCGACACATTACTCGATAACAATTGGACGAAAATTTCTGATATAAGCGTGAAAAATATAGACCCTGCAAAATTGTTTCCCTTCTAATATATATATATGTACTATTTGTAATTAACCGAGTTTTGCAAAACTTCAACCCTGAAATTTCTTTCATGAAGAAATTCCGCCAACATTATCCCACAAAATGAAGTACTTCTTACTATGTAATCAATGCAATGAAAGAATTGTACCGGTATACTATTGATCTCTAGGCAACCTCAGATAAACTTATTGCTTGTACTTGAACAATATTTTTTTTCTGCTGAATGTATGAATGTTTAGTGGATAAATTAAAAAAAGATCCCTTGATTTACTTTCGCCAATAATGCTTTCTTAAAATACCTAGGCCGAGTTCTATGATACTGACCTTGTTGAACATCGACCACGATATTAGTCTTTGTGAGAAGTCCTCCCCGGGTTTGATCTGACCTCCTACAAGTACGAAATTTAAACTTTCACAAACATAAACAAAATCCAATCTTTCATGAACAAAATGGCTTGTTCTCAGGAAATGAATTACTTACAATTATTATCATTTACAATTTCATACCCCTCAAAACATTACTAAACTAAATAAATATATATCCAAGAAATATCACATACACAGAAAAGATACAAGTCACACAGTTTGGGCTAAGTATGAAACAGACTATAATTGTTTTGCCATTGTCTTCCTATATCAACACTTTTCTTTTTTCTCTAAAAAAAAGGGGAGCTGAGAACACCTCCAACCTCTCATACACACAACAAACCAAATATAACCTGTCATACACAAAAAATACAACATCTAACCTCTCATACACAAAACATACAAAATCTAACCTTTCATACACAAAACATACAAAATCTCACCTCTCATACACAAAACATACAAAATCTAACCTCTCATACAAAATCTAACCTCATACACAAAATATACAAAATCTCACCTCTCATACACAAAGTATACAAAATCTAACCTCTCATACACAAAACATACAAAATCTAACCTTTCATACACAAAACATACAAAATCTCACCTCTCATACACAAAACATACAAAATCTAACCTTTCATACACAATACATACAAAATCCAACCTCATACACAAAATATACAACATCTCCCCTCTCATACACAAAACATACAAAATCCAACCTCATACACAAAATATACAAAATCCCCCCTCTCATACACAAAACATACAAAATCTCCCCTCTCATACACAAAATATACAAAATCCAACATCATACACAAAACATACAAAATACAACCTCTCATACACAAAAAAAAATCAAAATCTAACCTCTCATACACAAGTTATACAAAATCCAACCTGTCATACACAAAACATACAAAATCCAACCTCTCATACACAAAATATACAAAATCTCCCCTCTCATACACAAAATATACAAAATCTCCCCTCTCATACACAAAACATACAAAATCCAACCTCTCATACACAAAAAAAAATCAAAATCTAACCTCTCATACACAAGTTATACAAAATCCAACCTGTCATACACAAGTTATACAAAATCCAACCTCTCATACACAAAACAATCAAAAGCCAACCTCTCTTATACAAAACATACAAAATCTAAACTCTCATACAGAAAACAATCAAAAGCCAACCTCTCATACACAAAACATACAAAATCCAACCTCTCATATACATATATACCATCTCACATGATAGTCTAAGCATATTTTTCTCCAGTATTCACAACCTTCTATACATTGAACCTACCAAAGGCTTTGATGGCTAGGTAGGACAGATTTTCTGCTGTCAACCCACGACCAGTGGCGGCCTGGAACTTTCCATTGAGTAGTTCAGCCACCTGACACCACGGAACAGAGTCTGGAACTGCGAACGGGGTGCGGCCCTGAAAGGGAACAGCTGGCACATTGAATACAGGAAGTTCTCCAGTGTCAAGCTTTACGAAAGATCCAGTAAGATTTAGATTCTATCATACCAAGCCTGAATAAACCTAGCATGAAGAATAAATCCCCTGTACGATCACATGTTACTTAAGACCAACTGTAATGAGATAAAAGACATGGTCACATCAAATCCTTACAGAGATCAACATTTGTTACATCATGCAATCCCCCTGTTGGCTCATGCAGGGAAAGAATAAGCCATATAAAATCTCTAGTGTGGCATAATATGCCCCTCTTTTACCCTATCACTTTCTGTTCTGAGCTGGCCTCCCTTAGTCACCGACTGCATCATCATTTACTGTGGACTAAATGACCTTCTTTTGTTGATAGACTATTAAAGTACAAACAATGGGCCTTAACAGTCACCTGATTTATGTAAAATCTGACGTTATCAATGTTGCCATAGGAAAAAGAAATCATTTTGTAACAAAGGTAACTTGAACTACATATAATGCAAAAGTTGTGTAAAAGTTCTGGGTAGTATATGTACTATGTACAAATAGTGGTTCTGTCAGTCAGCTGAATTTTGGTAAAGCACCTTAAGACCCTTCCATAGATATGAAGAGTATTTGATTCTGCCATATCTTGATCTTGAGAAGAAGATTTTTGAAATTTTGGTCAATTTGACCCTTTTTGGCCCCTGCCTGTCAGGTCCCTTGGGGCTGGGGATCATATAATTCACAATTTTGGTTGACCTTTGGCCATGGAAGGTTTCTGCAAAGTTTCATTGAAATTGGTTCAGGGGTTTTGGAGAAGAAGTCGAAAATGTAAATTGTTTACGGACGCATGACACCGGACAAAAGGCGATCGCAATAGGTCACTTGAGACTTTGTCCCAGGTGACCTAAAAATACCAAAGACGGGCAAATATCATACAACATCCTGACTGAGATTAATCTTTGTACCAGTATAACACACTTTACTTACCGGCTCAGCAAATTGGTTGTCCCACAGAGCAGTTGCCATAGCGTTGCATTCCTGGTTACCGTGAACAGTCACAACGACAGGCAATGACAGTGTCTGCAAAAATGATATTTTCTGATTACCTACCCCCATTCATTTATCTAAATAAATTGTATTTCTGGGCAACCTGTTGTAAACCAAAGTATCTAGATTTCAAAAATTCAATATCGTACAGCTGCTGGACTTTCTGAAGAAAGTTTAACTTATCAACCAGGAAAACCAAAGGTGATCACGAGTACAGGTAAGCCCATATCAAGATCTGCTGTACGTTTTGACAGGTCTGTAACTGTCTTCACCAACGAATTTTCAAATGAAAGTGCCAAGTGTGCTGTAAATTTAGGAATGGATGTGGAAGGAAAATTGTATGTGGAAACTATGAAACTATGATTATATTTTATAAAATATATAAACCCCTTATCCACAAATACATATCTTTGACCTCTGTAACCTTTGAATTTTTTCAATGTTATTTATTTTCAACAAATTTATATAATGGCTCATTATTTCTATTCTGAGGCTTTTACATGTTACATTCCAGGTATATTTCAAGAGTAATCAATATCACATGTTACATTACAGGTATATTTCAAAGGTAATCAATATCACATGTTACATTACTGGTATATTTCAAGGGTAATCATTATCACATGTTACATTACCGGTTTATTTCAAAGGTAATCAATATCATATGTTACATTACAGGTATATTTCAAAGGTAATCAATATCACATGTTACATTACAGGTATATTTCAAGGGTAATCATTATCACATTGTGAAAACCAAGTCAACGAAAACCTCAATTATATCATTTATTGCCATTTCTAACCAAACGGCAGCCAATACTTCTGTTTTCAGCCATTAGTTAAACACATCCAATTTTCTGACAGATGGGATTTGAGATTAAGTGAAATATACTGTACACTGTCTTGACTTACCCAAACCTGAAACATGAGCTCCCCATTGCCAATCTGGAAATCTGACTGGAACAGCACACAGAACTTCTCTTCCGTTACTGCCTGTGGAAGTCAGAGATCACATAGTAAAGATCACGAAAGGTCAGAGTTCAAAGATAAGGCCCAAAGCACCTCCACTTTGCACTGGTAAGTTCAGTTGATAGAAAAATTCGTAAAACTGTAATGACTTTGTGTTCATAAGAAAATTGCTTTTATGAACGGTCAACTTGACTCATTAGAACATAACATATGTATATATATATTAAGTAAAAACAAAAGTAACTGTACTTCACAAATTCAAAGGAGGAAGATGATAAAGGTAATTTTTGACCAGAAATAATTATACATCATTTGTCTGGGTTTTTGATAATTATGTTGTAATGGAGTTGGTAGCTATAACAGTGAAGCAAACACGAGACCCCACAAATGAAAACATGTCAATTGATTGATAGATTGGTTAATTGGTATTACGTCCGATTCACTATTGAGTAGTTCAGTTATCCAGCAGACGACTGTCATGTCCATTACAAAAACACTATTCAATTATAGCCTTTGGCTGAGGTCTATACCTGGATTTATCGACTTAATCGAGGTATCGACCGAAGTTAAAGGCTACAATTGTTTTATTATTTTCAAAACAGTGATGTAAGCAATCTGACAAAAAAAACACAGCAAATATATTTCGGCAGCGGGACAGTGCAATGTTTGGAGACACGTCATAATTCTATTTTTAGAAACATTCAGTCCTTCCACAGAAATTATGCGCTCCAAACCAATATCGGTTTTTGTCGGTGGACACGTGATGCACTCCTGGCCAATCACTTGTGTGGAATAATATGAAAAAATAATTATGGATTATATAAGTGGGGAACTAATCAATATAAATATAACGTCGTCACAATAGCTACATACTTCTGAGCCTTTCTTGTCCGCTCGTTTGATCTTCTTCAATGACTGCAAAAGAAAAAACCCAGAAAAATGAAAGTTTTTTTGTTGAATCAATGCATTACACTAACAAGATTACACTCCATAGGTTATTATGAGCTTTTGGCTGTAAAACTGCCAACAGATACCATGTCAATAAGAACATGCTCTGACAGGTACCCACTACCACGAGAAGACAATTTCTATTTATCTTAATTTTCTTATTTTAAATGACTTCAAATTAACGAAAATGGATTTGAATTCGATGATCATGGAAAGATTGTGGAAAACAATTGACAAATTAAACATTTCAATTTCGCTGAAGTTTCAAGATTGTTCAAAGCATTTGACAAAGTACGTAACTTAGGTATAATAAGATAGCATAAAATGGAATTGTATTTCAAGTCTGTTATTAAACTGGATGGTATTAAGATTAAGAGGCTTGACTAACATGTGCAGTATTATGACCATGTTTTAAGATGTACATTATTACAACCCTGTTTTAAGATGTACATTATTACAACCCTGTTTTAAGATGTACATTATTACAACCCTGTTTTAAGATGTACATTAATTATTACAACCCTGCTTTTAGGTTATACACTATTACAACCCTGTTTTAAGATGTACATTATTACAACCCTGTTTTAAGATGTACATTATTACAACCCTGTTTCAGATGTACATTAATTATTACAACCCTGCTTTTAGGTTATACACTATTACAACCCTGTTTTTAGTTGTACAGTATTAAGACTCATTTTAAGATGGACAGTATTTCAACCCTGCTTTAAGATGTACACTATTAAGACTCCAGTTTAAGATGTACACTATTAAGACTCCAGTTTAAGATGTACACTATTTCAGCCATGTTTTAAGATGTACAGTATTAAGACTCCAGTTTAAGATGTACACTATTAAGACTCCAGTTTAAGATGTACACTATTAAGACTCCAGTTTAAGATGTACACTATTAAGACTACAGTTTAAGATGTACGCTATTTCAGCCATTAAGATATACACTATTACAACCCTGTTTTTAGATGTAAGATTGATAGGTTTCTGTGTGAAGATATAACTGACCATGTTACGGAAGGTAATGCTGAGCTCTCCCTTGGCCTGGTGGTACTCCATTGTCCCATTGTTGTTGAGGATCTCACCACTTGTATCACTCTTAGCGTGGGTGTCGTTCTTCAGCAACGCTCTTGCTTGTTGTTCGCTACAGCAAAAAATTAAAACAAATATGCAGACAACCATTTTGTTGATTAACAGCTGTCTCTCAGACTGCAGTGCTAGGGTAAATTGGATTTGGAAATTATGAACACTTCAAACACATTTTTGATAAATAAAAATATGTGTATTATCCCAATCAGACCTTTATGATAACACACCTTAAATAAATATAAGATATAATCTCACTCGACCTATATAGAGATGAATTGGTGGATGATAAGCTTTGACCCAGGGGTGTTGCCCTAGTTGCCCTAGTTGCCTGGGCAACACCCTTTTTCTGTGTCCAAAAATAATCTGGACCAATGTTTTTGAAGATTTTCCTCAATCTTATCTGGGTTTCCTTTTAAAATCAACCATCCCTTGAACTATGATTTTCTATGGCTTCCCTGGCCCTTGCCAGCAGTTTGAATATCTGTATATGCAATTGGGTGTTACTCTAAACAATAGGTGGTTAATCCTCCATTGTTTATATATTAGTAATTTATAAGGTCTCCAGTCAGGTCAGTGGTCAAGGCTCACCGGACTGACTCTACCTAATCTTATTGTTCTAATGTCACGGTGTGGTGATCATAACCCTGTCAGTTGATCAGAGATGACTGTATATCATCTGTTGGAATTAGGTATATAGGTAAAGTGTGATTTCAAAGAGTATATTTCATGATAGATATACCTGTATTTTCACCTGTGGTTTCAAGTACACATGGTCACCAGGAGTGATTTATTATACCAATTAAAAAATTTGAATTTCAAAAATTTCAAAGACAATGCATGAAGTACCCTTCTTAGCATCAGTTTATCAGGACTGCAGAGTGTTTTAAATAGCACGTGTGATCGCGTATTAGGACTACCTTCAGTTAAGTTATATCCAACTACACTCCAATCTGTTAACACTGAACCCTGGATAATATAAAAATCTGTGTTTAGTTGACCTTCTAATCAGCTGCATTTCACAGTACTGTACATTTGTTTATAAGTTGATATATGTATGAAACTTGTCTTTTGCGTTAGGTACTGATAACTATGCTCACTTGGTGCTAAGCTATATAGTGGTGTAATTTTGTTAGGGAGACATCAGTTTATTTAATAGGATCAATAATAACATCTACTTTTTCTCTTCCAATAATAGAATTATGCAGTACCTTACTTTTGTGCTTCATATATTTACACTGTGACCATGGCAACTTGAATAAGTCATTGTTTAATCAAAATATAAGCAGGATATTTAAATTTGATTTTACAATCAATTCTAAAGAATTTATATGAATATATATCTACTAGTACTTTGCATAATGTATCAGTCAACCTACATAATATGATGAGGCTGTTGAATATACCTCCTTGTACTTATAGGATGAATTGAATGAGTGATGACAGTGGATGTGTTTACCTCCCACTTAACAGTATAGGCTAGTGACATGAGGATGTTGAGTTTACCTCCCACTTAATAGTAGGTTGATGACATGAGGATGTTGAGTTTACCTCTCATTTAATAGTAGGTTGTGACATGAGGATGTTGAGTTTACCTCCTGCTTAACAGTAGGTTGGTGACATGAGGATGTTGAGTTTACCTCCCACTTAATAGTAGGTTGATGACATGAGGATGTTGAGTTTACCTCCCACTTAATAGTAGGTTGTGTCATGAGGATGTTGTGTTTACCTCCCACTTAATAGTAGGTTGTGACATGAGGATATTGAGTTTACCTCCCACCTAACAGTAGGTTGGTGACATGAGGATGTTGAGTTTACCTCTCACTTTATAGTAGGTTGTGACATGAGGATGTTAGGTTTACCTCCCACTTAATAGTAGGTTGTGACATGAGGATGTTGTGTTAACCTCCCACTTAATATTAGGTTGTGACATGAGGATGTTGTGTTTACCTCCCACTTAATAGTAGGTTGTGACATGAGGATGTTGAGTTTACCTCCCACTTAACAGTAGGTTGTGTCATGAGGTTGTTGAGTTTACCTCCCACTTAATAGTAGGTTGTGACATGAGGATATTGAGTTTACCTCCCATTTAACAGTAGGTTGATGACATGAGGATGTTGAGTTAACAGTAGAAAGTAAAATGAAGATCTTGTGTTTACCTCCCACTTAACAGTGGGTAGTGACATGAGGATATTGTGTTTGCCTCCCTTCTAATGGTGGGTTTTTGACAGGAAGATATTGAGTTTACTGTCCTGTACTTACCTGATTATAGATGATTTGACAGTGGGTGGTGACATGTGGATGTTGAGTTTACCTCCCACCAGTAAGCGGACGGTTGCTGTAAATCGTGACTCTTTCTTCAGAACTTGAGGTGGCTGGGATTCCACAATGAATGTGCTAGAACAGAAATCCAGAATGCATCAGTTATTGGAGATTATTATGGACAAATACCTTTGCGAGCTTTCACTTCATAAACCCAAATATGTGATATATACATATATAGACAAAAATTCTACAATTTTAAGCTTAAAATTGTTTATAAATTGAAATATACTGCAAACATGTATGTCGGACAAAACATTTATCTTTAACTTTCATAATGCTAGAGCCTCGTAACAAAATTTTAATTTCCCCCAAATCTGAAAAAGGGTAATTTCCCTTAAAACCTAGATTGATCCCCGATAGATCTAATCACCAGAAGAGCCCAAATTTGGGCAAAAGTACTAGTGAGATTTAGTCTTCAGTGTTTTGTTTTATTTATATATATAACAAGAGGCCAATGGGCCTTAACGGTCACCTGAGTCCTACAGTATTTATTTTTGTTGTTGAAATATGTACCAATTTGAGTAAAAAGTAGTTAAGTATAATGTTAACTTAACTTTGTCAGGACCATGAGCTGATCATTCCTAGACCGATTTTAAATAAGATCGGCCTATTAGAAATTGTTTTTAAGTTTAGAATAGGTATTTACAAAATAGCGGCTGTGGTGGCCATATTGGATTTCTGATTGACCTGAAAAATAACAACACTTTGTCAGGACCATGAGTCGATCATTCCTACCAACTTTCAGTTCAATCGGCCCAGCAGAACTTGACTTTAAGTTTGAAATAGCTATTTTCAAAATGGCGGCCGTGGCGGCCATATTGGATTTCTGATCGACCCGAAAAATAACAACACTTTGTCAGGACCATGAGTCAATCATTCCTACAAAGTTTTAGTTCAATCGGCCTAGCAGAACTTGACTTTAAGTTTGAAATAGGTTTTCAAAATGGCGGCCATGGTGGCCATATTGGATTTCTGATTGACCTGAAAAATAACAACACTTTGTCAGGACCATGAGTCGATCATTCCTACAAACTCTCAGTTCAATCTGCCCAGCAGAACTTGACTTTAAGTTTGAAATAGTTTTTCAAAATGGCGGCCATGGCGGCCATATTGGATTTCTGAACGACCCGAAAAATAACAACACTTTGTCAGGACCATGAGGCGATCATTCCTACCAACTTTCAGTTCAATCGGTCCAGCAGAACTTGACTTTAAGTTTGAAATAGGTTTTCAAAATGGCGGCCGTGGCGGCCATATTGGATTTCTGATCGACCCGAAAAATAACAACACTTTGTCAGGACCATGAGGCGATCATTCCTACCAACTTTCAGTTCAATCGGTCCAGCAGAACTTGACTTTAAGTTTGAAATAGGTTTTCAAAATGGCGGCCGTGGCGGCCATATTGGATTTTTGATCGACCCGAAAAATAACAACACTTTGTCAGGACCATGAGGCGATCATTCCTACCAACTTTCAGTTCAATCGGCCTAGCAGAACTTGACTTTAAGTTTGAAATGTAAAATGTTAACGGACGACGGACGACGGACGACGGACGACGACGGACGAAAAACGGATAGCAATAGGTCACTTGAGCTAAAGCTCAGGTGACCTAAAAATATAAGTAAAATATGTGATACCACTACCATACCTTCCACTAGAGAGGAAATATTTAAAATCACAACAGTTGAGTACTGTATCTTGTGACTAGAGAGGAGATATGTGACATTGCTACTGTACCCTGTGACTAGAGAGAATATATGTGACCTCACTACTGTACCTTGTGATTAGAGAGGAGATATGTGACATTTCTACTGTACCTTGTGACTAGAGAGAATATATGTGACCTCACTACTGTACCCTGTGATTAGAGAGAATATATGTGACCTCACTACTGTACCTTGTGACTAGAGAGAATATATGGGACCTCACTACTGTACCCTGTGACTAGAGAATATATGTGACCTCACTACTGTACCATGTGACTAGAGAGAATATATGTGACCTCACTACTGTACCCTGTGATTAGAGAGAATATATGTGACCTCACTACTGTACCTTGTGACTAGAGAATATATGTGACATTAATACTGTACACTGTGACTAGAGAGAATATATGTGACCTCACTACTGTACCATGTGACTAGAGAGAATATATGGGACCACACTACTGTACCCTGTGACTAGAGAGAATATATGTGACCTCACTTCTGTACCCTGTGACTAGAGAGGAGATATGTGACATTGCTACTGTACCATGTGACTAGAGAGAATATATGGGACCTCACTACTGTCCCCTGTGACTAGAGAGGAGATATGTGACATTGCTACTGTGCCATGTGACAAGAGAGAAAATTAGTGACCTCGCTACTGTACCATGTGACTAGAGAGAATATATGGGACCACACTACTGTCCCCTGTGACTAGAGAGAATATATGTGACCTCCCTTCTGTACCCTGTGCCTAGAGAGGAGATATGTGACATTGCTACTGTGCCATGTGACAAGAGAGAAAATTAGTGACCTCACTCCTGTACCATGTGACTAGAGAGAATATATGTGACCTCACTACTGTATCAAGTGACTAGAGAGAATATATGGGACCTCACTACTGTACCCTGTGACTAGAGAGGAGATATGTGACCTCACTACTGTACCCTGTGACTGGAGACAATATACGTGACCTCACCACTGTACCATGTGACTAGAGAGAATATATGTGACCTCACTACTGTATCAAGTGACTAGAGAGAATATATGGGACCTCACTACTGTACCCTGTGACTAGAGAGGAGATATGTGACATTGCTTCTGTACTATGTGACTAGAGAGGAGATATGTGACATTGCTACTGTACCCCGTGACTAGAGAGGAGATATATGACACACTGCTTCAGTACCATGTGACTAGAGAGGAGATATTTGACATTGCTTCAGTACCCTGTGACTAGAGAGGAGATATGTGACAATCTCATTGGTACTGTACCTTGTGACTAGAGAGGAGAGAAGACCAGTGATTTTCTGGTTAAGTTCTGGGACAAGGTCAGGTGTACCAGCAGGGATATCTATTGGAAGCTTTTGACGGAGGATCTCCACACCAAGGACCTGTTGTCGGTTCTTCCAGATCATCTCAGCCAGGGATTCACACCTACAGCGATCACAGGCACAATCATTTGTTATTCAATCTTCTACCCGTATAACCTGCATTATGTATACATGTTTTACAGTATAAACTACATAAAGATACATTTACCAGTATAAACATATTTAAGATACATTACAAGGATATTGTAATTAATTTGCTCGATCATTCTCACTTCCAATCAAGCCCAGCTTACTTGTTAATACTTCAATCATGGATACAATTGTACATTGAAACTTATTACATTATGATGGTAGCAAATAATTTTGAAACATTCCTTTATAAAATTTGAGGTGTTCGTTTTCAGTCCCCAAGGCAGTATATTTCAGTATACATTGTATTTCAGTATAATTTAGTGATACTCCTTGAGAAACCTGTTAGGTTCCAGATTTTTCAACACTTTAAAGTTTCACTGATTAAATTCACATGTAAAGAACAACAGTGTTCCACTGACCATTGTTGAAGGATGTCCAGCAGCTGTGTATCAAATTTGACCCCATTGCCCGACAACTGCTGCTTGCGTTTCCATGCGATGAGTTCTTTATCAACAACCAACTTTTGTAGCTCTTCAAGTGCAAGAAATGTGACACGATGCTTCTCAGCGAGTATCTTTAATAGAATAATATAATTATATTTAACACAACAACAATGGTAACCACATTATTTACATATGTACACACAGAAACTACGGTAACCTTACAATTACCCCGTCAACATATCCACAACACAGAAACTGTGGTAACCTTACAACTACCCCGTCAACATAAACACAACACAGAAATCGTGGCAACCTTACAATTACCTCGTCAACATATCCACAACACAGAAACCTTGGTAACCTTACAACTACCCCGTCAACATATACACAACACAGAAACTGTGGTAACCTTACAACTACCCCGTCAACATATACACAACACAGAAATCGTGGCAACCTTACAATTACCCGGCCACATATACACAACACAGAAATCGTGGTAACCTTACAATTACCCCATCAACATATACACAACACAGAAATCGTGGTAACCTTACAATTACCCCGTCAACATATCCACAACACAGAAACCGTGGTACCCTTACAATTACCTCGTCAACATATCCACAACACAGAAACCGTGGTAACCTAACAATTACCCCGTCAACATATACACAACATAGAAACCGTGGTAACCTTACAATTACCTCGTCAACATATCCACAACACAGAAACCGTGGTAACCTAACAATTGCCCCGTCAACATATACACAACATAGAAATCGTGGCAACCTTACAATTACCCGGCCACATATACAAAACACAGAAATCGTGGTAACCTTACAGTTACCCCGTCAACATATACACAACATAGAAATCGTGGCAACCTTACAATTACCCGGCCACATATACAAAACACAGAAATCGTGGTAACCTTACAATTACCCCGTCAACGTATATATCCACAACACAGAAACCGTGGTAACCTTACAATTACCCCGTCAACATATATATCCACAACACAGAAACCGTGGTAACCTTACAATTACCCCATCAACATTAACACAACACAGGAACCATGGTAACTACAACATAAACACAACACAGGAACCACGGTAACTACAACAATATATACACAACACAGGAATCATGGTAACTACAACAACATAAACACAACACAGGAACCATGGTAACTACAACAACATATACACAACACAGGAACCATGGTAACTACAACAACATAAACACAACACAGAAACCATGGTAACTACAACAACATATACACAACACAGGAATCATGGTAACTACAACAACATAAACACAACACAGAAACCATGGTAACTACAACAACATAAACACAACACAGGAACCATGGTAATCAAACCATAACAATATAAACTCATTACATATTCGCAATATAGAAACCATTGTAAATTATTATAATTAAAAAAACACTTTTCTTTTTCTTTTCTTTTTTGTCAAATTTCCAATATTTTCTTTCAATGTCTACTGGGTATTTCAATTTGAATAAAACATTTGATTATGCAATACTTTTGAAATTTTGTTTTAGCATGATTGCAAGAAAATGTCAGTGGTTTTTTTTGTCTAGTGTTACATCTGAATCTGAATACAGACTGCTTCCTCTACCAAAAAAGTGCTGTATTAATTTCCTTTATTTGAAGAATGTCTTCCCAATTTCATCGACAATAATGCTACACTTTCCCAATTTATGTTGGAAAAAAACTGGACATAAAGAAACAATCAAATAACCTGCTGCTATATATATACTGTACTTACTAAAGTAAGCCATCAAGAAAGAAATTTGTGACACTTTTAAGCACAGAATTCATAAGATTGTTCAAGAATTAAGGGTTGATTACCTACCAGACGATACTGAAGCAGTTCCTCTGCTTTACTGAGCAAGTCACGTTCCAGGTCCTCCTTCTGTTTGCGTAAATTTTTCTCCATTTGGCCACTGTTTTTAATGAGCTGTTGGTATTGCTGAGGTGTCATGCTCTCTGCGAGCGGACCGCCGTCTGCCCCGTTCGTATATAGATTTAGGTCCTTGTTCTGTTTTTCCACCTGCTGGATCTGTGCTGTAACAGTGATAAGTAACCTATACAAGGACTGCCATATATCAGAGTGATCATGCTGTAAAAGGTCACGCACTATTTAGTCCAGGGCCTGTATTCATGAAATCATTCTCATGCTCAAAACTTAGATCATGTGCTCAAGCCTCAAGTTCTTGTTCAGGGAATAAGTGAAGACAAAATTCATATTTTGTCAATAATTTGGAAGAACTCTTGAGATATTTAATGCTGCATACTGTTTTTGCTCTGTTTATACTTTCATTTTTTTATTGTTTGACACAATTTCGCATTTTAGAGGAAAGATAGTTGAGCACAAAATCGATGCTTTAGAATGAGAAAAATTGCTTATTCACAGGCTGAATAGTCTCTGTTTATGAATGAAACAACCAGAGATTGAAATATCATACACCGACTTTTCAGAAAACAAACAAAATGCTTATTTGTTTCACTAATGACAGGACAAAGTTTCAGAGGTTTTTAAGTATAAACTTCCTTGTTGACTAAAACTGCTTTAATTTCCTGATGGTTATTTTCTTAATATTGGGTTTCACATTCAGTTATGAGTTTTATTTTCTTCCAGCAGTAGTTACTGGGCCTAACATAAACCACCAGCTAGTTTGCTACCATTGTACCAACATTATGTAAAATGACCTAACACTATATCTCAATCTTGATATTTGACCTAGAAAACCTTACCGTTCACCTTGACCTGGTTCTGGTACTGGATTACAAACGACTCTTGAAGATTTTGCGCCTGTTTCAGATCAGCCTCTGTTGCCTGCAAGAGAATAAACAGAAATAAAGAACACTGTATGATAACAAGATCACAAGGAATAGTAATGTGTACAGATTTTTTCCGATCCTTTCACTTTTCGTAAATCTTTGGCAGATGAATGTATATCCTCTTTGTCCTTACCTGTGTTTTCTCTTGACATCTGTCAATCATTTCCTCAATCTGTTTGTGGGTCTCTGTAGATTGGAGCTGGTCGTTCATCGTGTCCTGGTTCTGCACTGGCTGTAGTAAAAAACATCAACATCAAACCACGATTTCTTACGACTGTCAATTTTCAAACTATTTTCATTCCAATTTATTGGACACATCATTTACACATGCAAATCAATACAGAAATTAAATTTAGTATTTTGTTAAAAACATTACCTGACTTAAATTATTGTTAATTAATGTTGAACTTTGACAATAGTTTTCATAATAGACTCTTCAGTATCTATTTGATTTCTTTCTGAACATATTGGCAATCCAATTATACAACTTGCCATTGTATAAATGCTTACATTTTCAGCCTGGTGTACAAATCTTTCCTCTTGAGCCAAACAGCTTTTGATTGCCTTGACCAGCAGTAGTGGAGAAGTGGTGTACAGTGCCTGATTAACAAATCAAAACATGAAAACTTATCAAATATTAATCATCATATTTCCTTTTGATTTATACTGTATTGTAAATACCTATTATTGTTTTCTAAGGATTTCAATACATGTACTTTAATGTGCAAATATTGAAACATTTCCGTAACACACATGACTCTTTTCCTGTATACATGACATGCCATTACACACGACACTGTCACAACACATGACACCGCCCCCACAAATGACAATGCCACTACACATGACACTGCCAATCAACAAGCGACTGACCCCTACACATGACACTTTCCCTGCATACATGGCACTGCCCCTACACATGACACTGCCACAATACAAGACACTTCCCCCATACATGACACTTTCCATACACATGACATTGCCCCCATGTATGACACTGCTATTGTACATGACACTGCCACTAAACAAGACACTACTACTGTACATGACACTTTCCCTACACATGACACTTTCCCTACACATGACACTACTACTGTACATGACACTTTCCCTACACATAGCACTGCCACTAAACAAGACACTACTACTGTACATGACACTTTCCCTACACATAGCACTGCCCCTATACATGACACTGCTACTTTACATGACACTGCCACTTAACAAGACACTGCCCCCATACATGACACTTCCCATACACCTGATACAACTACATACATGCCGCTTTTACATACATGACTTTAATCAAACTGACATGACACTACTCCTACACAATTCAAATACATGTATTGAGTTTGTTTGTGTAGATTTGGTTGCCTGAAATCAGTACATGCATCGTACAAAAACAGTGTAATTTGCACACCTATGCAATTTGCACAGGTATTTTGGGGGGTTGAAAATGCTAAAATAAAAGCTTCAACTTTTTTCCTCAAAAACAATGTCCAGAATCTCTGGAAAAATAACCTCCGACATGAAACTGTGACACAAATATCTACTTTATAATGTCAATAATAAATTAAATGTTTTACTTGTTTATCAATTTAGTGAGCGTAGTTCTTTTTATGGGTTGACACTGACAGTTATTTATAAGAAGACAACATCCAGTAGAAAAAATGTGCATGTAATTGTTTGTTTTCTTGGAAGTACTTGTTAACACCAGACTGAACACATATGTGTGCATATCGACACACACCAATCCAATTTAACACTGTCTTACCCAAACCTTCACTAGGTATGCCAGTGTAGCAAGCACAGACTAGATTGATATGCCCAATACATCTACTGTAAAACAGACCATGCTATGGTTGGTTGGTTGGTTGGTTGATGGGTTTATAGACTACACTTCATGGGTGAAGCCCTTGTTCGGTCGTCTAGAGGGGGTAAGACTCCAGCTTACCGGGCCCATTGAGATTCAAAATGACCTTGCCCGTCCAGGTCACGCCCTAAGGTCAGTCAACTTAAGCTATATATACCTGTCTAGCAGCTAGCAGCTGAATGGAGTCGCCACTGTGGGACCTGTATTTCTGCAAAAGCTTATCTCCCTCGGGTAGAATATTGGATTAACCAGATCAGCCAGATTTATATTAAGGGGGCTATTTGTAGGAATGAACCATATTTGTGAGTTGAAAAATCTTATCTCCCTCAGTTAAAATATTGGACTCTATTTGTAGAAATGAACCATATCTGTGAGTTGAAAAAGCTTATCTCCCTCAGTTAGAGTACTGGACTAACCCAGTCAGATTTGGCAGAATCTATCCTATTTGTAGGGTAAACCATCTTTGTAAAATATTTCTATGCCAGTTTTGTAACATATGTGTGTCAAGATGACACAGCACAAAGGATTTTCCAACTGTAATTTGACACATGTAATACTCGTAATATTTGAAAATACCCATGAATGGCTTTTCTTATGAACACACAACATGGAATGCAATAATTTCTCAACCAAACAACACGAGAAATTTTATCAGAAATTTCAAGATAAAAGACTGCAAAACAACAATCTTTCTGGGACCCCCCCCCCCCCATTTTTTTTTTTTATCTATAGCTACTTGGTATTTAATTTGTGCACAAACTTAATTTCAACATAACAACTGTGCAAATGACACAAGTTTTTATGGCAGTTTATTTGCAGAAGTGACTTACCTGGAGTTTTGGGGTTAGTTACATATTTATTTGTAGAAGTGACTTACCAGGAGTTTTGGGGTTAGGTACATGTACTTTATTTGTAGAAGTGACTTACCTGGAGGTTGGGGGTTAGGTACATGTACTTTATTTGTAGAAGTGACTTACCTGGAGTTTGGGGTTAGGTACATGTACTTTATTTGTAGAAGTGACTAACCAGGAGTTTTGGGGTTAGGTACATGTACTTTTTTTTTTTGTAGAAGGGACTTACCTGGAGTTTGGGGGTTAGCTACATATACTTTATTTGTAGAAGTGACTTACCTGGAGTTTTGGGGTTAGTTACATATTTATTTGTAGAAGTGACTTTCCAGGAGTTTTGGGGTTAGGTACATGTACTTTTTTTGTAGAAGTTACTTACCTGGAGTTTGGGGGTTAGGTACATGAATTTATTTGTAGAAGTGACTTACCGGGAGTTTTGGCCTTAGGTACATGTACTTTATTCGTAGAAGTGACTTACCAGGAGTTTTGGGGTTAGGTACATGTGCTTTTTTTTTTTGTAGAAGTGACTTACCTGGGGTTTGGGGGTTAGGTACATGAATTTATTTGTAGAAGCGACTTACCGGGAGTTTTGGGGTTAGGGACATGTACTTTTTTTTTTTGTAGAAGTGACTTACCTGGGGTTTGGGGGTTAGGTACATGAATTTATTTGTAGAAGTGACTTACCTGGAGTTTGGGGGTTAGGTACATGAATTTATTTGTAGAAGTGACTTACCGGGAGTTTTGGGGTTAGGTACATGTACTTTATTTGTAGAAGTGACTTACCAGGAGTTTTGGGGTTAGGTACATGTACTTTTTTTTTTTGTAGAAGTGACTTACCTGGAGTTTGGGGGTTAGGTACATTAATTTATTTGTAGAAGTGACTTACCTGGAGTTTTGGGGTTAGGTACATGTACTTTATTTGTAGAAGTGACTAACCAGGAGTTTTGGGGTTAGGTACATTTACTTTTTTTTTTTGTAGAAGTGACCTACCTGGAGTTTGGGGGTTAGGTACATATACTTATTTGTAGAAGTGACTAACCTGGATTGTAGAAGTGACTTACCTGGAGTTTGGTGGATAGGTACCTGTACTTTATTTGTAGAAGTGACTTACCTGGAGTTTTGGGGTTAGTTACATATTTATTTGTAGAAGTGACTTACCTTGAGTTTGGGGGTTAGGTACATGTAGTTTATTTGTAGAAGTGACTTACCTGAAGTTTTTGGGTTAGGTAAGTGACTTACCTGGAGTTGGGGGTTAGGTACATGTAGTTTATTTGTAGAAGTGACTTACCTGGAGTTTGGTGGATAGGTACATGTACTTTATTTGTAGAAGTGACTTACCTGGAGTTTGTTTGCAGAATCCTGTAGCACCATCTTCTGTAAGAAGCTTTCATTGCTGCTAGGAAACTCGTCTATCTGTATTTGGATGGCCTTGATCAAGTGAGATAGTACCTGGTGGGCGTACACTTCATGGGCAGGGTTGTCCTCCTCAATCTGACTCCTGGAGAACCACAGATTTAATTTGGTAAATTATACAAAAATGACTTCACAGAGTCCATCTCCAGAAATTATGTTCAGCCTAAGGGGTGGCATGGAGGTGTTTTATGATAGGGATTTTCCTACAATAGAATTTGTGGCCGAATAACGGCCACTTTCCCCTCAGAAAATCTTGCTAAAATTCTCAATTTGCCATTGTAAAATTCCCAATCGGATGGCCATTTTTGCAAGATTTAAATATGCTCAGTATGGAGAGGGAAGATGTTAAAACATTTATGTCTGTTAGGAAAGTAAAAATATATTTTAATCCCTTGAAAATTAAATTTCAAAAGTATCCATGAGGATCACAGGAGTCCGACGTTTAATCAATATATGTATAACAGTCTATATATATAAAAAAAAATATAAAATGCTATCGATTGTGCAGTAAATTATGTACATTGGTTTATGTAGCAAAGGTGTAGCAAAACAACCACTATTCAACTGTCACTCCACCTGCATCTGAGCAGAATTACAAGTACATCAAAATAAATGGTACAAAGTTGTAAAAAGTATTCTACACATTTTCTCCGACCAGCAGATCCATGTATAATTTGTAAGGTAATATATAAATGCATAATACAAAATACAAGTGAAAAAATTGGTATATTCTGTCATACAAGTGAAATGTATGTATGGTATTCAATGGGAAAACCATTAAATTTCTATCCCCCATTAAATTTCTATGTAATACATTTTTTTAAGTAGAAACATGCAAATGTTACTAGATCAAGAAAGAGGTGAGATTAATAGTGCAATCTATGGCGCCGTTATTCTGATGACATTATGCTTGACAACAAGGCATGCTATTTTCAATGAGCTACCTAGCAAAATTCTGCTTTATCCTGCTATAACCCGTTCACAAATATTCCATTCTGATGACAAGCCATACATTTTAAATAAATTATTCAGAACAATAATTCTGTCATTGAAAGTTTGTGTCTACAATTGGCTTAAAAGCTTGGGGGCTTGTAAATTAAGAGTTGGTTAGTAATAATACATGTACAATGAAATTTAAACCACAATTTAAAAAGAAAAAGAAAATATTGCATTACCATGGCTGCTCCTCCAGCCACTGGGCACAGTAGTGGCGGACCTCAATAGGGAAGTGCTGGCCATACTGAGACTGGATCCTCTTTATGACATCCCCCTCCAGGCGCTGAACACGAGCCCAAAGGGACATTGCTGGGTCCCAGTTCCCGGTTGGCTGTAGAATGAAAGGGATGTTGCAGTTCTGATATGTTCATTTGAATTTTAAATACAGCAGTGTCTTATCTACCTTTCATCATAGTGAGTCATTTATAACCGTGGTATCAAGTACATATACTGAAAATAAGCAAGTCAAAAACTAGCACAATAATATATCAGTAAATGTATACAAGTAGTATATCGTTATTGCATTTATGGTCTTTTGTAAAGCAAAGATCTCTTTCATTACAAACACATACACAAAGAAATACATTTGTTTTGCCAATAATCCATACCACTACTAATCGCTTAGTATCAAAATTTACTAGAAAAAAAAAGATTGAATGAAAAATAAAGTGACCGGCCAACAAATATTACAATGAGAAATTCAAGGTTGAAAAATAATTACCTGAACAAGGATGAATGACAAATATAACAAACTTCTGCAATGTTAAACATCTTAAGTTTTAACATGGGTAAAAACCACATGAACCAGTCTTGTACAAAATTTGGAAGAATTTCACCAGAAACTGTAGGACAACAGTATTTAAATTCACAAGGTTTATTAAGAAAAAAGACATGTTTAAACAGCAGTGAGATTGAAAGCCTTAGCATCAATAAACACTTTCACTAATGTTAAATTGATCTATGACAAACTTCAGCTCTACAGATCTAGAGGCATTATAAACCTATGTACATTGTACTTAACATTTTTTTATATTCCAGCTTTGTTGGACATATCTCAGATTCACCTGTCCATGCATTCATTCTAAACTCCCTGTCTTAATTTATACCTTTGCTGGCCATGGTGAGAAATGAGTGCCCCCATTCTGTTGGTATGTAAATGTTGTGTTCCCCGAGGAAAAGCCTGCTGTGTATTGACTATAGCCTGACTCCATGTTGTACATTCCATTATGTGACTGCATGGAATGATGGTTCTGTGAGAAAGCACTTGGTTGACTGTGTAGGTCTGCCTCAGATTTAGTTTCTAAATGACAATGCTCTTTGCTGACACCACTCTCTAAGTAACTGTGAGACAAACCTCCCTGTACGTTGTGACTTAATCCTTTAAGTTGATCAGTTTCACAATCCCTGTCATCCATTTTTGTCTTCAAAATTTCAAGAACAAATGGCTGGTAAAAATCACCATTGCCTGTTAACTTTGAAGTATTCTGTTACAATATACACTGATGTTCATATACCAAAACCTGAGAACAATACTCATTCAATAAAGGAAAAATCCAGCACATGTAACTCGCTTTGTGTTTAAGCAGTTTTCTGACTACATCAAAATTCCTGAGCAAGTGCCTGACTTAGTTTCCTGTTTTCTTTGTAGTAAATAAAAGGTCAGTGACGCTGACCTCACAGGCAGATATGTCAACTTGAATTCACATTCTACCCTCTCATAATCATTATAATGATTGTCGTCAGGTACTGGGTCAATTAAGTTGCCAATAAGTTGTGTTGAACCTCATAAAAACACTTGAAAATGAACAAGATTTCAAATGCAAAAATAGGTCAAGTTACCTTTTCCGCATTCTCTATCTTCATGCTGTCCAAATATGGTCTATTCGCGCTCTTGTTAGGTTGTCGTATTGTATCCAAGAAACGTGTTTTCTATTTATGCAAATGTTCCCGTTATATGAGCAATATTCCAGGTATTGAGGATATTGGGTTTTTCCGTTTATAGAGTTAGCTCGACCTTTTTGCCTAATCCTGACCTTTTGTTAGCTTATCAGGGTTGCAACATTTTGTTTATTTCGTGAGTACACTTTCTTGACATTGGGCAAACCGAAAGTGAAAAGACATTTTTTCAATGATAATTGCATACTATTGTCAACTGAGCCCGTCAAGTCAGCCGGGTTGACGTTACATAGGCGATGACGATCATTTAACAATGGATCACGTAGCCTACTCAATGACTTACCGTTTTTCTAACTGTACAACGGGCACAACAGGGAAAAAACCCGTACGTGGGAATTCCCGGAAGAGACGGCAACCTTTTCTTGGAACTCTTTCCTGCTTTGTTAACTTTTATTCAATTGGATTAAAGTTTTTCATAATAACCAATGAAAATCGAGCTTTCAAACATGCACCTATCGCTAGACTTGTACAAGCTCCGCTTAATATCCGACTGTATATATATCATTTAGGCTCAACAGGTCCCCTAAATTACGTTATTGTCACCCACAATTTCAACATCTGATCACTCATATCACGGTTTTCGATAGCAATCTAATTCCATGGTCATAGTTATAGACTCAAATCAGAAATCATATATGTTATTTCGATTTATTTTAACTTGTATATTATATAACTTATTTAAATAGTAATATGACTCAGGCATGGCTTGGAGAGAGCGAAGCTCGTATATTTGTTTCAATAGTATATAGTATATTTTTTTTAATCATAACATTACCGATTTTAATACATACAAAATGTACCTCTATTTTTTTAATTTTTTTTTTATAATATACTTGAATCTGTTGTTGGGCAAAATTATTTATTTGCATGTACTTATGTCGTGCTATGTTTTAGAATTATCCACATTCACACTACACTAATATGACGCATCACACACATTAGTGTAGTTGCCTGGTTTGAATTTTGAAGTTGCCTGGTTTGTACTACTAGACCATATTGATAGTAATAGTATCCTCATGTGGTTCTTGTTTTATCCAAGAATACCAGTATATACCCCCTCCCTCTACTCATTGTTGTTCATAATAATATGTATTATTATTTTGCCATTTGAAAAAAATCATGGAGTAAACATGATAATGTGAGATGTAGGCAGAATGTTCAAACAAATGGTTTGAGCCAATCCATGAAGGATGTATCTGTTTTTAATCTGAATATGTTTAGCATGTTAGACACAGTTAGAGACTGTCATGTCTGCCACCACTATAAGTATAAAATGAAGATTTTAGATTTTCCTTTTGAATAATTTAGATAATCCACGTGAAATGATGAAATTTAATGTTTGTACTGATTATATACGTTAAAAATTCCAGGTATCTACAGCAGGAGATTCCTCCTCTTCATCGTCGCTGTTGTCATAAAGTTTTTGTAGATACCTTTAGAGATAGATTGGTATATCAGCTAAAACCATTAGTTTGCAAGTGAAGTTTCTGGATGGACAACAACATATAACTTTGTGTAATCATACTTTGTACAAATGTGTTTGCGATTTTGACCATGTTTTCCTCGATGTTTGATTGATACCCCTATTATGTCATTGTCAAATTTGAGGGTCAAAGATTGTGTGTTGTGTTCAGTGATGAATGTGTTGATGGCATTGATGTCAGTTTCATGATCAACTTGTTGTTCTTGAGTCAATGTTGGTGTTAAATGTGGTTGAATAAAAATAATTGCCATCACCAGGTACATCATATGCGGAATAGTTTTGATTTTGATTAGAAATCAAGTGGTTGCTGACGGGTGCATATTATGCAATCTGTTAACAAAAATTAAAGTGGTGAAAACATAATGTTTCTAATTATCTTCTTTACTGATATTCATAAAGCAAAGCAAACTAATGTGTTCATTTCAATGTCTAATCAAAATGTTGTAATGATTGACACAGTTGAACGGAAGTACAAATTCAAGCGTTTAAAGTTTATATTTATCCAAATAGAATAAAGGTATTTTACTGTACAAAACTGTTCAGATAATGTTTGATTTTAAGTGATTGCTAATTTGGTTCCATTAGATGAAACTAGATTCAATCTATTGTACAAGCAGAGCTAGCATAGACATTCCACAGTTTTAGTTGTAAAATAAATAGGTAATATCACAAATCTGGATCAAATATCAACAGAAACGATCCCCAAATGGAAGAATTTAGAAGAACTTAATATAAATTTGACGTTCTACAATAAATGCAGAAAAAAACAAGAGTAGTGATACTGAAAAATCTGTAATTTGACCCTTTGAAACACCTTAGTTTTCCCTTGGAAGCTGTCGATGACAATATTCTGTTTCACTGGAGCAGACGACCCGTGATCTTTGACCTCGTTAATGATCTGACCTTTTCATATCCAATGAGAACAAAGCGACCTCGTCATTGAACACTGCTTCGTACATACTCGGGTATTTCCGTCCTAGTAGGAGTTACGATCGATTATCAATGGGTACAGTTTGTCATCTATCACATTCTTACGGGGCACGATGATTTAACCCAAAACACCCCAAAACACCCCAAACTATCCCCAAAAAATCAAAACTACCCAAAAACACTTTCAAATCTATTTTATTATAAATAATACTCTTAGACGAAGGATTGAGCCTTTTCTTTAAAAAAAAACCCCGGAGTTACGCTACCAGTTAAGGGGAAGTAAATCGTATATATTGGAATACCGTAAGAAATTGCCCCGACGCAATGTACTTCATTGGTTGGCAATTATGAACACGCACGTCTCGATGCTCTTGACTGGTTTCGGGATTTAGGGCTTCAATATTTGTCCAATGTAATTTGTATGTATAATATAATAATAAACGAAAGACATATTTACGCACATATTTTATTTCAGAAGCAAGGTAAATCGTATAACAGAGTACGTTTTAAAAAGATATAGTATATGTATAGTTTACATATTTCACAATTACTGATTGTTCTAAATAAAACGAATACATAAAAACATATAACTAAAACATTTGTTATGCAGTAAGATTAAAATTACCAAGAATGTTATAAAAGATTAAAAGTCTACTTCATAGTAAAAACAAAATAAATAAATAATTATTAATACTATCTAGAAGACACATAAAATATAAGTACAATATAAATAATGAAATTGCATGTCTATAGATTACCATAAAGTATGGTTTCGACACGAGGAAACTGAGACAAAAGAATATGCATAACTGTGACCTAATCAATATTAATATTCTAAGATTTACATAAATACTACAAAGAACGTACCATTTAAGATGAAAAAGATCAGTACAATATATAAATAGTCGTACTTTGAAATGCAATTTCATGTCTAGATAACCATGAAGTATGGCTCCGACACGCGGAAACGGAGACAAAAAATAAGCATTTTGACTATATATGCTATCAACGAAGGGGTGGTGCACTACAATTTAATTTAAAATACGAAATATTGATGGGTTGCATGAAAGTGCTTTTTTATCTTGTTTTCTCGGCCTTGCACCGTCGACGTTGGCCTGCTTTTTTCCCCACAGCTCTGTTTTAGTGGTGGACATCGGAAATCAGAAGTTGTTGACTTGACTTATTTTGAGTCCAGAATTTTGATTGTTTTCTTTTTTGCCAGAAAGTTTTGGAAATATATGTCCTATTCTTCATTACTTTTATTGATCCAAGTATCTCTCGAAAGTTGAAAAGATTTGAAATTTGTGTGTACTGACAAGTTGCCATGCAATGCCCTTCTGAGGTCAAGAATCTGGATGTTTCCTACTAGTGCCATTTTCTCAACTAAATCTGGTAATCGGTGTTGTTTGAAGTCGGCTACTTGTTTTAGTCTGTTGTTTATTGATTCAGAGTTATTGTTTGTCAACAACTCTGAAATCAATTTGTGCCGAAGAGGTTCAATGACGAATGCTCTTAATTTTGGTTCAAGAAACCTGTCCCAATATTATCGGAAACTGTTTGTCAGATAAGGTTCAAGGTCATCTTTTCCTTTAGCATGTTCCAGATCATTTTTGCCGAAGACAATACCGTCTTCTGCAAAAATGATACTAGAAATGCTTTGTCTGTCTTTCAGAGATGTACCGTGTTTTTCAAGGTACCTATTTAAGTTTTCTTTAATGTGTTTTGTACAAAGCAAAAAGTTTCCATTTGGAAAACTGTCATGTAAAGCATTTGTCAGTGCACACTCTTCGTCACTCCCTATTGTGACAATACCAGTACCTAGCTGGGCTCGTACATGTGAGAAAAAAGAATGATATGTTTTGAAATCTGCATCCCAATGAAGAAAAATGGGAACTAACATAATAGGATTTTCTTTTGTTGATTTGTGCCCATCCCCTTGGTTTTTGTACGTTATTGTAATGACAAAACATTTCCCCAAGTTGAATGTTCTTTCTCCCACCCTTCACAGGCGTGTCTCCCGTTTAACCGGGAAAGATCAGCTTGTCACCCCCTAAGGGGGGAGATAGCCTCGTGCCGATTAGCACGTGTTCAATTGTGACGTCATTGAAATGCGTCACCGGTAAATGTGACGTCATCAGAAGTGAATGACGATATCCATACCCCACATGTATTTTTGTTTACACTACTGTCGGTGGAGTTGTGACTGAAATAATAGGATGGGAGAAAAACAATCATCCTCTACCTTGAGGGTGTGACAGAGAAATCTCCAACCCTCGGGGTGATTTGTTTGGTTGTCCCCTCGGGTTGGAGATTTCTCTATCACACCCTCAAGGTAGGGGAAGATTAAATTAATCTACACCCATTACACTTGCACCTTCACCTAAACAATTGGCTTTAATACCCAACAATTGTTCCTCGGTATATAATATGATGTTTGGAAGTTTGTGCTTCCCTAGCTCAATTTTTTGAATGGAATGGTTTGAGTGAATTTGAGAAATGACGGTCAAAACCTCATCTGCTATGTTGTTGTTAACTAACTTTGGACCATTTTTGGTTTTTTTCTTGTCTCTCTAAACTTTATCTCGAATTTATTTGTCTTGCTGATTGGGGACCTAGCACACTGTTATCTTTGGCTTTAAGGTAACACACTTCAGTGGCTAGTTTACTTTGAGCTAGGGCAGCACACTCTTCCAAAGCATGAGGGTCTGTTCTGATATAATTATTGGTTGTTTTGGAATTGCCATGTGGCTGGGATTCCCCTGTTACTCTTTGCCCTGAATACCTAAAAGAATATGGAAGGTAATTGGGGTTAGATTTTACAGATAAACAAAGATCTTTTCACTACAGGTAGTCAACATCCTTTTCCATGTACATATTGATGAAAATAATTAAACTGTGAAAATAATTAACGTCTCTGCTATTAAACTTATAAAGTTAAGGATATTTAAAAGCCAGTTCATTCAAATCTCATTACGTTATTTGCTAAGCCTCTTTAAAGCCGGGGTCACATCTTACGGTCACGCACGTAGTTGACCGTAGTGGGGGATGACCGTAGTTGACTGTAGTAGATCGTATACGTTACCTTTAATTTGTTAGTTCAACGAAGTTATGACCGCAGTTTGAGTTCAAGAAACCCATCATTTGGCCATTGTTAGTCCAAAATTGTTCAACATGGCCAAAATAGATCCCTACCGTGACCGTAGTTTGAACATAGTTGCCCGTACTTAGACGTAGTGCGACCCTAGTTAACCCTCGCCATTTTCCTCGTAGTTCAACGTAGTTGGCCGTATTTACACGCATAACCTATTTTGCCAATTTTGAACCTACTTCGACCTAGTTGACCACGTTCACATGAACTACGTGCGTAACCGTATGATGTGATCGCGGCTTTATACCTCTGTCGAAATTGAACGCATCCATCAGTTCTTTTCAACCCATTTTGCAGTGGATCATGAGCATCCCGGAGTCGGCATATAATTGCGCAGTAGTTCTCTGACCTTGAAGGGGAATGTTTCAAGACTTGTCTATTATACGCCCTCTCAGAATGAATTTGTATTCCCATTAAATTACCTAAACAAATCTGACAAATTCTCTGAAGTATTTTGCAATGTTTTGCAATGTTTGCAGACAAAACTGTTATCGATTGTGTAATAAATCATGTACATTGGTTTATGTAGCAAAACAACCACTATTCAACTGTCACTCCACCTGCATATGAGCAGAATTATTGATGCAGTAAATAGAAAGAACCATTCTGATTGGTCAATAATCGATATGATAACTTCACACTGGCAATTGCTAATATTTCGTCGGTAAAAATATAATGATTTGAAATATTTTGTTAAAAATGTTTATTAAGAAGTACCAGTACATCAAAATAAATGGTACAAAGTTGTAAAAAGTATTCTACACATTTCCTCCAACCAGCAGATCCATGTATAATATTTGTAAGGTAATATATAAATGCAAAATACAAAATACAAGTGCAAAATACAAGTGAAAATATTGGTATATTTTGTCATACAAGTGAAATGTATGCATGGTATTCAATGGGAAAACCATTAAATTTCTATCCCCATTAAATTTCTATGTAATACATTTTTTAAGTAGAAACATGCAAATGTTACTAGATCAAGAAAGAGGTGGGATTAACAGTGCGATCTTTGGCGCCGTTATTCTGATGACATTATGCTTGACAACAAGGCATGCTATTTTCAATGAGCTACATAACAAAATTCTGCTTTATTCTGCTATAACCCTGAAGTATTTTGCAATGTTTGCAGACAAATACCCTGAAGTATTTTGCAATGCTTGCAGACAAAAATGCTATCGATTGTGTAGTAAATTATGTACATTTGTTTATGCAGGAAAATCCCATAATGGGATGAGGGAAGTTATATAAACTAGATTGAACTGAAGTAACAAAGATGTGTCCCTTCCTTAAACTATATTCAAAATAACCAAAACTTGTTTTAAAAATGTTTATTATGACGTACCAGTACATCAAAATAAATGGTACAAAGTTGTTAAAAGTATTCTACACATTTCCTCCAACCAGCAGATCCATGTATAATTTGTAGTCAAACCCTTCACTTTTTCTGCGAGATAGATTTGAGGAACTCTACAATGTTTATGTCATCGATGTCGTTGATATCATCAGGACTATAGTCAGTCATTGTTGCCGACAGCAACAGCGACGGATCAAATGCACCGGAATCATCCATGTCCTCATCGATTGGTTGTAGGTGATTCTGAGCCATGCCGACACTGGAAATAGAATGTGTACAGGCTTTTCTTAGTCTTCAGTTATAAATCTTGGTAAACGTCAATAAGTTACATCATCTGTACAACACAATTATAATAAACCCATGGGTATCTTTGATATTAAACTATAAAAGATATGGTTTATTACAGAGTTTGATGTTTATGAGAAAGTTCCTTGTCAGACGACACAATTTACTTAATTGCATCAAGGGAAGAATGCACAATAAGCGTGTTTATGATAGACTACAAGACTCTTTCATGCCCAGGGGTGAAGGATAGGGAAGTTCCACCTGAGGGGTTTTCAAATTTTGTAAAACCTGAGGCTGTGAAATTTGAAAATCCCAAGGATGGAATGTCCCTACCCTACAACCTTGGGCATGAAAGAGTATTTTTTCTCTCATTCCAGCTACAACAATAAGCACAGAAACCATGAAAATGCATTTGGACTGTCTACCACTTTTATATCAATTTCCCCCCTGAGCTTTTTTGACGAAATTGACATCGTCAGCGAGATTAAGCATACCCCATATCTTGCACAGAAAAAATATTCTCATCTCTCTAGCGTGTACGGTAAATATATCGTAAAAGGTTTTAATTTCATCACGTTGCCTTTTTCCGCATTGCGGCATCAGTCTTTTCCAAATTTGTGACGTGACGTCATTGTTGAGCCATGCGCTGGTCATGCAAAATTGTTTCTTTATTGAGCAGTAAATATGTCCCTCAATTCAATTTGCTTAAATAATGACAAACACATGTAATTTACTTTTCATTAAAATTAAGATTCAGGTAAACTTAATATTTTTTTCCAAAAAATCTGAAAATACCCTGTGCAAAGAAGTCACAGTCTAAACATATATATAGTGATTACTGTGAAATCTTTTTTTTTCTTTTTTTTTTTTTTTTAAATTCAAAATCTGCAGTTTTACAAATACCCGGTACTTTGACAATAATGGGGACAAGATATTGCAGAAAAAAATGTTTTGGTAATTTAATGGGAATACAAATTCATTCTGAGAGGGCGTATAACAGACAAGTCTTAATTGAATGTTTAATCAGTAGATCTAGAATAGTACAGATACTGTAGATTATTCCTAATTTGCATAAATATTTATTTACATGTAAACCTGATTTAAGCATCGATTGCAAATTTGTGAATTAGAGGATGCTATATTTTTGCTATTTGAACATTAATATTAATTATCTATAGAATTATCATTCACAGAAAAACACATGCCTAATTACCCTAAAGAATTAACACAAAAACTTATCTTTCACACAAAAATAAAGTGATTATAAGACTTTTAATATTAAATGTTACAAAAAAAATTTCAAAGTCTGAGTTGTTAATGTTACAAAATGATAAGGAATTCCAATGGATAAAAGTCATGAACATATCATATAAGGCACAGTGTTTACACTAGGGTTGATCTGCAGAATTACATCTTACCTGTTGGGTTCGTACACGGGGGAGTCCGGGCTGAGATGTAAGCCTTGAGGAGTCTGGGGATTGTTGAAATCTATCGGTGCTGCATTTGCTCTGAGAAAGGTAAATTGATACAATGCATATAGCATTCTACTTAAGCAACTTACATATAAATACATACTTCGATGTTTTGAACTTTTTAGGGACAACTAAGAAAAATTTGAAAACTTTGATTCACAAATGTTCCAACATCGAACATTAAAATCTTAAGACAGAATTTGACTCTTGTGTAACGAAACACAGACTAAGGAATTTAATTTAAAATGTATAAATATTGGATTTACAGTAATAAGATTAGCATATTTATTTATACACTCTAACTTGCATGGTGATCAAATTCAACATTTCTTGTAAATTAAATTTCCGAAGTCTGTGTGTTTATATGACTGCTAGACACTTCAATGTTCTAGTACAGGTAAAAGACTTGGGGCGTTATGGGTCATTTTTAGCCTCATAAATAAGTAAAAAATTCAACTTGAATTTATTTACCAATTTCTGTTATGAACATCATATTGGTTATTAGGGCTATATATCTTTCTTGGTGTAGATTCTTTCCAATGCACATGCGAAGATGCCATACCATAGCAACGACATCTCGTTGTTATGCAGAAATAGCCAAAATATGATGTTTTTGGACAGTTAGCATGTCTTTACTCTAAAAAGAATACCTTTTAGGGAATGAACACTGGTATGACAATGTTTCAGCATGTCAAATATTTTTTGTCTGTTGCATGCGGAGGCTTTCAAAACTTGAAGAGCATTTAATATCCTTCAAGATGGAAAAATTGCAGGTGTATGTCTCTCTTTGTAATGCCATATCTCCAAAACCACTTGTAGAATGATTTTGAAATTTCATATTTGCATACTTCATTTATTCCAGATTCCGAATATAACAACTAATTCAAAATCCCTGCTGAGGCCAGAAGTTACCCTTAGCGCCCCTAGTCCTTTTTCACTCAATTTACTAGTGTTTTCATGCCGCAAGTATGACTATGTTTATTAATCGTGACTATCGCTGTGTGATAATTTCAAGTTGATGGACAGATTAACGAGATTGTCTCAACGAGAATTATCATAGGACTAACGAATGTTCTCTAAACATATAGACAATATTAATGTATTCGCCCACAAATTTTACTTTTAGCGTACTCGCCCACAAATTTGACTTTTGATGTACTCGCCCACAGGTTTTACTTTTGATGTATTTGCCCACAAGTTTTGCTTTTGATGTACTTGCCCACAGGTTTTGCTTTTGATGTACTCGCCCACAAATTTTACTTTTGATGTACTCGCCCACAGGTTTTACTTTTGATGTACTCACCCACAGGTTTTACTTTTGATGTATTTGCCCACAGGTTTTACCTTTGATGTACATGCCCAGAGGTTTTACTTTTGATGTACTTGCCCACATGTTTTACTTTTGATGTACTCGCCCACAGGTTTTACTTTTGATGTACTTGCCCACAGGTTTTACTTTTGATGTACTTGACCACATGTTTTACTTTAAGTAACAGGAGATAAATCAGGCAGTAAAATTGTATTGCCCATTATAAATTAGGTTATATGTCATTACCCGTGTTATATATCAGGCTATTCAAAGAGACAAACGTTTCATTGTAATACATCTGAAGTATAACCCAAGTTTTATAGATGAATTATGTAGCGTTATCCAAATTTTATAAAAGAAATCTGTAGCATAACTCAAGTTTTATAAATGAAATATGTAGCATTTCCAAAGATTTAAAGATAAAATCGGTAGCGTTACTAAAGTTTTATAGATGAAAACTGTAGCTTTACCCAAGTTAGATGAAACTGGACTACAACAGCTCTGTTTTACCGCCAAGCAAGTTTTTCAAAAAGCATATTTACAATAAAACTATTCACTGACAGATAGACTTAATTTTTGTTTTTATCATATAGAGTTTTTGCGTTTTTAAATACTCACAGACTGTCTGGCAACCTGGCCACCAGTGTGCTTTGTACATATCCATCCTTCACTTCGTTATGTTTTTCTGGAAAAGTCCAAGCATAAATATCAAATACTGTGCTGATTGGGTTTCTTATAAATAGTCTAATGCAGTTAAACACTGAACACAAGCTTGTCAGATTCAGGAAAGATGTTAAAAAGAAATATCATATTTCATAACATAAATATCAATAACAACGACTAAGTTGGGCAGAATAATGGGACAAAAAAATGTGTCCACTGAAAGATGTTTGTCATTAACTTTAGAAAGGACTTTTTAAACATTTTCACCTCTATTGTCCCCATTGTGGGAGGCCTAGGTGTGTTGGGGTTGGCAAACCCTCCAAGTATACAACATTAAGACTAAAAATGTTCCCGACTGAATTTGGTTTAAATCTGTTCTGCCATCCTGGACAAGTATTGTTGAAAAATAAATGTTTATGAAAAAACCTTCAAAAACACAAGATTGATTTCCCTTTGTGGTAGCAGTCTTTTAAATGAAAAATTGATGGCAGATGATGAATACTGCATAAACTCAATGGTGGATTTAGATGTGAATGGTGATAGATGGTACACAGTAACAGTTAATACAGTCCTGGCATTGAAAAGTTGAAGATGCAGTGACATTTTTCATTGAACTAAAAGCAAACATATATCATTCTAAGTACATCTGTGTCTGTTCTACAGTGTAGAAACTCCAGTTCAATATTTTTCATGGGCCTGTGACATAGACCTGTTCAGCACCGTACCTACCTGATACAGCTGTGTAGTATTTCCCAAAGGCTTGTGATTTAGATATGTTTGGATAGAGGGTAACAAGAGCATCCAGGTCCTTGATTCGATCAGACAGGCTGCGAATTATGAAATCTTTACGGCCGTAAGGAGCCAGGTTCCAAACAGACCTCTCTCCTGTAGTGAAAAAGTCAGACGCTCATGATATTATATTCTCATTCCATTTCGTCAAAATATTTTCTTTTCTTTTACGAAAGGAAATGAATATAATTGAACAGATAGAGACATAAGAAAATGCATGAGAGAAGATAGAAAGACGGAGGTGGAACAGAAAAGAAAGAGAGGTTATCAGGAAAGGGAATATAAAAAGAAAAATAGGAAAGAAGAAATAACAGAAAAGAGGAGTGGAAGAAGATGAGAAAGAAGAAATGAGAGAAGAGGAAGAATTTGATATAAGAAGATGACAAAATAGAATAAAGGGAGATAGTGATATAGAAGAAAAGATGTACCTGTTTTAGAAGGATCATCAGCTACCCATGCTATTGTGATCCCACCCGTCTCAGAGTCGCTGAACCTCAGCAGGAACGTTCCATTGGGTTTGGTCATCAACCATTCTTGAGCAGAGTTCTTGCTGATAAACCCAATCACTGACCTGTTCCCAAACATTCAAATCCACAAACTAATTACATTTTCTGGATAGAATCATAAGTTTGCAAAAGATTTCTGCCCGAACAGTATACTGTAAATTTAGTGCATTTTCGATTTGTTTTAAAGATTAACATTTCGATAAACTGGCACTCTCACACTATATGCAGTAGTAAATTGTGTACAGAAACATCTAAAGCATGAACGCTAACTTTAGAATACTGCTAAAATATAACATGCAATGTTCGCTGAAACTTTTCTTTGTGGTTGGAAGCAATTTAGATTGTTTTGGGGTACAAACTTTCGTTTATATACACACAGCAGTCAAGTATATCAAATACATTTTTCATATTTATTTTTTGTAGTTTCATAGCAACCACGAACACCAGGAATGTTTGTACACAGCAAACATTTCATGTCAGTCAGTACGTACGGGAACAGTAGTTAGACAAATTAACAGCATGACTTGCAACAAATAAAAATCTTTCTAAAATAACACTTACCCGTCCATCCACGGAGATTTGAGGTGTTCCTCCGTCAGTTTCATTACGTTGTAGAACCACTCCCAGAATGTGAAGTTACGAGCGGATAAAGCGTCCTTTCAATACAAACATAAATTCATCTAAGGGTCTGTCAGAGTCACCCAACAGATATCTAGTTAAGTCCCCCAAACAAAGTAGAGGACTTATTGGTTTTACTCCGTTTCTTCTTCTTATTAATATTATTATTCTTCCGCCTTAAAAGTTTTCGACACATTTCTCGATAACAATTGGACGAAAATTATTATTAATGAAACTTTACTCAGGTGATCATCAAGGTAAGGGTGTGTGCAAATGACCTTTCATTACCCGATTGGTCAACAAAGATGGCCGCCACGGCCTCTGATTGGTCGAAAATAAATATTGGTCGATTTTGCTCAAATTTCATATGTAGGTGTATTTTGGCACTGCGAACATAGCTGCAGGGTTGTTTGGGGGACTTCTGTAATGATCCCTCATTGCAATTAGTACTTGTACTCTTTTAAAATAATTCATTATTCATAAGAAAAATAGGATAACTATAAACAAAATATTCCTTGTACTGTTTACTGTACAGTGGTTATATTTACGTACAGTACTGAATAGTATTTGTTTTATCTGTATTGAGGTTTTATTTACTGCGATTCTTTTTATATTTACTTGTAATATATAGGGTTTAATTTATTGTACTGTGGTGATATTTACTGTATGATAACGTACATTTACTGTGTAATACCTATACAGCATAGCACTTTCATTTACTGTATAATGTAGGTAATAAATACATTTATATGTTTAGTGCAATTGTATAGTTTATATTTTCTTTATTATACTTAAATATTTACCTACAGCATTTACATTATTTACTGTATAGTGGTAATGTTTAATGTATAGAACTAAAAACTAATTACAATTCTTGGAGCTTAATTTTAGCTATATTTGTGGTCTGATATAAGCGTGAAAAATATAGACCCTGCAAAATTGTTTCCCTTCTAATATATATATGTACTATTCGTAATTAACCGAGTTTTGCAAAACTTCAACCCTGAAATTTCTTTCATGAAGAAATTCCGCCAACATTATTATCCCACAAAATGAAGTACTTCTTGCTAGGTAATCAATGCAATGATAGAATTGTACCGGTATACTATTGATCTCTAGGCAACCTCAGATAAACTTATTTCTTGTACTCGAACAATGTTTTTTTTCTGCTGAATGTATGAATGTTGAGTGCATAAATTAAAGTTCCCTTGATTTACTTTCGCAAATAATGCTTTCTTAAAATACCTTGGCTGAGTTCTGTGATACTGACCTTGTTGAACATCGGCCACGATATTAGTCTTTGTGAGAAGTCCTCCCCGGGTTTGATCTGACCTCCTACAAGTACGAAATTTAAACTTTCACAAACATAAACATAATCCAACCTTTCATCAACAAAATGGCTTGTTCTCAGGAAATGAATTACTTACAATTATTATTATTTACAATTTCATACCCCCAAAACATAACTAAACTTAATAAATATATATCCAAGAAATATAAATTACATAGAAAAATTAAAAGTCACACACAAAACATACAAAATTCAACCTCTCATACACAAAACATACAAAATACAACCTCTCATACACAAAACAAACCAAATCTAACCTCTCATACAGAAAACATACAAAATACAACCTCTCATACAGAAAACATACAAAATACAACCTCTCATACACAAAACATACAAAATACAACCTCTCATACAGAAAACATACAAACTACACTCTCTCATACACTAAAAAAAACCATAATCCAACCTCTCATACAGAAAACATACAAAATACAACCTCTCATACACAAAAACTACAAAATACAACCTCTCATACACTAAAAAAACCATAATCCAACCTCTCATACACAAAAAATACAAAATCCAACCACTCATACACATACACACACAAATTCCAACTCTCATACACAAAACATACAAAATACCACCTTTCATACACAAAACATACAAAATCTAACCTGTCAGTCACAAAACATACAAAATCTAACCTCTCATACACAAAACATACAAAATCTAACCTCTCATACACAAAACAAACAATATCCAACCTCTCATACACAAAACATACAAAATACAACCTCTCATATACAAAAACATACAAAATCCAACTCTCATACACAAAACATACAAAATCCAACCTCTCATAAACAAAACATACAAAATACAACCTCTCATACACAAAAACTACAAAATACAACCTCATACACAAAACATACAAAATCTAACCTGTCAGTCACAAAACATAAAAAATCTAACCTGTCAGTCACAAAACATACAAAATCTATCTTCTCATACACAAAAAAACAACATAATCCAACCTCTCATACACAAAACATACAAAATACAACCTCTCATACACATGCACATACAAAATACAACTCTCATACACAAAACATACAAAATCCAACTTCTCATACACAAAACATACAAAATACAACCTCATACACAAAACATACAAAATACAACCCCTCATACACAAAAACTACAAAATACAACCTCTCATACACACAAAAAACATAATCCAACCTCTCATACACAAAACATACAAAATCCAACCCTCATACAAATACACATACAAAATCCAACTCTCATACACAAAACATACAAAATCCAACCTCTCCTACAGAAAACATACAAAATACAACCTTTCATGCACAAAACGTACAAAATAAACTTTTCATATACAAAACATTCAAAGTCTAACCTCTCATACACAAAACATACAAAATCCAACCGCTCAAACACAAAACAAAACAAATCTAACCTCTCATACACAAAATATACAAAATCTTACCTCTCATACACAAAAAAACATAATCCAACCTCTCATACACAAAACATACAAAATCCAACCTCTCATACACAAAACGTACAAAATACAACCTCTCATACACAAAACATACAAAATACAACCTCTCATACACAAACATACAAAATCTAACCTCTCATATACAAAAAATACAAAATAAACCTCTCATACACAAAACATACAAAATACAACCTCTCATACACAAAAAAAACATAATCCAACCTCTCATACACAAAACATACAAAATCCAACCTCTCATACACATACACATACAAAATCCAACTCTCATACACAAACATACAAAATCTAACCTCTCATACACAAAACATACAAAATACAACCTCTCATACACAAAAACTACAAAATACAACCTCTCATACACAAAAAAACATAATCCAACCTCTCATACACAAAACATACAAAATCCAACCTTTCATACACATACACATACAAAATCCAACTCTCATACACAAAACATAAAAAATCTAACCTTTCATACACATAACATACAAAATCTAACCTTTCACTCACAAAACATACAAAATCTAACCTCTCATACACAAAACAAACAAAATCCAACACCTCGTACACAAAACAAACCAAATCTAACCTCTCATACACAAAAACTACAAAATGCAACCTCATACACAAAACATACAAAATCCAACCTCTCATACACATACAAAATCCAACTCTCATACACAAAACATACAAAATCCAACCTCTCCTACAGAAAACATACAAAATAAACCTTTCATACACAAAACATACAAAATACAACCTCAACCTCTCATACACAAAACAAACAATCCTCTCATACACAAAACATACAAAATCCAACCTTTCATACACATACACATACAAAATACAACTCTCATACACAAAACATACAAAATCCAACCACTCATACACAAAACATACAAAATACAACCTCTCATACAAAAAACTACAAAATACAACCTCATACACAAAAAATACAAAATCTAACCTCTCATACACAAAACATACAAAATACAACCGCTCATACACAAAACATACAAAATACAACCTCTCATACACAAAACGTACAAAATTTAACCTCTCATACACAAAATAAGCTAAATCCAACATCTCATACACAAAACATACAAAATACAACCTCTCATATACAAAAAATACAAAATAAACATCTCATACACAAAACATACAAAATACAACCTCTCATATACAAAAAATACAAAATAAACCTATCATACACAAAACATACCAAATAAAACCTCGCATACACAAAAAAAACATAATCCAACCTCTCATACACAAAACATACAAAATCCAACCTCCCATACACATACACATACTACAACCTCTCATATCCAAAAAAAACAAAATCCAACCTCGCATACACATACACATGCAAAATACAACTCTCATACACAAAAAAAACAAAATAAACCTATCATACGCAAAACATACCAAATAAACCTCGCATACCCAAAAAAAACATAATCCAACCTCTCATAAACAAAACATACAAAATACAACCTCTCATACACAAAAACTACAAAACACAACCTCATACACAAAACATACAAAATACAACCTTTCATACACAAAACGTACAAAATCCAACCTCTCATACACAAAACAAACCAAATCTAACCTCTCATACACAAAAACTACAAAATACAACCTCATACACAAAACATACAAAATCCAACCTCTCGTACACAAAACATACAAAATACAACATCTCATACACAAAAACTACAAAATACAACCTCTCATACAGAAAAAAACCATAATCCAACCTCTCATACACAAAACATACAAAATCCAACCTCTCATACACATACACATACAAAATTCAACCCTCATACACAAAACATACAAAATCCAACCTTTCCTACAGAAAACATACAAAATACAACCTTTCATATACAAAACGTACAAAATACAACCTTTCATCTGCAAAACATACAAAATCTAACCTCTCATACACAAAACATACAAAATCCAACCGCTCATACACAAAACAAAACAAATCTAACCTCTCATACACAAAATATACAAAATCTTACCTCTCATACACAAAAAACATAATCCAACCTCTCATACACAAAACATACAAAATACAACCTCCCATACACATACACATACAAAATCCAACTCTCATACACAAACATAAAAAATCGAACCTCTCATACACAAAACATACAAAATCCAACCGCTCATACACAAAACAAAACAAATCTAACCTCTCCTACACAAAATATACAAAATCTTACCTCTCATACACAAATAACATAATCCAACCGCTCATACACAAAACATACAAAATCCAACCACTCAAACACAAAACATACAAAATACAACCTCTCATACAACAAAAACTACAAAATACAACCTCTCATACACAAAAAAAACCCCATAATCCAACCTCTCATACACAAAAAATACAAAATAAACCCCTCATACACAAAACATACAAAATACAACCACATACACATACAAAATCCAACTCTCATACATAAACATACAAAATTTAACCTCTCATACACAAAACATACGAAATCCAACCTCTCATACACAAAATATACAAAATACAACCTCTCATACACATACAACACATACAAAATCCAACTCTCATACACAAACATAAAAAATCTAACATCTCATACACAAAACATACAAAATACAACCGCTCATACACAAAACATACAAAATCCAACCGCTCATACACAAAACAAAACAAATCTAACCTCTCCTACACAAAATATACAAAATCTTACCTCTCATACACAAATAACATAATCCAACCGCTCATACACAAAACATACAAAATCCAACCACTCAAACACAAAACATACAAAATACAACCTCTCATACACAAAAAAAACCCCATAATCCAACCTCTCATACACAAAAAATACAAAATAAACCTCTCATACACAAAAAAACCCATAATCCAACCTCTAATACACAAAACATACAAAATCCAACCTCTCATACAAAAAAAAAACATAATCCAAACCTCTAATACACAAAACATACAAAATACAACCTCTCATACACAAAAAAAAACCATAATCCAACCTCTCATACAGAAAACATACAAAATACAACCTCTCATACAAAAAAAAAACATAATCCAACCTCTCATACACCAAACATACAAAATCCAACCTCTCATACACATACACAAACAAAATCCAACTCTCATACACAAACATAAAAAATCTAACATCTCATACACAAAACATACAAAATACAACCACATACACATACAAAATCCAACTCTCATACACAAACATAAAAAAATCTAACCTTTCATACACAAAACATACAAAATGTAACATCTCAAACACAAAACATACAAAATACAACCTCTCATACAAAAAAAAAACATAATCCAACCTCTCATACACAAAACATACAAAATCCAACTCTCATACACAAACATAAAAAATCGAACCTCTCATACACAAAACATACAAAATCCAACTCTCATACACAAACATAAAAAATCTAACCTCTCATACACAAAACATCCAAAATGTAACATCTCATACACAAAACATACAAAATACAACCTCTCGTACACAAAATAAACCCACTCATACACAAAACATACAAAATACAACCGCTCATACACAAAACATACAAAATACAACCGCTCATACACAAAACATACAAAATACAACCGCTCATACACAAAACATACAAAATCCAACCGCTCATACACAAAACAAAACAAATCTAACCCCTCATACACAAAATATACAAAATCTTACCTCTCATACACAAATAACATAATCCAACCGCTCATACACAAAACATACAAAATCCAACCGCTCATACACAAAACAAAACAAATCTAACCTCTCCTACACAAAATATACAAAATCTTACCTCTCATACACAAATAACATAATCCAACCGCTCATACACAAAACATACAAAATACAACCTCTCATACACAAAAAAACCCATAATCCAACCTCTAATACACAAAACATACAAAGTCCAACCTCTCATACACATACACAAACAAAATCCAACTCTCATACACAAACATAAAAAATCTAACATCTCATACACAAAACATACAAAATACAACCGCTCATACACAAAACATACAAAATCCAACCTCTCATACAAAAAAAAAACATAATCCAACCTCTCATACACCAAACATACAAAATCCAACCTCTCATACACATACACAAACAAAATCCAACTCTCATACACAAACATAAAAAATCTAACCTCTCATACACAAAACATACAAAATTAATCCAACCTCTCATACAGAAAACATACAAAATACAACCTCTCATACACAAAAAAACCCATAATCCAACCTCTAATACACAAAACATACAAAATCCAACCTCTCATACACATACACAAACAAAATCCAACTCTCATACACAAACATAAAAAATCTAACCTCTCATACACAAAACATACAAAATGTAACATCTCATACACAAAACATACAAAATACAACCTCTCTTATACAAAATGAACCAAATCCAACCTCTCATACGCAAAAAATACAAAATAAACCTCTCATACACAAAACATACAAAATACAACCTCTCATATACAAAAAATACAAAATAAACATCTCATACACAAAACATACAAAATGTAACATCTCATACACAAAACATACAAAATGTAACATCACATACACAAAACATACAAAATACAACCTTTCATACACATACACATACAAAATACAACTCTCATACACAAAACATAAAAAATCTAACCTTTCATACACATAACATACAAAATCTAGCCTTTCATTCACAAAACATACAAAATCTAACCTCTCATACACAAAACATACAAAATCTAACCTCTCATACACAAAACAAACAAAATACAACCTCTCATACACAAAAACTACAAAATAGAACCTCTCATACACAAAAAAAACATAATCCAAACTCTCATACACAAAACATACAAAATACAACCTTTCATACACATACACATACAAAATACAACTCTCATACACAAAACATAAAAAATCTAACCTTTCATACACATAACATACAAAATCTAACCTTTCATTCACAAAACATACAAAATCTAACCTCTCATACACAAAACATACAAAATCCAACCTGTCATACACAAAACATACAAAATCCAACCTCTCATACACAAAAACTACAAAATACAACTTCTCATACACAAAACAAACCAAATCTAACCTCTCATACACCTACACATACAAAATACAACTCTCATACACAAAACATACACAAATCCAACCTCTCCTACAGAAAACATACAAAATACAACCTTTCATGCACATAACATACAAAATCTAACCTTTCATATACAAAACATACAAAATCCAACTGCTCATACACAAAACAAACCAAATCTAACCTCTCATACACAAAACAAACCAAATCTAACCTCTCATACACAAAACAAACCAAATCTAACCTCTCATACACAAAACAAACCAAATCTAACCTCTCATACACAAAACAAACCAAATCTAACCTCTCATACACAAAACAAACCAAATCTAACCTCTCATACACAAAACAAACCAAATCTAACCTCTCATACACAAAACAAACCAAATCTAACCTCTCATACACAAAACAAACCAAATCTAACCTCTCATACACAAAACATACAAAATAAAGCCTCTCATACACAAAACATACAAAATCCAATTGCTCATACACAAAACAAACCAAATCTAACCTCTCATACACAAAACAAACCAAATCTAACCTCTCATACACAAAACAAACCAAATCTAACCTCTCATACACAAAACATACAAAATAAAGCCTCTCATACACATATATACCATCTCACATGATAGTCTAAGCATATTTTTCTCCAGTATTCACAACCTTCTATACATTGAACCTACCAAAGGCTTTGTTGGCTAGGTAGGACAGATTGTCTGCTGTCAACCCACGACCAGTAGCGGCCTGGAACATTCCATTGAGCAGTTCAGCCATCTGACACCACGGAACAGAGTCTGGAACTGCGAACGGGGTCCGGCCCTGAAAGGGAACAGCTGGCACATCGAATACAGGAAGTTCTCCAGTGACAAGCTTTACGAAAGATCCAGTAAGATTTAGATTCTATCATACCAAGCCTTAATGAACCTAGCATGAAAAATAAATCCCTTGTACGATCACATGTTTATCAAGACCAACTGTAATGAGATAAAAGACATGGTCACATCAAATCCTTACAGAGATCAACATTTGTTACATCATGCCATCCCCTTGTTGGCTCAGGGAAAGAATAAGCCCTAAAAATATCTAGTGTGGCATAATATGCTCCTTAAATGATGTACATACTCCTCTTTTACCCTATCACTTTCTGTTCTGAGCTGGCTTCCCTTAGTCACCGACTGTAGTTGCATCATCATTTACTGTGGACTAAATGACATTCTTTTGTTGATAGACTATTAAAGTACAAAAAATACCAAAGAAAAGCAAATATCATACAACATCCTGACTGAGATTAACCTTTGTACCAGTATAACACACTTTACTCACCGGCTCAGCAAATTGGTTGTCCCACAGAACAGTTGCCATGGCGTTGCATTCCTGGTTACCGTGGACAGTCACAACGACAGGCAGTGACAGTGTCTGCAAAAATGATATTTTCTGATTAACTACCCCCATTCATTTATCTAAATAAATTGTATTTCTGGGCAATCTGTTGTAAACCAAAATATATAGATTTCAAAAATTCAATATCGTACAGCTGCTGGACTTTCCGAAGAAAGTTTAACTTATCAACCAGGAAAACCAAAGGTGATCACGAGTACAGGTAAGCCCATATCAAGATCTGCTGTACGTTTTGACAGGTCTGTAACTGTCTTCACCAACGAATTTTCAAATGAAAGTGCCAAGTGTGCTGTAAATTTAGGAATGGATGTGGAAGGAAACAAGCAAATTCGTGGAATGTATATCCCTCCCTTTCAGGACATATTGTTGGTAAACATTATTGAGGTTAGGTTTAACATGTGAGTATCGTGCTGTTGAGACATAATGTATAGCTTGAAACTAGAAGAAAAAAATTCCTTATCTAATATTTGCTAGAGTTATTTAGCGGAAACTGCCTGCAGCTAATGACTCTACCAAATGAAGTCCGATTAAAGTGGTTGTCAAACTTGGCCGAGTCCCTAATGCGTTGAACCCTGTTACTAAGTTTGAAGACAATCGGATACTATTTGCGAGAGTTAATGAACAGAAACGGAAGTTAATGACGTTTTTCGTTATTCAAGGGGCCATAACTCCGCCAAATGGGGTCCACTGAAAGTGGTCATCAAACTTGGCCGATACCCTAAGGCATTTAACCCTGTGGCCAAGTTTGTAGAAAATCGGTTAACATTTGTTGTAGTTATTGTATGGAAACGAAGCGTGACAGACAGACAGACAGATAAACCCAAATTAATATCCCCCGTTTCGGTGAAAGCGGGGGATAAAAAGTGGAAACCATGAAACTATGATTGTTTTTAATATATAAGCCCCTTATCCATGATACATATTTTTGACCTCTGTTACCTTTGAATTTTTTCAATGTTACTTATTTCAACAAAGGTGGGGTCAACATTTGGCCCCCACTTTGATTTCCTCTATTCTTTTGCCATATGTAGATACAAAATATGATCAATAACTGCATAAATGATTATTCATAATTACTACTGAAAACCGTAGTGGATCTCCTTGCATAACACTAGGTTGAGTGATGGGGGTACTCTAACAAAATGATCGATAAATGTCACAGGCGAATGCTATTTTGAACATGAGTTATGGTAGTGTACTGTTATTGTTATTTTGTTACTAAATATGTCATATTGGTATATATCAAGTAAGCTTAGTGATACTTTTATTTAGAAAAACATGCAAAATTTACACAAAATTTAAAATATAATCAACATTGTGAACTTGCCTATCTATAGTTACAGTGGTAGTCTATATTTTAAACTTCGTTAAAAACTTTCCATGTATGTATTTTGTCTACTGAATCATTTTTATGCAATATAAAAACCGGTAAAGTACTTTATTAGCATGCCAAACATGATCAATGCCGAATTTCACATAATCTTTAAGATTTGATTATCAATGTTTATTATGGTAAAAACCGATACATTTTCTGTTTTTGTATCATACCAAAACACTTTATTATATAACGCATGTTTTAAAGTTATGTGCAGCAGTTATAACTCATGAAATTGTATTCTGCCAAAGTAATCTTTCTTCTGGAGAACTACTTAAGGTTGAGATTGTGTTATAGACAACGATATGCAATTATATGAAAATAATCAAATAATCTTAATAGTAAAACTATCATACATTTTATTATACACCCTGCAACAAAGTTAGGAGGTATACTGGAATCAGCTTGTCTGTCTGTCTGTCTGTCCGTAGAAAAAAGATTGTCCGGACAACTCCTTCTAAAGTAATGGATCAATTTCAGCGAAAGTTTCAAGATATGATAACTACCACCTCAAGTTATGCATACATGTATTATGTTTTCATTCTGATCCTTATTTTACAGAGTTATGGCTCTTTGATGAAAACGTTTTGTCCAGACATGTCCTCCAAAACTAAGGGGTCAATTTCAACGAAAGTTTTCACATAAAGTAACCTCCACCTGATGGTGTGCATCCAGGTATTATTGTTTTTCAATATGACCCTTTTTAACGGAGTAATGGCCCTTTGTTGAAATACTGACAACTCCTCCAAAACTATGCAGACAATTTCAACGAAAGTTTAAAGATATGGTAACTGCCCCCTGACATAGTGCATCCAAATAGTATGTTTCATTCCAAACCTTTAAAAAGGAATTATGGCTCTTTTTAGGAAAAGAACCTTTGTCTGCCTCATACTCTACTGTGCCGATGTCAATGAATGTTTACAGATATGGTAATTATCCCCTGATGTCGTGCATTCGGGTACGTGCAACAGGGTAGTACTTTTTTCATTTCGACCCTTTTTAAGGAGTTCTGGCCCTTTGTTAAAAATCTTTGTCTTGACAACTCCTTCTTAACTACTAGGACGACTGAAGCAAAACTGGTTCATCGGGGCTAATAAGATTTGGTATGGAAGTATGTTTTGGCATGGGGAGGGAGTACAGGAAGTATGTAAGTGACATATATTCTTAAATATTTTACGTGTGTGTGTGTGTGTGTGTGTGTGTGTGTGTGTGTGTGTGTGTGTTGAACTATGCATTGCTTTGCAATTCTTTGTCTTAGTTAGCCTTTAACTTACATTTTGGGTTATATAGGAGTGGGGTATTAGTTAATCTTTTTGCTTTCAGTTCTAGTTATTATTTTATTTGGCCTATTGACCATTCATTAAACAAAATATGGAGGAATATTACATTACAAATATCAAGACCAAAGGACTTTTGGTCATGAAGAAACACATGTTAAAGGAAAAATGGAAAGAAAGTTATGTATTTCTTTTTTTGAATCAAAAGTGTTATATGACAAATTTACCGGTTGTCAATTTTCTTGCAATTACTGATGTTGAAAGATATTATTGGTAGCCAACTTTTAAGCAAGTATGAAATATAGACTGGTTTTAAAACTATGTAAATAAACGTGACAAAAATGGAAATTTTCTCATTAGTAATGAAATTTCACAGTCTTTTCTGCTTAAATCTTCAATAAAAAGAACAATACTTTCTTGAAATAGTGTAATATTCGGTATCAAAATGAAAGTTGGAATATGTTGCACACGATGATGATATAATTTTATAGTAATTATTTTATTTAAATGCTCTAGGAAGAATTGTGCTACCGCACCTTTAACACCCACACAGGTGTAAGTCAATGAGGTCCCATTTATCCTAAAATGAATTCTGTAACTAACGGTTCCTTATTTAAGCTTCCTATACCCATACCTTTTTGTAGTTATCTTGTTTTTAAATTCAAAGCGGGGGCCGACGCTAATGTTAAATCTCCATAGGCGTTGACCCCACCTTTACATAATTGCTCATTATTTTTTTATTTGATGCTATTCTGACGCTTTTACATGTTACATTACAGGTATATTTCAAGGGTAATCAATATCACATGTCACATTACAGGTATATTTCAAAGGTAATCAATATCACATGTTACATTACAGGTATATTGCAAAGGTAATCACTATCACATGTTACATTACAGGTATATTTCATGGGTAATCAACATCACATGTTACATTACAGGTATATTTCAAGGGTAAACAATATCACATGTTACATTACAGGTATATTTCAAGGATAATCAATATCACATTGAGATTAAGTGAAATATACTGTACACTGTCTTGACTTACCCAAACCTGAAACATGAGCTCCCCATTGCCAATCTGGAAATCTGACTGGAACAGCACACAGAACTTCTCTTCCGTTACTGCCTGTGGAAGTCAGAGATCACATAGTAAAGATCACGAAAGGTCAGAGTTCAAAGATAAGGCCCAAAGCACCTCCACTTTGCACTGGTAAGTTCAGTTGATAGAAAAATTAGTAAAACTGTAATGATTTTGTGTTCAAAGGAAAATTGCTTTTATGAATGGTCAACTTGATTCATTAGAACATTACATAAGTACATGTTTATTAAGTAAACAAAATTTAATTATACTTCACCAATTCAAAGGAGTAAGATAATAAAGGTACTTTTTGACCAGAAATAATTATGCATCATTTGTCTGGGTTTTTGATAATTATGTCGTAATGGAGTTGGTAGCTATAACAGGGAAGCAAACACGAGACCCCACAAATGAAAACATGTCAATTGATTGATAGATTGGTTAATTGGTATTACGTCCGATTCACTATTGAGTAGTTCAGTTATCCAGCAGACGTCTGTCATGTCCATTACAAAAACGCTATTCAATTATAGCCTTTGGCTGAGGTCTATACCTGGATTTATCGACTTAATCGAGGTATCGACCGAAGTTAAAGGCTACAATTGTTTTATTATTTTCAAAATAGTGATGTAAGCAATCTGAAACAAAACCATAGCAAATATATTTTGGCAGCGGGACAGTGCATTGTTTGGAGACACGGCATAATTCTATTTTTAGAAACACCCAGTCCTTCAACAAAAATCATGCGCTTCAAGTCAATATCGTTTTTTATCGGTGGACACGTGATGCCCTCCTGGCCAATCACTTGTGTGGAATAATATGAAAAAATAATTATGGTTTATATAAGTGGGGAACTAATCAGTATACATAAAACGTCGTCACAATAGCTACATACTTCTGAGCCTTTCTTGTCCGCTCGTTTGATCTTCTTCAATGACTGCAAAAGAAAAAACCAAGAAAAAAGAAAGGTATGTATGAAGTTTCATTAGTCGATTTACAAATTTACACTAACAAGATTACACTCAGTAAGTTATAATGAATTTTTGGCTGTAAAACTGCCAACAGATACCATGTCAATAAGAACATGCTCTGACAGGTACCCACTACCACGAGAAGATAATTTCTATTTATTTTAATATTCTTATTTTAAATGACTTCAAATTAACGAAAAAGGATTTGAATTTGATGATCATGGAAAGATTGTGAAAAACAATTGACATATAAAAATTTCAATTTCGCTGAAGTTTCAAGATTGTTCAAAGCATTTGACAAAGTACGTAACTTAGGTATAATAAGATAGCATAAAATGGAATTGTATTTCAAGTCTGTTATAAAACTGGATGGTATTAAGAGGCTTCATTAACATGTGCAGTATTATGTTTTAAGATGTACATTATTACAACCCTGTTTTCAGATGTACACTTTTACAACCCTGTTTTAAGATGTACATTATTACAAGCCTGTTTTCAGATGTACAGTATAAAGACTCCATTTTAAAATGGACAGTATTTCAACCCTGTTTTAATATAAGATGTTCACTATTACAATCCTGTTTTAAGATGTACAGTATTAAGACTCCATTTTACGATGTACACTATTACAACCCTGTTTTAAGATGTACACTATTAAGACTCCAATTTAAGATATACAATATTAAGACTCCAGTTTAATATGTACACTATTTCAGCCATGTTTAAGATGCACATTATTACAACCCTGCTTTAAGATGTACACTATTGCAACCCTGTTTTTAGATGTAAGATTGATAGGTTTCTGTGTGAAGATATAACTGACCATGTTACGGAAGGTAATGCTGAGCTCTCCCTTGGCCTGGTGGTACTCCATTGTCCCATTGTTGTTGAGGATCTCACCACTTGTATCACTCTTAGCATGGGTGTCGTTCTTCAGCAACGCTATTGCTTGTTCTTCGCTGCAGCAAACAATTAAAACAAATATATGCAGACAACCATTTTGTTGATTAACTTTCTCTCAGACTGCAGTGCCAGGGTAAAGAGGGTTTGGAAATTACGAACACTTTGAACTAAATTTTGATAAATAAAAATATGTGTATTATCCCAATCAGACCTTTATGATAACATACCTTAAATAAATATAAGATATAAGCTCACTCGGCCTATATAGAGATGAACTGATGGAAGATAAGCTGTCAGTACAAGGTGTGTTCTATTTGTATCAGTTGACGGCTAAGAACACAATGGTGGGTATTACTGAACATTTTCTCCCAAGGAAATGCTTATTCGCATAAAATATTTTGACTACCAAATGCAAAAAATAGGAATCAACACCATTTCTTGAATTTTGAATAAAAGACTATCTATAATTGCTTCAGTTCTAAATGAATCTCCACCATTTATTTTTAGTAAGTTAATCCTCAAATCAGTAAAAAGTGATAGATTCAAACTGTTCTAACAGTAAGGATTGCCACACCCTAGGTTTTGTACAGTGCCTGGATGATGTTTGGGGCATGTGCAGGTCTAGCTACAGTATCTGTACATTATGATTGCAGTATGAACTGTAAGTGACATGTTCCAATAACTGCGGAACACCTCTACATAACATCACTTAACATCACAGTATAAATAAAGATGTAAGCAAACCACACTTGTTCTCTTGTATTTTTCATTTTAGTACTACACATCAAATACGTCATGAATTGCAATCTTTGTGTACACACTTACACATGGGCAGTTATGAGTTTAGTTCTCATTTCCTGTCCATTATGTGAAATTCTATAAATAAACAGGAAACAACTCACAAGTATGCACACACCCAGTAATAATTAAGTGTAGTGGGGGTGTTTTAAATAGCACTTGTGATTGCGTATCAGGACTACCTTCAGTGAAGTTATATCCGACTACACTCCAACCTGTTAACACTGAACCCTGGATAATATAAAAATCTGTGTTAAGTTGACCTTCTATTCAGCTGCATTCACAGTACTGTACATTTGTTTATAAGTTGATGTATGAAACCTGTCTTTTGTGATAGGTACTGATAATTACCCTCTCTTGGTGCTAAGCTATATAGTGGTGTAATTTTGTTAGGGAGACATCAGGGAAATAAGACAGTTTATTTGCAGTAATAGGATCAATAATTACATCTACTTTTTCTGCTCCAATCATAAAATTATGCAGTACGTTACTTTTGTGCTTCATATATTTACACTGTGACCATGGCAACTTGAATAAGTCATTATTTAATCAAAATATAAGCAGGATATTTAAATTTGATTTTACAATCAATTCTCAAGAAGTTGATATGAACGTATATCTACTGGTACTTTGCATAATGTTTCAGTCAACCAACATGATATGATGAGGCTGTTGAATATACCTACTTGTACTTTTGGATGAATTGAATGAGTGATGAAAGTGGATGTGTTTACCTCCCACTTAACAGTATAGGTTGGTGACATGAGGATGTTGAGTTTACCTCCCACTTAATAGTAGGTTGTGACATGAGGATGTTGTGTTTACCTCCCACTTAACAGTATAGGTTGGTGACATGAGGATGTTGAGTTTACCCCCCACTTAATAGTAGGTTGTGACATGGGGATGTTGAGTTTACCTCCCACTTAAAAGTAGGTTGTGACATGAGGATATTGAGTTTACCTCCCACTTAATAGTAGGATGTGACATGAGGATGTTGTGTTTACCTCCCACTTAACAGTATAGGTTGGTGACATGAGGATGTTGAGTTTACCCCCCACTTAATAGTAGGTTGTGACATGGGGATGTTGAGTTTACCTCCCACTTAAAAGTAGATTGTGACATGAGGATGTTGAGTTTACCTCCCCCTTTATAGTAGGTTGTGACATGAGGATGTTGATTTTACCTCCCACTTAATAGTAGGTTGTGACATGAGGATGTTGAGTTTACTTTCCACTTAACAGTAGGTTGTGAGTTTACTTTCCACTTAACAGTAGGTTGTGACATGAGGATGTTGAGTTTACCTCCCACTTAATAGTAGGTTGTGACATGAGGATGTTGTGTTTACCTCCCACTTAACAGTAGGTTGTGACATGAGGATGTTGAGTTTACCTCTCACTTAAAAGTAGGTTGTGACATGAGGATATTGAGTTTACCTCCCACTTAATAGTAGGTTGTGACATGAGGATGTTGAGTTTACCTCCCACTTAATAGTAGGTTGTGACATGAGGATGTTGAGAATACCTCCCACTTAACAGTAGGTTGTGATATGAGGATGTTGAGTTTACCTCCCACTTAATAGTAGTATATCCAAATTATGGTGGATCGCCGGTGGTTTAAAATATTTCAAAACTTAATCGTATTTGATTTCAAGAATCTATACAATGGCTTCTATTCTCTGAGGGTCTATATAATTTATCATCCTTTTTAGTTACACAGTTTATTATTCTATGCCTCTGTTTTGATGATGAAAGTAATCCTGGACCGTTACACAATCTTAATATGGTTCACCTTAATGTACGATCCCTTAGAAACAAAACTTCCTTATTGGAACTGAACCCGAAAGTAACGATATAGTATGCCTGACTGAATCACATTTAAATCCATTGATTAGCAACACTGACATTCAATTGTACTCCTTTACTCCTTCTCCTCGCAGAAAAGATATAACTACTGGTCCAGGGGGTGGGTTTATAGTATATTACAAAAACACTGTTATTATGAAACGAAGAGCTGACTTAGAAAGGGATGATGTAGAGCTACTTTGGTCAGAAGTTTTAATTAATAATAACAAATTTCTCCTTGGTTGTTTGTATAGACCAGACAGTAACATTGACTACTAGAACAAACTTGATGATACATTGACTAGAGCTACTGATACTTCTATGGATGTAATACTTACGGGTGATATTAATGTTGATATGCTAAACTTAACATTAAATGATCACTTATCAAGACTCCTTATCAAACATAATCTATCTAGTTTTATTAATGAACCTACACGAATAACACCTGACAGTGCCACATCCATAGATATTATATTATCTAATAACAGAAACATAATTAAAAGTACCTATGTATCAGCACCATTCTGTAGTGACCACTCATCAATTCATGCCCAAATTTCTTTTAACATATTAGTTATAAAAAGACCATTCTGAAATATGATGAAGCTGATTTTGAAAATATGAATAATGCTCTTTTTAATGTTGATGGTTATATTGTCATTCAACTAGGACACTGAGCTATTTAATGCTTCTATAATTAATTGTTTAACGGATCAGGTCAAAAATTGTATTCCAACAAAAGTGATAACAGTACGCCCAAATGATAAACAATGGATGAACAGCACCATTAGACTTAAGATGAGACAAAGAAACAGAATACACAAAAAGGCTAAAATAAATAATAATCCTAATTATTGGCACAGATTTCATATTCTAAGAAAAGAAACTATTGACCTGATTCGGGAAGCAAAGGCAAATTACATAAACAAAACCTTGAAAATTCACTAAATGATAGTATGGTCCCTCCAGACAAATGGTGGAAGATAGCAAAATCTATCACTAACTTTTCTAACAAATCCTCCTCTATCCCCCCTCTTGAATCTAACAATCAGGTCATTCACCATCCAATTGATAAAAACTGAAATCCTTAACAGTCACTTTACTGATATCTCTACATCATCACCTGACCTTGAACTCCCTCAAACAGCACAACATTTCACCCCATTTTCACTAACAAATATCCATGTCACTCAACAAGATGTCTCTGACCAAATGAATAGTCTAAATGTTAATAAACCACCAGGTCCTGATGGTGTTATCCCAAATAGTTGGAAACAAGCAAACATTAATGCTATTTATAAAGGAAATGGTTCAACCAATGATGTTTCAAACTATAGACCTATCTCAATAACTTCTTGTCTTAGTAAATTAATGGAAAAAAATATTTTCAAATATCTTTATAATTACCTAGTTGGAAATTCTATTATAACTAAGAATCAGTCAGGATTTACACCAGGTGATTCTACAGTAAATCAATTATTGTTCATATTCAATGAAATTGTTAGTAATATGAACCAGGGAAAGGAGTTAAGGTTTATATTTTGTGACATCAGTAAAGCTTTTGACCGTGTGTGGCACCAAGGTCTTCTACATAAACTAAAAAACTATGGTGTTGATGGAAATTTACTTATCTGGTTCCAAAATTATCTTACAGACAGAATGCAAAGAGTTAGTACTGAGGGTTATCTTCCTCAATTCAAGGTTCTTAATGCAGGGGTACCTCAAGGATCTGTACTTGGCCCACTTCTCTTCCTTATTTACATCAATTATATCACTGAAAATCTTTCCACTAATATTAACCTTTTTGCAGACGACACTTCTGTATGTAGTTATAGATGAAGACCCAGCTCAAGCAGCACAAGCACTAACAACTGAACTCACTAACTTGAATGAATGGGCAAACACATGGGACATACAATTTAACCCTAATAAAACTAAAACAGTTATATTTTCAAGGAAACATAACACAAATCACCCCACTATGACTTTTCAAAACAGCCAAATTACAGACACTACATCACATACACACTTAGGACTTACCCTTAAAGATGATGCATCATGGAAACAACATATTCAGAACATATTTTAAAAAGCTTACAGGAGACTCAACATTCTTCGTGACATAAAAACTAGAGTAAATCGAAAAACATTAATTATAATTTATACTGCATTTATTAGGCCAATTTTGGAATATGCTAACATAGTTTGGGATAACTGCACACAACAATCAACAGATCTTTTAGAATCCATACAATTAGAAGCAGCAATAATTAGTACAGGCCTTCGCTCAGGAACATCTCATAATAAACTTTATACCGAACTTGGTTGGAAAACTCTGGCTGCCAGAAGAGAGAAACACAAATATATCATGATGTATAAATTAATACATGGACTCTCACCGCAATATTTACAAGATGTATTGATCCCCTTTACAAACAATCCTAATGAAAATCATTATTCTCTCCGGCAAACTAGACTTTTTAACCCACCAATATGCAGAACTAATAACTACTTTGACAGCTTCTTTCCTTTCATGTGCCGCACAGCTAACAACACTGATACTAATCTTTTCGACTCTCCTACACTTGCAAGTTTTAAATGGTTGTTAGATAGAAATGCTATAACCGATAGTGAATCTGTTAAAATTTTCGAAGGTGATAGAAGGGCAGACATTCTTCTTTCCCAAATTAGAAATGATTGTAGTGATTTAAAGTTTGATTTGCATCATGACCACCTAACTGATAGTCCAGTATGTACTTGTTCAGATGAATTGGAAACAGTCTCTCATTTTTTTTAGAATGTCCTATTTACTATGATTTGAGGATTAATTTATTCAACTCACTCATAATTATGCCCTTGACCATAACCATATCGGTATTGAAATTATTTACATGGCTGTCCTAATTGTGAAGGTAATATAAACAGACTAATGCTTCGTGATATACATTACTTTATAGGGAAATCCAATCGTTTTAACTTTCACAAGATCTAGAAAGCCATTATATTGACAAAAACTGTAATTTTCTATGAAAATAGTTGAACATGGTTGTGAATTTATTTGATTATGTAATAAATATATATTTTCATTTAATTATTTTGTGCTCCTCTACACAATGTTTCACTTATACTTTTAATAAATGTACATATCGGGTTAAATCTGTAGATTAAAAAGTTACATATAAATAATTTAATACACAGTTCTAGTGGTGATGACCTGTGCAGTACTTGCCCATGAACTTTTGGTCTATCTACCTAACTGTATCGAATGTTAAATAGTAACTCATGTGTATACGTGTAGTTATGATAATCAATAACTATATTTATGTTTTGTTTGTGTGTGTGTGTTTGTGACGGCGTGTGTATGTCCTATGTTGTATTGTAAATAATCAAAAGTGAGTTACCTCCCTTTTATTAATTTATTGTTTACATTTATGTATTTTCATTTCAAAATATCTATAAAGTATATTTAGCTATAGTTCTAAAATATTATTGTAATACTCTAGCCACCTATGGAAAGAATTTATATAGGCTTGCCTGTTATTCGATCCATTTGAACATAACACCATGTCAATAAAATCTGTTTTCATTTCATCAAATTTTATTGACAAGATGTCATAATCAATTGGATTGAATAACAGGCAAAGCCTATATAAATTCTCTCCGTCAAATGGCCAAAGTTGAATAAACAAGGAGACATAATATTTTAGACATGTTGCAAATGAAAAAAATAACACAAAATAATTAATATTAACACAAGGCTAAGGGGAAGTAACTCATGAAGGAAACATCTCACACACCTCATACACACTTACACACACATACAAGTACATGTACAAATACATTTATTTCAGCATATATATACACTATCATAGACAGATATTGGCAGGCTTAGACCAAAAGTCCATGTGCATATATTGCACAGGTCACTGCTACCAACAACTGTTACAATTAGAAATAATAAATTCATTTAATACATATAAAGTGTAATTATTTACAATGTCATGATAAGTACACGCAATAGACAGTAGTCATGCTCAACTAGAATCTCCTGGATGAAATATAGAATATATAGTATATTTTTGTATAACATCATGGCTTTAAGTCATATAAAAATTAAAACGACGGGATTTTCCAATAAAAATATGCACATCATCAAGTATTCTTCTATTTGTAAGCCCATCACAATCAGGACAGCCCTGGAGAAGAATGTTTTTATCAATGTGGTTGTGATTTCCATAACTATTAAGAGAAGGGAACAAAGTTGTTCTTTGATTATTGAAAAAAAGACATTCCAAAAAGTAATGAGATACTGTTTCATGTTCAGCAGAGCAGGTACAAGCAGGACTATTAGTAAGATGGTCATGGTGTAAATCATAATTTAAATTACTGCAAGAGTTTCGAAGTCGACATAGAATAATACTTGCTCTTCGGTTACCTTCTGTTTTGAAAATTGAAACAGATTCACTATCAGAAATAATATCTTTATTCAAATATTTTTTTAATGCTGCAGGAGAGGGAGAATTAAGAAGATCAGAATTTGCAATGTTAATTGTGCGGCACATTTGAGGGAAAAAACTGTCAAAATAGTTATTAGTTCTACATAAAGGTGGGTTGAACAGCCTAGTTTGTCTGAGAGGGTAGGGGTTATCATTTTGATTATTAATGATGAAAATCTGTTGAAATGAAATAGTAGGTTGTGACATGAGGATGTTGAGTTTACCTCCCACTTAACAGTAGGTTGATGCCATGAGGATGTTCAGTTTACCTCCCACTTAACAGTAGAAGGTGAAATGAAGATCTTGTGTTTACCTTCCACTTAACAGTATGAGGTGAAATGAAGATCTTGTGTTTACCTCCTACTTAACAGTAGGTGGTGACATGAGGAAATTGTGTTTGCCTCCCTGTACTTACCTGATTATAAAGGATTTGACAGTGGGTGGTGACATGTGGATGTTGAGTTTACCTCCCACCAGTAAGCGGACGGTTGCTGTAAATCGTAACCCTTTCTTCAGAACTTGAGGTGGCTGAGATTCCACAATGAATGTGCTAGAACAGAAATCTAGAATGTATCAGTTATTGGAGATTATTATGGACAACTCCTTTAGTGAGCTTTCACTTAATAAACCCAAATATGTGATATATACATATATAGATCGTATCACCTGTAAAGCCCCAATATGGGCGAAATTACTTGAGAGATTTAGTCTTCAGTGTTTTGTTTTAATTATATATATAAAAATAAAAGTAAAATATGTGTTATTACTACTATATCTTCCAATAGAGAGGAAATATTTAAAATCACTACAGTTGAGTACTGTATCTTGTAACTAGAGAGGAAATATGTGACATCACGTGATATTGTACCTTGTGACTGGAGAGGAGATATGTGACATTGCTACTGTACCCTGTGACTAGAGAGGAAATAAGTGACCTCACTACTGACCTTGTGACTAGAGAGATGTATGTGACATCACCACTGTACCTTGTTACTATTGAGAGTATAAGTGACCTCACTACTGTACCTTGTAACTAGAGAGATGTGTGTGACATCACTCCTGTACCTTGTGACTAGCGGGATGTTTGTGACATCACTACTTTACCTTGTGACTATAGAGAGTATAAGTGACCTACTACTGTATCTTGTGACTAGAGAGATGTATGTGACATCAATACTGTACCTTGTGACTAGAGAGATGTATGTGACATCACTACTGTACCTTGTGACTATAGAGAGTATAAGTGACCTCACTACTGTACCTTGTGACTAGAGAGAATATATGTGACATCACTACTGTACCTTGTCACTAGAGAGGAAAGAAGACCAGTGATTTTCTGGTTAAGTTCTGGGACAAGGTCAGGTGTACCAGCAGGAATATCTATTGGAAGCATTTGACGGAGGATCTCCACACCAAGGACCTGTTGTCGGTTCTTCCAGATCATCTCAGCCAGGGATTCACACCTACAGCGATCACAGGCACAATCATTTGTTATTCAATCTTCTACCCGTATAACCTGCATTATGTATACATGTTTTACAGTATAAACTACATAAAGATACATTTACCAGCATAAACATATTTCAGATACATTACAAGGATATTGTAATTAGTATGCTGGGACATTCTCACTTCCAATCAAGCCCAGCTTACTTGTTTATACTTCAATCCTGGATACAATTGTACAATGAAACTTATTATATTACGATGGTAGCAAATAATTTTGAAACATTCCTTTATAAAAATTGAGGTGTTCTTTTTCAGTCCCCAAGGCAGTATATTTCAGTATACATTGTATTTCAGTATAATTTAGTGATACTCCTTGAGAAACCTGTTAGGTTTCAGATTTTTCAACACTATAAAGTTTCACTGATTAAAATGTACATGTAAAGAACAACAGTGACCCACTGACCACTGTTGAAGGTTGTCCAGCAGCTGTGTATCAAATTTGACCCCATTGCCCGACAACTGCTGCCTGCGTTTCCATGCGATGAGTGCTTTATCTACAACTATCTTTTGTAGCTCTTCAAGTCCAAGAAATGTATCACTAAGCTTCTCAGCGAGTATCTTTAAAAGAATAATACAAATATATTTAACACAACAAAAATGGTAACCACAATATTTTCATATGTACATGTATGTATACACAACACAGAAACTGTGGTAACCTTAAAATTACCCCGTCAACATATACACAACATAGAAACCATGGTAACCTTACAATTACCCCGTCAACATATACACAACACAGAAACCGTGGTAACCTTACAATTACCCCGTCAACATATACAAAACACAGAAACCGTGGTAACCTTACAATTACCCCGTCAACATATGCACAACACAGAAATCGTGGTAACCTTACAATAACCTCATCAACATATACACAACATAGAAATCGTGGTAACCTTACAATAAACTCATCAACATATATACGCATATATACACAACAGAGGAACCATGGTAACTACAACAACATTAACACAACGCAGGAACCATGGTAACTAGAACAACATAAACACTACACAGGAATCATGGTTACTACAACAACACAACATAGGGACCATAGTACCTACAACAACATATACACAAAACACATGAATCATGGTAACTACGGCAACATAAACACAACACAGGAACCAAAATAACCACAACACAGGAACCATGGTAACTACAACACCATTAACACAACACAGGGACCATGGTAATCAAACCATAACAATATAAACTATTACATATGCGCAATACAGAAATCATGGTAATTAATTATTTCTTAATTTAAAAATCTTTTTTATTGTTTTATTTCTTCAAATTTCCAATGTCTACTGGGTATTTCAATTTGAATTAAACATTCCATGTTCTTGATTCATCAAATGTGTATTTAAGCATGATTGCAAAAAGACATGAGTGGGTTTTTTGCCTAGTTTTACATCCGAATACAGGCTGCTTCCTCTACCAAAAAGGTGCTGTAATAATTTCTTTAAAACGAAGGATGTCTTCCCAATTTCACCGACAATAATGCTACATTTTCCCAATTTATGTTAATAATTTTACACTGGACATAAATAAACAATCAAATAACCTACTGCTATACTGTAGTAACTAAAGGAAACCATCAAGAAAGGAATTTGTGATACTTTAAAGCATAAAATTCATAAGATTTTTCAAGAATTAAGGATTGATTACCTACCAGACGATACTGAAGCAGTTCCTCTGCTTTACTGAGCAAGTCACGTTCCAGGTCCTCCTTCTGTTTACGTAAATTTTTCTCCATTTGGCCACTGTTTTTAATAAGCTGTTGGTATTGCTGAGGTGTCATGCTCTCTGCGAGCGGACCGCCGTCTGCCCCGTTCGTATATAGATTTAGGTCCTTGTTCTGTTTTTCCACCTGCTGGATCTGTGCTGTAACAGTGATAAGTAACCTATACAAGGACTACCATATATCAGAGTGATCATGCTGTAAAATGTCATGCACTATTTTATTTAGTCCAGTGCCTGTATTCATGAAATCATTCTCATGCTCAAAACTTAGGTCATGTGCTCAAGCCTCAAGTTCTTGTTCAGGGAAAGTGAAAAAGTGAAAAGGAATGCATATTTTGTCAATAATTTGGAAGAACTCTTGAGATACTTAATGCTGCATACTGTTTTTGCTCTGTTTATACTTTCATCTTTTTTATTGTTAAACACAATTAAAGCATTTTAGAGGAAAGCTAGTTTGAGCACAAAATCCATGCTTTAGAATGAGAAAAAATGCTTTTTCACAGGCTGAATAGTCTCTGTTTATGAATGAAACAATCAGAGATTGAAATATCATATACTAACTTTTCAGACAACAAACAATATGCTTATTTGTTTCACTAATGTCAGGACAAAGTTTTAGAGGTTTTTAAGTATAAACTTCCTTGTTGACTAAAACTGCTTTAATTTCCTTATGGTTATTTTCTTAATATTGGGTTCACATTCAGTTACGACTTTTATTTTCTTCCAGCAGTAATTACTGGGCCTATCATAAACCACCAGCTAGTTTGCTACCATTGTACCAACATTTCGTAAAATGACCTAACGTTATATCTCAATCTTGATATTTGACCTAGAAAACCTTACCGTTCACCTTGACCTGGTTCTGGAACTGGATTACAAACGACTCTTGTAGATTTTGCAACTGTTTCAGACCAGCCTCTGTTGTCTGTAAGAGAATAAAGTAGTGAAGAACACTGTATGATAACAAAACCCCAGGGAATAATGTGCAAAGGTTTTTTCCCAAACCTTTCACTTTTCGTAAATCCTTTGTTTAATTTTAACGTTAACCTCATCAAACTTTGAACAACTAATCAAAGACTGATGAATGTATCCTCTTTGTCCTTGCCTGTGTTTTTTCTTGACATCTGTCAAACCTTTCATCAATCTGTTTGTAGATCTCCGTAGATTTGAGCTGGTCGTTCATCGTGTCCTGGTTCTGCACCGGCTGTATCAAAAAACAACAACATCAAACCACGATTTCTTACGATTGTCAATTTTCAAATTATTTTCTTTCCATTATATGAGACACATCATTTATAAATCAATACAGAAATTAAAGCTAGTATTTTGTTAAAAACATTACCTGACTTGAATTAATTGTTAATGAATGTTGAACTTTGACAATAGTTGTCATAATAGACTCTTCAGTATCTATTTGATTTCTTCCTGAACATATTGGCATCTATTTGATTTCTTCCTGAACATAGTGGCAATCCAATTATACAACTTGCCATTGTATGAATGCTTACATTTTCAGCCTGGTGTACAAATCTTTCCTCTTGAGCCAAACAGCTTTTGATTTCCTTGACCAGCAGTAGTGGAGAATTGCTGTACAGTGTCTGATTAACAAATCAAAATATGAAAACTTTATCAAATATTAATCATCATATTTCCTTTTGATTAATAGTGTATTGGAAATAACTCTCACTGTTTTCTAAATATTTCAATACTTAAATCTGCAAATATTTTAACATTTCTGTAACACACATGACTCTTTTCTTGTATACATGACAATGCCCCCACAAATGTCACTGCTACTACACGTGACACTGCCCCCACAAATGACACTGCCCCCACAAATGACACTGCCATTACACATGACACTGCCACTACACATGACACTGCCCTCACAAATGACACTGCCAATCAACATGCGACTGCCCCCTACACATGACACTTTCCCTGCATACATGGCACTGCCTCTACACATGACACTGCCACAATACAAGACACTGCCCCCACACGACACTTTCCTTACACATGACACTGCCCCCATACATGACACTGCCCCAACACATATCACTGCCACTAAACAAGACACTGCCCATACACATGACATAACTACGTTCATGCCGCTTTTACATACATGACTTTAATCAAACTGACATGACACTACTCCTACACAATTTAAATACATGTATTGAGTTTGTTTGTGTAGATTTGGTTGCCTGAAATCAGTACATCCGCCGTAAAACCCAGTGTAATTTGCGCACCTATGCAATTTGCACAGGTATTTTTGGGGGTTGAAAATTCAAAATAAAAACTGGAAAAATAACCTCTGACATGAAAGTGTGACACAAATATCTACTTTTTCATATCATTAATAAATTAAATTTAAATTTAAATCAATTTAGTGAGTTTAGTTCTTTTTATGGGTTGACACTGAGAGAAGAATGTGCATATAATTGTTTGTTTCTTGGAAGTACCCGTTAACATCAGACTGAACATGTATGTGTGCATATTGACACACACCAATCGAATTTACATAAACACTGTTCTACCCAAACCTTCACAAGGTATGCCGGTGTAGCAAGCATAGAATAGAGCGATACTCAATAATGAAAGAAAACTATATTCTGTCAACTTCTATGAAACGTATTTAATAATATGTTAGAAATATTGTAACATTTATATATATAAACGTTACGTAAAAATATAGGGATTTTATAGAAATAGGGTAAACTTGTAAATTTACCGAGTAGGAGTTATTTCCCTTGGTATATATGTAGGTATGTGAGTGGCTGTATGTAACCGTGTGTAACTGTTTATTTGTATTTTATGGGTTTTTTGCTCGGGTTAAGCCCTAAAATAAAGAACCACGAATTCGAACCAACTGGGTCGTTAGCGTTGTTTCTGGCCCGATAACACATATACGGTAGTTTATTTGCGAGAGTGCCTTACCTGGAGTTTGGGGGCTAGGTACATGTACTTTATTTGTAGAAGTGACTTACCTGGAGTTTGGGGGTTAGGCATATGTAGTTTATTTGTAGAAGAGACTTACCTGGAGTTTGGGGGCTAGGGACATGTACTTTATTTGTAGAAGTGACTTACCTGGTGTTTGGGGGTTAGGTACATGTACTTTATTTGTAGAAGTGACTTACCTGAAGTTTGGGGGTTAGGCATATGTAGTTTATTTGTAGAAAAGACTTACCTGGAGTTTGGGGGCTAGGTACATGTACTTTATTTGTAGAAGTGATTTACCTTGAGTTTGGGGGCTAGGTAAATGTACTTTATTTGTAGAAGGGACTTACCTGGAGTTTGGGGGTTAGGTCCATGTAGTTTATTTGTAGAAGTGACTTACCTGAAGTTTGGGGGTTAGGCATATGTAGTTTATTTGTAGAAGTGACTTACCTGGAGTTTGGGGGTTAGGTACATGTACTTTATTTGTAGAAGTGACTTACCTGGAGTTTGGGGGTTAGGTATATGTAGTCTATTTGTAGAAGTGACTAACCTGGAGTTTGGGGGCTAGGTACATGTACTTTATTTGTAGATGTGACTTACATGGAGCTTGGGAGTTAGGTACATGTACTTAATTTGTAGAAGTGACTTACCTGGAGTTTGGGGGTTAGGTCCATGTAGTTTATTTGTAGAAGTGACTTACCTGAAGTTACGGGGTTAGGTACATGTAGTTTATTTAAAGAAGTGACTTACCTGGAGTTTTAGGGTTAGGCACATGTAGTTTATTTGTAGAAGTGACTTACCTTGAGTTTTGGGGTAAGGTACATGCAGTTTATTTATAGAAGTGACTTACCAGGAGTTTTTGGGTTCAGGTACATGTAGTTTATTTGTAGAAGTGACTTACCAGGAGTTTGGGGGTTAGGTACATGTAGTTTATTTATAGAAGTGACTTACCTGGAGTTTTGGGGTTAGCTACATGTAGTTCATTTGTAGAAGTGATTTACCTGGAGTTTGGGGGCTAGGTAAATGTAGTTTATTTTTTAGAAGTGACTTACCTGGAGTTTGTTTGCAGTTTCCTGTAGCTTCATCTTCTGTAAGAAGTTTTCATTGCTGCTAGGAAACTCGTCTTTCCGTATTTGGATGGCCTTGATCAAGTCAGATAGTACCTGGTGGGCGTACACTTCATGGGCAGGGTTGTCCTCCTCAATCTGACTCCTGGAGAACAACAGATTGAATTTGGTACATATACAACAATGACATCACAGAGTCCATCTCCAGAAATTCTGTTCAGCATTAGGGGTGGCGGTGGTTTATGGGATGAGGGGAAGTTACATAAACTAGATTGAACAGTTATTAATGCAGTAACAAAGATGTGTCCCTTCCTTAAACTTTATTCAAAATAATCACCCAGTCATTTCCCTTGATAACTGCAATCGTTAAATTTTTATCGTTCAATATATCTTTGGAGATATCATTGCAGCCTACTACTTAAAATTGGGTGTTACATAAGAAGCTTATGATAATCATTTAGAAATGGTAACAGTTGGTACACCCTCGGTACTGGTACTTATTTTGCTTCTATGGTCAGAATGTATGGTGATTTTCCATTCACAAATATTCCATTCTGATTGACAAGCCATATATTTTACATAAATTATTCAGAACAAGAATTCTGTCTTTGAAAGTATGTGTCTACAATTGGCTTAAAAAGCTTGGGTCGTGTAATTGAAGAGTTGGTTAGTAATAATACATGTACAATGAAATCTAAACCACAATTTGAAAAGAAAAATATCGCATTACCAAGGCTGCTCCTCCAGCCACTGGGCACAGTAGTGGCGGACCTCAATAGGGAAGTGCTGGCCATACTGAGACTGGATCCTCTTTATGACATCCCCCTCCAGGTGCTGAACACGAGCCCAAAGGGACATTGCTGGGTCCCAGTTCCCGGTTGGCTGTAGAATGAAACTTATGTTGCAGTTCTGATATGTTCATTTGAATTCTAAATACAGCAGTGTCTTATCTCCCTTTCATCATAGTGAGTCATTTATAACCGTGGTATCAAGTACATATACTGAAAATAAGCAAGTCAAAAACTAGCACAGCAATATATCAGTAAATATATACACGAAGTATATCGTTATTGCATTTATGGTTTTTTGTAAAGCAAAGATCTCTTTTATTACAAATACATACACAGAGAAATACATTTTTTGGCCAATAATCCATACCATTACTGTTCTTAATATCAAAATTTACTAGGAAAAAAAGGTTGAATGATAAAGAAAGAGACTGACCAACAAATATTACAATGAGAAATTTAAGGTTGAAAAATAATTACCTGAACAAGGATGAATGACCAATATAACAAACTTCTGCAATGTTAAACATCTTAAGTTTTAACATGGGTAAAAACCACATGAACCAGTCTTATACAAAATTTGGAAGAATTTCACCAGAAACTGTAGGACAACAGTATTTAAATTCACAAGGTTTATTAAGAACAAAGACATGTTTAAACAGCAGTGAGATTGAAAGCCTTAGCATCAATAAACACTTTCACTAATGTTATATGGACCTATGACAAACTTCAGCTCTACAGATCTAGAGGCATTATAAACCTATGTACATTGTTCTTAACATTTTATATTCCAGCTTTGTTGGACATATCTCAAATTCAATTTATACCTTTGCTGGCCATGGTGAGAAATGAGTGCCCCCTTTGGGTTGGTATGTAAATGTTGTGTTCCCCGAGGAAAAGCCTGCTGTGTATTGGCTATAGCCTGTCTCCATGTTGTACATTCCATCATGTGACTGCATGGAATGATGGTTCTGTGAGTAAGCACATGGTTGATTGTGTAGGTCTGCCTCAGATTTAGTTTCTAAATGAGAGTAATTGTGAGACAAACCTCCCTGTGCGTTGTGACTTAATCCTTTAAGTTGATCAGTTTTACAATCCCTGTCATCCACTTTTGTCTTTAAGGTTTCAAAATATCAAAATTTTAAGAACAAATGGCTGGTAAAAATCACCATTGCCTGTTAACCTTGAAGTATTCTGCTACAATACTCGTTCACTAAAAGGAAAAATCCAGCACGTCGAAATTCCTGAGCAAGTGCCCGACTTAGTTTCCTGTTTTCTATGTAGTAAATAAAAGGTCAGTGACGCTAACCTCACAGGCAGATATGTCAACTTTATTTCGTGTCTACACTCCTTTGACATTGGGCAAACCGAAAGTGAAAAGACATCTTTCAATGATAATTGTATACTATTGTCAACTGAGCCCTCAAGTCATGCAGTCGGATTGACGTTACATAGGCGATGGCGATCATTTATCAATGGATCACGTAGCCTACTTAATGACTTACCGTTCAACTGCATAACGGGCACAACAGGGAAGAATCCCGTACGTGGGAATTCTCGGAAGAGACCATCAGGACCTGTCAGCTTACATCCCAGACTGTACTCGTACTTGCCTGTGCCGGAAGAACAGTATACATAATACATTAATTACTCGATAAAAAATGTAATCTGAGTAATAACAAAGCACCGGATATTGATGGTATCATAAACGAATACTTCAAAAGCACTCAACACTGTTATTTAGCTGAATTTAGAAATAGGATAGGTTTTTCTACAACAGAAAATATCTTGCATGCACTTATATCAGGTTATTTTCCCTCGGTAAAATAAGTTTTCTGTTCAAATGTTGATTTCCGTAAAGCATTTGACACTGCCGTGGAGATAGGGTTATGGGCAAATGTAATAAAAAGCAACATGATTCTGCTGTAGTCTAATAGGATTGTCATCCATAGAAAGTATTGTTGATGTCAAGAAATTACTGATTTTTGGAAGGCCATGTAGAATGGGCAGGAATACGTTATCATTTAAGATCTTTTTGAAACTATTGATTACAGCAGTTCTGTTGATGGATACAAATTGTTTGATTAAAAAGCAAAGTTTCTGTCCAGATTTATTAAGAATAATTCAGAAGTATAGTCTGAACAAATATGTGAATGAATTTATGGATAATTGTAATTGTCCTGAAAAGATGAACTAGAAAACTATTGTGAAAGTGTCTGTTTTAACCAAACAGGAAAATGATTTTAGAGAACGTATTTCAAATGTTTTTAGCAAATTTAAAAATATTCATGATAAGTTACAACCGCTCTGTCTATATTGTTGTTATAAAAAAATACTCTTTATACAGATACAGATATAAGATACATTTTATAATGCATCTAATTGTAACAATAAGAAATAGTAGAACTACAAATCTTTGTCACAAGTGTGGTGTGCTCTACCAAGACTATACAGAATATGTTGTATTAAGATGAATTTACGAGTAGAATTAGAGATAAGCTATGGATTGATATAGTCAATATACACGACCTGACATTTAGTCATTATATACATTCATTATCTGAAGATGAAATTATGTATCATCTGCTTGGAGACGAAGTTAACTTCATGTTAGAAAATAATGAATTGGAAGAATTTAGATTTACCTCTGTGGTAAATATCTATACAATGTAAACAATTTACAACAGCTGACTTGAAAGTGACTCCGTATATCAATATTACTACAAAATTATTTACGACACTTTCTCTATTGATTCACATGCTTATATAACCGATAGGGAATATTTTATTGTATAATGTACGCAAACCTTACCATATGTCCAATAACATATACACATTTATTGTGACCTGTATGTAATTATCCATTGTTTTGATTTTGATATTGTATTATTTTGTCTTTATAAATATGATATATATTGTAATATTCAAAGCATTTGACACCGCCGTGAAGATAGGTTGATTGGCAAATGTAATAAAAATTAACATTGCAGGAAAAATCTTTCAAGTTATATATAACAATTACACGAATACAAAATCAAAGGTTGCAAAAATGAATAGTAACTCCGATTTCTGTAACATTGGGGTAAAGCAGGGTCAAGGGTAAAGATCTCTATCCGTTTATGTTTTCAGTCCATCTCAATGATAAGGAAATATGTTTTATGCAAAACAGTATCGAATGCCTTTTAAATATATATTTTTATTGACCAGTTTATTCAACATTGGTGTACAGAAACAGGAAATTCATGACGTGATCAAATGAACGCAATGCTTAAATCTCAATTTGAATTTTAGACCATATCAAGTGAATTATTTAGCCGATGGCTAGGTATCAAAGGAGAAGTATCATTATTCGTTTAAATTTTACCTGTATAACAATAACATCTGTCAAATTAGAAGTAAATATACACCTGACAGCTATAATGTCGTTAATCGGAATAAAATGCGCAGTCTACCAAGATCATCTGCTGCCGATTCTGACTGTTTGTTATCGTTTAGAGCTACAGGAGGACGAGGTACAGGCCTGTCTTAATTTGAGATCACCACAACGGAAGTTAGCTAACATCTGCCTATGCCTAAAATTGACAACATTAAATACTAGTGTATGATTCTGGTACAAGAGCTGATTTATACGTTCGATAAGTCCGTAGTTTGTTTCCTTTAAATTGTCCCATATAGTTCCACAGTTCTTGATACCAACTGTTTTAAATCTAGTTTTGGATAAGTTTAAACAATGACCCACATTCGGACTTAGAGCTAAAAGCTCATACAGATTATAATCTTTTAATTTGTTCTACACGAATAAGTAATATTAGTGTACCGGTACAGTTAGAGATGTTGATCTTTACAGTGAAGATGTAAATTTAAGTTATATTATTGTAATGTTACAGTTAAGGATGTTGACCAGTACAGTCAGTGATGTAAATGGAAGTTACATTATTGTATTGTTACAGTTAGGGATGTTGACCAGTACAGTCAGGGATATACATTTAAGTTACAATGTATGTTATTGTACTGTTACAGTTAAGGACGAATATTTAGGTTGTATTATTGTACTGTTACAGTTGGGATGTTGACCTGTACAGTCAGGGTTGTAAATTTAAGTTGTAATATTGTACTATTACAGTTGGGATGTTGAACTGTACAGTCAGGGACGTAAATTTAAGTTGTATTATCGACAGGTACAGTTAGGGATGTTGAACTGTACAGTCAGGGATGTAAATTTAAGTTGTATAATCGACAGGTACAGTTAGGGTTGTTGAACTGTACAGTCAGGGATATAAATTTAAGTTGTATTATCGACAGGTACCGTTAGGGATGTGGAACTGTACAGTCAGGGATGTAAATTTAAGTTGTATTATCGACAGGTACCGTTAGGGATGTGGAACTGTACAGTCAGGGACGAAAATTTAAGTTGTATTATCGACAGGTACAGTTAGGGATGTTGAACTGTACAGTCAGGGATGTAAATTTAAGTTATATTATTGTACCGGTACAGTTAGGGATGTTGACCTGTATAGTCAGGAATGATAAAGATTATCGTACGATTGACGACTGGGACTGACATCAGAGGATTAGATACCTCGGGTATCTACAGGGTACATTTTGATCAAATCGGTGTTATGTACGAAATATGGAAAGAAAATGTAAATAAAAATAGCTATGATACCGTTAAATATCTGTATTTGGACTTAAAACTCAGTGTATACATACATAACGGGTGAAAACCGATAACCATGCAATAGCTACAATGAGATAACACATATGTGTACTCAACATTTCCCAACGAAATTTTATCGTAAGACGTTGCAAAAAAGAAATTAAGAATGAATGTCTATGATCTCAATATCAGTACATTATTTCTTGAAAATATCAAAGTAAACTTTTACTGTTTATCACTCCAATCTTGTTTGCATGTCCGGTCACTTTCACACAGCATCTTTATTCTACATCATTTTAAATAAGTCAATAAAATAAATAAATAAACAAATCAATTAGTATGCAAACAAAAATGTTTTTGATTTTCACCTGGATGGGAAAACCCGCGCATGCCATATGACTGGCACCAGCTTGTCTACTGTGCCGCTGCTGCTAGAATACGCTAGCAGGGAAGAAAACGAATTTCAATCAACTCTCTAAAAAATATATAACGTAAGCCCACCGTGTGCAATTACTTTTGCAACATATGGAAATAAGTCTCTTTTAACTACCACGTCGCAGCTGCAAAGCCGGGTCACGGAGAGAACGCTTGCAATAAACAAAATGGAAAGGACGGAAGTCGCTTGAAAATTAGGTGTAATCATCGGCATCCATATATAGTTCGGTATCGACCGATATCTCTTTAACTTTCCTTGATATTGCTGCTTAGTTTGCATTCGGGATATGAGTATGGAGTGTTTTTTTAATTTTTATTATTTGCGTGCTTCTGTATGAGCGTGAGTGTTTTAGTAAACGATGATTGGAAAATACAGGTAACAATTACATGAGACTGGATAGCAATTAAGAATTAAACATTGATTAGAAATAAGGACCTAAAATAATATATAAAATTACACATAAAGACTTAGTATCATAAAATTAATGATAGCAGTTTTCGAGCTAAAGTATATTACAGTTGTTTCTTTATATAAACAATAGTCATATCTCTATTTGTGACCACAAGAATTTATTCAAAATTGCAAGTTTATGAACATGCTTTGAATTCACGATAATTATGCGTTATGATTCATTTGAGTAATTTATTGATATATTTAAAAACTGATTATGAGAAGTTCTTTTTACACAACCAATAACATTTTTTATGTGACGTTTCGATGACTAGTACATTATGTACGCTGTCACCTTCATCAGACAAATGACCAGTGAAGCGTATACCCACAAAGGTGAAAATGACATTGTGTACGAGTTGTCAATAAAATCGACATTTTACACTTTTGTGTGCAAAGTTTTTCAGTTCTATTAACAACCCGGATGATTCCTTTTTCACGCACGATGAGGATGTCGTAAACAGATATTTGAATGATGAAGTACAAGTAATGTTTGATGAGCTCAATGATAATATAACTAGAGAAGAAATTAATGAAGCTTTAGGTCAGCTTATAAACGGGAAAAGTGCGGGATCTAATTTAGTGTTAAATGAGTTTTTGAGTCGGGGGCGTAACATTTTATTAATGTTATGTAATACCTATTTATAAGAAAGGTAAGAAATAAGAGGTCGGTGATTACAGAGGCGTTACTTTATTAAGTGTAGTTGGGAAACTATGTAAAAGATTTTAAATAGTCGGTTAACAAAATGGGCTGAAACATATAGTGTGTATGTAGATGCACAGGCCGGTTTTCGAGCTGGTCATATACAGTGATAATATATTTATTTTACATGGTCTAATGTCATGTGTTGTTAATAGCAAAAACAACGTTATTCGG